AATCTCGTGGGTTCGCAACTCATAGGAGCATCACTTTCAACGTCCCCGGTATTGGATTGAGTTTCTAAAAACAACCGTGCACACCGAGGTTAAACTTTACACGCTCCGCTCCGACTCGCCGCTCGCCCACTACTTCGAAGGCAACGAAACATTTGTTTTTCATTTTGATGAAATTTTTTGATTTTAAATCGTTTTGGTTTGAAATTGTTTTGAAAAGGTTCTTTAAATCTCGTGGGTTTGCAACTCATAGGAGCATCACTTTCAACGTCCCCGATATTGGATTGAGTTTCTAAAAACAACCGTGCACACCGAGGTTAAACTTTACACGCTCCGCTCCGACTCGCCGCTCGCCCACTACTCCGAAGGCAACAAAACATTTGTTTTCATTTTGATGAAATTCGTTTGAAAAATTTGTTTTGATGAAATTTGTTTGAAAAATTTGGCTAGGCAACTCCAATCCGCGACTATCCACCCACCGCCACCCCACACGGGTGGTTGTTAGTTGCGAAATGAGGTTGTTGTCGACATGCCGGTGCATTTGAGAAGGAGTTCCTAGCAACTCCGTGCTCTCCCATGCAAAAAAAAGCCTAGACAACCCCATTTCGCAACTTCCACGCCTTTTTTTTTTTTTTTCCACCTCACCCATGGCGGCGGCGTGGTGGCGGCCGGATTCCGGCCACCACCGCCACGGGTGGCAGCCCCCCACCCCGACACCAAACCCATAATACCGAGGCAACATATCGAGGCAACATGACATGGGTGTGGCGTGGGGGAAGGGGGCTGCAGCTAGGAAGGCATGGGCTGCCATGCATATGGCGGGGGGGGGGGGGAGGGGGGGGGGGCAAAGGGGGGGGGGGGGGGGCCCCAAAAAAAAAAAAAAAAAAAAAAAAAAAAAAAAAAAAAAAAAAAAAAAAAAAAAAAAAAAAAAAAAAAAAAAAAAAAAAAAAAAAAAAAAAAAAAAAAAAAAAAAAAAAAAAAAAAAAAAAAAAAAAAAAAAAAAAAAAAAAAAAAAAAAAAAAAAAAAAAAAAAAAAAAAAAAAAAAAAAAAAAAAAAAAAAAAAAAAAAAAAAAAAAAAAAAAAAAAAAAAAAAAAAAAAAAAAAAAAAAAAAAAAAAAAAAAAAAAAAAAAAAAAAAAAAAAAAAAAAAAAAAAAAAAAAAAAAAAAAAAAAAAAAAAAACTCATGGATCCCGCCGTTGTGTTAAACGAGATGCCACTCTGTGATTCAACGACATCGGATTCACCTCTCGATTCCCCTATGAGTCAAAACTCACCCATCGAAAAGGAGCCGAGGCCCATTGGCCGAAAGGCTGCGAAGGCAAATAAAGCGGGTAATTCAAGCAATAATAATTCAAAGCTTTTGGAGGAAATTGCAAGGCAGAACGGCATAAGAATTGAAATGGAGCAGAAACGCCAAGATAACGAGATGGCAATTCAAGCCGAGTATGCACGAGAAAGGGAGTATTTGGGCAAAAAAGATATGGACAAGACAGATCGGGAAACCATGGCGATGGATACAAGCCATATGTCCCCTGAAACAAAACAATTTTGGAAGCTAGAACGAAGGGATGTTATGGGAAGATGACTTTTCCGGGATGATGGGCCTAGCAACACGGATTGGTTAAATGATGAAAACCATTAAATTAGTTGGCATACCTTTTATGTATTTGTATTTTTCATGTTTTCTATTAAAGTTGTAATTCATGTATTTTATTTTTAATGACTTGCATTGGATTTCTTTATTTAATAAACAAAGCATTCAATAAAATACCTTTTTATTCAACATATTCCATACATCAAACAAAACACAATTAAAACAAAAAAAACTACAAACAAGGCACAATAATAATAACAAACCGCAACCAAACCATAATAAATAAAAAACAACACAACCAAACCATAAACTAAATAAAACATAACCAAAGCATCTATGCTCCATCATTCATCTTCATTGCCTTCCAACGCCCATAGATGCTCCATCAAGTCAACTTGACGCCTTTCATGAATATACGAAGATTGCATCTCTATATATCGATCTATCATCCAGGTCATGAAACAACCATCCCTCACCAACGGTTCCGGCTCAAACGGTTCTCCACTTGGCCCCATGGGCCTTTCATAAATCTGTGTCAAGGCCGTGTTCATTGGATCCGGTTCATAGACCTCTAAAGCATCATAATCGTACTCATCTCTAAAGCAATCCCACCAACGGCACTTTCTCTTTCATCTCTACCTCTCTTCCCCTACATGTGAATCGTTTGATTCTGGAGATGAAATTGAGAAGATCTTAAATCTCGGTGGCTGGGCATTTTGGGTTTAGGGTTTACAAAAAACCAGTGGAAACTAGTTGTTGTTGCTGAAACATATTGAAGTGGCCAATGCAAAGGTAAAATTAATAGCTTTATAGTAGTTTATCCTTGTCCACAATTGAGTTTCCAAATACCAGCAATATAACATTTTGCTATATTGATCTGCTCAAAGAAAACCAGCTATTTCTGTGGGTAATTTTCCCTCTATGAAATCAAGTAATTATGTAATGAAAAGAAAACCAGAAAAATTAAGCAGAAATTAATGCAGCCCAAGAAGCAACTAAGCAGAAGTAAATGGGTTTTTGATTTGCTGAAAAGAAAACCATTGTAATTTGAGTTATTTCACAGACAAGAAACACAATATGATCAATGTAAATATCTTTCTCTTCTTTAATGTTGGGCATATTGTTGATGTTGAAAAGTTTGTGACTCATTTGAAAAACATTAGATAGAATTTGTTAATTGTATTGCAAATGCCATGATATTTGTAGCATTGCATTTTGGTAATGGAAATGTAAGAGGGACTTCAATATGTCATTTTGAATCCAATTACCAATTAGTTAGTCCTATTTTGCAGTTATTGTATCCATATTGCCATGTTATTGGTAGCTTCTTACATTTTGAGAACATATGTGAGTTGTCAATGCAATTGACAAACAGTTACTTCTAATTGCATTATAGTCTTGCAATTGACAAATAGTTACTTCTAATTGCATTATAGTCTTGCAATTGACAAACAGAACAGTCTGTTTGCATTCTTGTCACGCAATTGCCATTATATGTGCACAATTATGAAATGTAGAATCTCTCAGTAAGGACTAATCCTTCATAATTTAATTGTATGTTTATATTTCTACTAAATGCAATTGATGTGTATCCATTTATTTTCATATTAATTATGCCATGAAAGACATGTTGCCTATTTTCAGGAAATGGAAGCAAAAACAAGTAACACGAATGGAATTCAGGGCCAAAACTCTGTCCCTAACAGTGAAGGTTATTTTGCAGAGGCTGAGTCACTTGAAGAAACTAAAAATGTCCATCTTTACAGATTTTGGACAGTAGAACAGAAGAAAGTACTGAGAAAAGCGGACAGTTTGAGTATGATGGGTTAAACTTCCAAAATATGAGCATTGCTGATTTTGCGGAGAGAGAGTTTGCAAAAGTTGAGGAAGCAGAAAGATTTTACTGCAACTATGCTCTTGCAATTGGTTTTAGCATAAGAAGAAGTCGTTTGAGACGTAGCAAGGGTGGGGTTGTGATGGGAAGACAATGGGTGTGTTCAAAAGAAGGGAGTAGATCAAAGAAATGGACGAAATAGAGATGATATGGTTCATACACCAAGGAAAGAGACTAGAGAAAATTGTCGTGCTACATTTTCTGTGAAGTATTGTCCTAAACGGGATGCTTATATTGTGACTAAATTTGTAAAGAAGCACAGCCACCGACTTGCTAACTCACGTGAGGTGCCTTTTCTTCGTTTGCACCGGTGTGTTATGGAATCTAACATAGCACAATCTATGTCTATGAGAAAAGCCTCTATTAAAACCAATCGGACATACGACTATATGGTTGACCAAGCAGGTGGATACATAAAAGTGAGGTTCACCAGTAAGGATTTATATAACAGGATGGATTTCGAGCATCGACAAGTGGTATTGAATGGTGATGCACAAGCAGCAATAAGCTACATGAATTCCAAGGCAATAGCGGACCCGGAATTTTTTTGCATGTTTAGTGTAGATGAGGAGAATAGATTGGCAAATTTGTTTTGGAGAGACTCTCAGTCTCTACATGATTATTGTTGCTTTGGGGATGTGGTGATATTTGATAGCACGTACAAAACCAACGTATATGACAAGCCTTTAGTGGTGTTTGTTGGTGTAAACAACCATAACGCGACTACAGTTTTTGGTTGTGCATTTCTTGTTGATGAGATTGCTGATATATATCATTGGGTACTCAGAACTTTTTTGACTTCTATGAAGGACAAGAAGCCTATATCTATTGTCACGGACGGGGATGAGGCAATGCGCATAGCGATTGATGAAGTTTTTCCCGATGCACATCATTGTTTATGTACATGGCACATCATGAGGAATGTGAACACCAATGTGAATAACCCATAAATTGTAAGGGAGTTTAGCTATTGTGTGCATGGTGGTTTGACACCAGTGGCATTCAAACAACATTGGCAGCAAATGATAGATACATATGATCTAAAAGGTGATTGGATTGAGATGATGTATTGTAAACGGAAACGATGGGCTGAAGCGTACTGCTCGGGGCATTTTTTTGGTGGGAATACCACCACACAACGTGTCGAGGGTGTGCATAAGAATTTGAAGGATGTAATTGGTAGAGGCATGAGGTTAGTGGAGTGTATTCCACGGATTGAAAGATCATTATTGAGGTTGAGAAATGATAATGTGAAGGATGACTTTGATTCCAACAATTCACAACCACTCCTTCGTACGCACCTTCGATCACTAGAGGAACATGCAGCTTCTATTTTCACTTACGACATTTACAAGTTGATAAGAAATGAGATAAACAAGGAGGCAAAATAAATTCTCGTGCAACTCGTAAGAAACAATGAAGATCCTCGTGTTTACACATTTTCCAAAATTGGAAGACCCGATGAGAAATGGACCGTAGTGTACTACAAGAAAGAGCAACATCTGCAGTGTTCGTGCAAATTATTTGAATCCATTGGAATTCCGTGTTGTCATATGTTTGGAGTCATGAAATGTGATCATATGGATCAAATACTTCCGAACTTAATAATGAAGAGATGGACAAAGGATGCAAGACGTGGGAGTGAATTTGTAGTCAAGTCGGATGATGTTCCCAACGAAACTATTCAAATGGCTAGGTTTGGGTCATTAAGCGCTGATTTTAACAAGCTTTGTTTTTATGGGTCGCAGACAGAAGTCGCTTACAAGAGACTAAATGCTTAATTTGGGAGATTAAATACTTTGGTTGAGACATGGAAGGAGCAACATGAGTAAACTAGTCTTAATCTAGGATGCCATAATAATGTTGTAAGAGACCCCATAGTTGCTAAGACAAAAGGAAAGCAAACAACGGGAAGCAAAGGCAAAAAGGCCCCACAATGCGGAGAGTGCAAGGTTACTGGTCACAACAAAAGAAACTTTCCAAATCGCATTGTTGGTAAGGGAGGTAAGCAGAAAAGGGGTTATACAAGTGACAGGAGCAATATTCTTTCTAGTTTTGGACCATAAGATGATACAACTATTGGGAACAAAACATTTTATTCCCCCTCGAGTGGTGTTCATGGGACTAAGACGTTGTCCTCTTCTTATACAACCCCTAACTCAGGCTTCTTATGTGGCGAAGTGTACCTAGTGGCTCCACTCATTACACCTCTGATGGTTTCACCTTTGAGACACCTGAGTATAGTGTATTGGAATCACAATTTGACACACAAGACTCGCCACCTAGAGATTGTAATAGATTTTGGGTTCCATTCACCCCAATAAAATGACATGGATTGTAGTACTTCTACTATATATATGGTTTAGGTTTTATGTACTAAATATTCATTACAACCATATTGTTCATGTATTTCTCCAACTTTTGGCATGACATATATCATTAGTGTTATTTTGTATCTATGTTAATGTTACATGTAGGAGTTTTGATACATTAATATTGATATTTTATTATGATTTTGCATGATTAGAATGGTTAAATGCAATAAATTCCATTGTTTTTCATATTTAGGTTAAGTGCTTAATTATGAAGATACATGAAAAATGGGAAAAATGATATGGTGGAGTTCTTTGGAAATTGCCAAACAATCAATATGATTTTGCAACATGAAATGGCAATTGCACATTGTCTGTTCATCACTTTCATTGTCCAATTCAGAATGTTTTCACCATCAAACTTTCATAATTGAGTTTGTCAGATATAGTCATTCTTAGTGTTTGTTAAACTACAAATTTGACATAGTTAACAACCAATCTTTGTCAGATATAGTCAGATATAGTCATTCCATTGTTAAACTACAGATTTTAGGTCTAGTTAGAACTGGGTGTATTGGGTTTTACTGTTTAGATTGGCCTTCTAGCCCAAGAACAAGAAACATTTCTTCAACCTAACCGGTCACTGCCTCAGATTCTCAGAAGCACGACATTCACAGGCACCTCCAGGAGCTCTTCAACATCGCAAACTCTTGCACGTTTACTTCTCCAACTCCCAAAGCTTCAAACTTTTCAGTGAGTTATCCTTTTGTCTGCTCGAAATTTTAAAGGATTTTGAATCACTTACTGCCATGGCTGCCCTTATTGAAAATTGATTTTAATTTGGCGATTTTAGATTTTTGTCTGTAATTTTTTTCCATTTGTCAAAATTTTTATTTTGGGAAAGTCTTCATTTTGATATGAACTTTGATCACGAGGTTGTGCTTGACTGCAATGGTTGATGAAATGCCTGTGTCAAAGTTTGAGACTGTAATTTTTCTGTGTGTTTGTACTCTTCCGAGTAGGCATTCATGTATCATATGATGCATTGTTATGATACTTAATTCTGTGACAAATTGTGTTATTGGAAATAACTAGTGGGTCTGCTCTGGTGTAATATGCATAAAGGTTTATATGCTTGCTTATTTTTATCTTTTATTATTATTATTTATCTTGGTTAAGTTGTTTACCTAGTATAGCTAGACCAGTGAGAACTTGTCCCTTGTATTGTTCTGTTCTCTTCTTAATCAATTTTTTTATTTCAAAAAAAAAAAAAAAAAAAAAAAAAAAAAAAAGGCAAGGGACAGATAGAGAAGCAGGTAACAGTACATACTGTAGTTCAAAATAGATTACAAAAACCAAGAGGACGTGTTTTCTTCTTTGTTTTTGGTTCATAGGGATACTTCTATCTTGCCCATATTATGTCATGCTGCCTACGATTGCAAATTCTAAGCCATTCTTTTAGGACTTCACGATTTGGGTTTCAGGATTATGTCCTAGGCCCAATTCCAATTGAGATTTATATTGCGTTCTATTCCTACGGTTTTTGGTATGATTGTTATTATTTTTTCTTTACCGGTTTTGTATTTTTTTTCAGGCCTTTCAGTTGTGAATATGGGGAAGAAGCCCTCGACGAAGAAGTCAACTTCCCAGAATCGCTGCAAAGGCAAAGGTGTAGTTCCTACACCGGTGGCGCAGAACAAGGCATCAAAGAGAAACAACAACCGTTCTGTTGTAACCAGTGAGTGGGGTTCCAGTTCCACAGCATACCACTCAAATCCTGCTTATCACCCTTTGTTTGGCGTGAGGCGATACACACACAAGAACCACAACTCATCGGATCCTGTGCTACATGTCAATGTCTTTGACCATTTATCTTATAAGGTAATTATCCAATTGCATTTCACACTTACAATTACCTGTATACTGTCTAGCAATTGGATGGTTCATAAATCCAATTGCATTTAAAGTGTGCGCAATTAGATTTCACATATGTAATTACCTGCCTACTGTTAGGCGATTGGATGCAATTAAGAAATATGCACTTACTGAACACCATCCAATTGCATTTAAAGTGTGCGCAATTGGATTTCACATATGTAATTACCTGCCTACTGTATGGCGATTGGATGAAATTAAGAAATATGCACTTACTTAACACAAAGTTTGCCTTGTTGTACTTGCATCTAATGCTATTATTAATACTTGCAGAATACTTTGACACACATTAAGGGCTGCGGAAACAACACTATGTGGTTTATGGTATCAGCATGAATTGCCTCATCGAGTGCAGGAGAAAGTAGCTTTTGCGGGGTTTGCAGACTTTGCAATTTTACTTGGAACAAAGGGAAGAAGAGACAAACACCTCCTGATGGCATTGGCGGAGCGGTGGTAGGACACAACACATACATTCCATCTAGATGAAGTTGGGGACCTTACCATGACCCCAAAGGACTTTAGTGCCATCACGGGTTTACCCGTATGTGGGAAGTCTTTAAAGTATGACAAGGAGGCTCATGCCAAAATTGAGGAGTTGGTGAGGCTCTTTGGGACCCCCATTCGAAGCATCCTCAATGCCAAAATGAAATACAGGGACATTGTTAATAAGTACAAGAGGTGGAAGCCCCAAACCCCTGAACAAGAAGAGCAGTTAACGAGTGTCTTCATTCTTGCAGTGCTTGGCAACAGTTTGTGCAATGATAAGAGTGATTCTGTGTACTTATATTACATGCCAAGCCTTGCTAAAGTTGAAGAAATAAAAGACTATAATTGGGGCGGGGTTGGGTTGGCATGCTTGTAATATCATAATTTACAAACCTAAAGAGATGTAGTACAATATTAACATTTGGATGGTAAATTGGGTCCTCATACTTGTAAACTCGGATGTTTACAATATTAAGGTCTTATATTACTCTTTTATGGATAGTTATGATTGTAAAACTCATCCTTAGTGTTGTGATATTGTAATTTACAAAGAGGACATCTAGTACAATATTAAGGTGACTAGGGACATTAGGAAATTAAATTGGGTCCTTATACGTGTAAACACATGCGTTTATTATATTAAGGTCTCATTTTACTCAGTTTTGGATAGTTATGTTCCATAAGATTGTAAAATGCATCCTTAATCTTGTAATATCGTAATTTACAAAGATAAAGACATGTAGTACAATATTAGGGTAAAGGGGAACAATCGGAAAGTAAATTGGTTCCTTATACTTGTAACCAGGGATGTTTACAATATTAAGGTCTTGTATTACTCTTTTGGGATAGTTATGTTCCAGAAAATTGTAAAACTCATCCTTAATCTTGTAATATCCTAATTTATAAAGAGAAGGACATCTAGTACAATATTAAGGTAACTAGGGACATTACAAAAGTAAATTGAGTCCTTATGCGTGTAAACACAAATGTTTACAATATTAAGGTCTCATATTACTCTATTAGGACAGTCATGTTCCATAAGATTGTAAAATGCATCCTTAATCTTGTAATATCGTAATTTACAAAAATAAAGACATTAAGTACAATATTAGGGTAAAGGGGAACATTCGGAAGGTAAATTGGGTCCTTATATTTGTAAACTTGGATGTTGACAATATTATGGTCTTGTATTACTCTATATGGATAGTTATGTTCCAGAAATTGTAAAATCCATCCAGTCAATTGTAATATCATAATTTACAAAGATAAGGACATCTAATACAAAGAAAAATGACCCCCAATACAAAGAAAAAAGAACCTTAGAGCACCTCCAGCGCCCAACCCAAACTGGGTGAAAGGCTGCCAGAGAGAGCCCGAGATGGCTCCAGCGCAGGACCCGTAGCCCGATTTCATGGTGGGTCCCACGAGCCCGAGGAAGCCCAAGGGCAAGTCTTGCCCGGGCTGAAGCCCGAGTTTGGTGACGTCAGCGCTGGCGTCACGCTGACGCCAGCGCACGATAACTCAAATTTTTTTTACCGTTGGCGCGTGAATTACACGCACCAACGGTAAAAAAATTTGACTTCCGTGCGCTGGCGTCAGCGTGACGCCAGCGCTGACGTCACCACTTGACAGCTCCAACGGGCGTTTGCCACGTGGCGCGACGGGGACTCTCGGATGGCTTTTTTCCAAAAATCCGACGGTCCTCGTTTTTTTGGCTAAAAAAATTGCAAAAAAATTCGAAAAAATTCTGAAATTTTTTTTAAAAAAATACCCAAAAATTCTGTATTTTTTCTCTATAAATACCTAACCATTTTATTTACTTTCCACACTAAATCTTCATACAATTTCTTCTCCATCCAATATTTTTTACTCTTTACTCACATTATTCACTTTCCACACCAATTCTTCATACAAACTTTTCTCCTTCCAATATTTTTTTATCTCCACTCACATTTTTCACTTCCACACCAATTCTCCATACAAACTCTTCTCCTTCCAATATTTTTTACTCTCCACTCACATTTTTCTACTACTTTCCATTTGTATAAAAAAAACGAATGGCATCTTCTATTGAAGTCGGAGGCTCGTGGTCAACGAATGAAGATATTGCGTTGTGTCAATCTTGGGTGAACATTAGTCATGACCCTATCACGGGCAATGAGATGAAGTTTCATCACATGTGGAGCAAAATTCATGGAGAATTTTGTCAAAGATCGGGTTCTATTCGGACCGAAATGGCGTTGTCTAGTAGATGGAAACTTCTGAATAAAGAGTTAGGGAAATGGAGAAATGCCTTGACAAAAGCAAAGGCGAACATTCAAAGCGGTCAAAATTTGACCGATGAGGTAAAATATTTATAATTGCCATTTTAATCAATTCAATGTCACTTTTTTTTTATTGCATATTCTATTTGTTTTTCTTGCATATTTTTTTTTCTTGGTGCACCTTTAATTTGTCTATATTTTCTTGCATAATCAATTTTATTTTTGCATTTCAAAATAGTTTATATTTTCTTGCATAATAATTTTTGTTTCTTGCACTTCCAATTATTTATTTTTAATAGATGATACAAGCACAAATGTGGTTCGGTGCCATGGGGCAAGGCAAAAAAAGTTTCGTGCATTTCCATTGTTGGGAAATTGTGAAGGATTGTTCGAGATTCAAAATTATTCCCACCGGTCCGCCGGTTGTGATGAATGAGACGCCACTCCACGATTCGACATCAACCGATTCTCCATTGGACTCCCCAATGGAAACGGAGTCACCATTTGTGCCACGTCCGCCGAGACCTATTGGGAGAAAGGCGGCAAAGGCCAAGAGAGGGGGCACTTCGACCAATGAATGTGTACAATTATTGGAGCAAATAGCTAAGAGCACCTCACTAAGAATGGAGAGAGACTTGAAAAGAGATGAAATGGACATGGCACGAGAGGAAGCTTTTGTTATGCAACAACAAATGGCACAAGAAAAAGACATAGAGGATAGAGAGATGAAAATCATGGCCATGGATACGAGCCATATGTCTCCCGAAACAAAGGCCTATTGGAAGCTACGACGAAGAGATGTGATGAGAAAAAAACTTTTCCATGACGACGGACCTAGCAATACGGATTGGTTAAATTATGAAAACCATTAGGTTGTATTGAAACACCTTTGCCATATGTTGTATTGTTGTATTATCCTTTAATTTGTTGTATTGTTTCCTTTTTATTCAATAAAAAAAGCATTAAATAAAATGACTATTTATTAAAAACATTTGAGCATCAAAACAAATATTAATTAAAAAAAACCTTCATTTATTGCAAACAACACACAAAACAAACCATACATAAAAGCATAATAATAAAAAGCATAATTGAGAGTAGAATGTGTTTTCTAAAATCTGAGAAATGAAGGAATAGATAAGAGATGGTGTGAGAGGTATGAGTTGATGGTGTAGTTTTATAGAGGGATTTAGAAGATAGAGATGACACGTGGCACAATTTTAGAGGATGAAAATCTTATCTAAAATCTGATATTATAATTTTTTTTAAATATCTGAAAATCTTATCTGACATTTGACACGTGGCACAATTGTAGAGGGTGAAAATCTTATCTGAAATATGAGATTATAATTTTTTTAAAATATCTGAAAATCTTATCTGACATTGGACACGTGGCACAATTTTAGAGGTTGAAAATTTTATCTGAAATCTGATATTATAATTTTTTTTTCAATATCTGAAAATCGTATCTGACATGGGACACGTGGCACAATTTTAGAGGGTGAAAATCTTATCCGAAAATTTAATTACAAAAGATTATCAAAATTAATGGTTTAAAGTATAAAAAAATTAGGAAATAAAGTACAATGAATAGTAATTGCCTTAGACTTGCCCTAGACTTTGCCCTTGTGGGTGGAACCACAAATGCAAAGGCTGACACTATTCACGTGAATAGTGGCAGCCCTTGCTTGCCCTTGCCTTAGACTTAGCCCTTGTGGGTGGAGATGCTCTTAGAGGAGTAAATGTAGTCATTATCCTTGTAACCAAGGTGGTGGTTACAACATTCAGGATTCGTATTATACTAAAGTGGACATACTCGTTCAATTACATTGTAAAAGTAATTCTTAATCTCGTAATACCATCATTTACAACAACAAGGAACTCTTGTATAAGAATAGGGTAAGCATGGACCTTGGTGGAATCAATTTGGTCCTTGCGATTGTAAACATGGGGCTTTACAACATATAGGACTTTGTTTATATTGATATGGACCCATGGCTTCCATAAATGTATAAGAGGGATCCTTATACATGTAATAGCGTAATATACAAAGGAAATGACCCCGAATACAATGTTAAGGTAAGAATGAACCTTAGCAGAGTAAATTCAGTCATTATCCTTGTAAACAAGGTGGTGGTTACAACATTAAGGATTTGTATTATACTAAAATGGACATACTCGTTCCATTACATTGTAAAAGTCATAGTTAATCTCGTAATACTGTAATTTACAAGGGAAATGACCCCCAAGGCAATGTGAAGGTAATAATGAACCTTGGAGGAGTAAATTGGGTCCTTGTCCTTGTAAGAACAAATAGTTGCAACAATAAGCACGAACAGTACACTATTATGGACATAGGCATTCCACAAATTAGTAAACGATATCCTTACATTTGTGAATTACATTACTTGGGTTTTACATAATGCGATGTGGTCATTTTTTTTTGTTAATATTTAAATATAAAGTAAAAAAATATTTTCTTTAGGTTTTGTGTGATTTGCACTAAAAGTCATTGTTTTACGTTTAGGTACTTCAATCATGGAAAGGGAGAACGATTGAACAGGAGGCAGGAATTGCACACTGTAGTTTACCAATTACCAAATGGGCAGTAGGATTACGCACATTTGAATTACAAATACATAGGTACTGTTTGTCAATTGCCAAACAAAAAGCAGTAATTGCACATTGAAATGCAATTGGATTCCAGAAACAATAAATTACAGTCCCCTGATTTGGCAATTACTGTCACCGAATATGGTAAATCCGCTAAAGACCAAAACATTGGAATGACCATCATAACTTGCAATAGAAACAGAACCAAGGCTAGCAGCGCAAAATAAAGTTAACATATTAACTTCATCAATTGTTCGTACATATGGTTACCCAACAAAGTTAACATATTAACTTCACCAAATTGCATGTTCACATCCTCTATTACATTTTCACACCATGTGCTAGTCATAATCTATATAATATGGAAACCGAAATAAGGACACCAAATAGGACAATCGACCTAGAAGTACAAAGAAAGGTGTCCTACCTAACCATGGTCACAAGCCTTTGAAAACCACTTTACAAAAAACAAATAAGTTGTCATGTTATACCATGGTGACCCTCCTTCCAAAAATATAGGGTATGCATCAAAACCAATACCATCACAGCATTAGATCTAACCTCACAAAAATATATACTGGTCAGTCATTAGAGTCACATTACCTAACCTTGTTAGTGGCGCCGAGGTCTAGGCTGACTGCGGCCTGTACGTGTTTTTGGTATAGTCACTGCTGATTTTTTTTGTTTCCGAATATAAACCCTCTTTCTTCTAACGGTCACATCTGCCACATCCATGTCTTTAACCTCAACATTACCAATCTTGTTCCCCTTCGCCATAAAATCAGATCCATTTTCCATCACTTTCAATGCTTCACGTGTTATTGCATCACACAATAGATTTTTTTCATTTCGGACCAACTCAATAGCAAGTCGCATTTGTTGTTCATTAGAGTCGTACTACAACCAACAAAAAAAAACTTTAGCGTTTCATTACGTATTAAACATTTATACCATAAAAATAGCACATGCGCAATGCATACCCGGTCATACCACAATTGACAATAATATTGCATGTGTCTTATGACAAAAATGCCACAATTCACACCATTAGGTTGGATGGGATTGACATTCAATGGGGACACAACAGAAAAGAAGGAGAATGTCCACTCCGTCCCAAATATCGACAATATGTCATCATGAAAAACAGAGTCTAGGTACAAGAACATAGTCAACATTAGTAACATTGAGCAAATGAAATACGTATACTTGCATTGAACAAAAGCTTATCCACTTACACTAATATGGCAATCGTTCTCGCGTTTCTTATTGTGACGCGCATCAGGTAAACTATCCCAAATTTCAGCTTTCTTATGGAAAATGTCACAAATAAAAAGATACCAGTGACCAATTACATCCTCGTGCATCGGAATATAGATCTGCAAAAAAGTGGTATATTCATTATCACCGATAATTGATATTATTGGAGCTTGCATACGAAACCCACCTGCATGCAATCCTTCAGTCGCCCATTAAATCTTGCGAGACAAAAGTTGTGTGTCCTAGCACATGATGTCATACGATCACTGGGACGTGCGAACTTGGCGCATTCCTGTATTTTATGAGATATAACACATCACCTTTAACCAAAAAATATCCTTCAGTAATCTTACCCATTTACTTACCGACCAAAAATACGTAGGTAGGAACCATTTTGTGGAGGTGGTATCATATAAATAGTCTGCCATTACATTGATTATCTATTACAAGATAAGACACGATGGTTAGCATCCTAGTACCGACATTCCAAACATATACTAATGAGTAGTTAAATACATATTCGATGCATAGTCCTCACATCATCAAAGAGAGGTGACCCAGGGGCAAGGCTTCTCAAATGGTGATGATCTATAGCTACAGCCCCAGTGTCAACGAGTAGTTCACTGTCAAACAGAAAAAATAGTCGTTCTAATCAATTGTTCTTATGTCATTATAACAACACATATAAAAATTCATTTCACAAATTTGGTTCAGGGTATAGGTCCAAACTTTTGGATCCAATGGATTGCAACAAAATGCAAACTTAGTAGATCTCTATCATCTTCAGAAATATCGTTGGTCATCCGGAATGGACCGACACCCAATCTCTTCATAATCTGCTCGTGAGCAATTACTTGTCGGGTTTTTGCATTTGCTTTAGCTTTCAACTCATTGATGTCTTCATAAGGAGTTCTCTTGTGGGGACCCGGCTTTCTATTCGCTGTTGCACGCGTCACTATCGGATCCCTTGTTGAAGTTGAACTACAATTCTCTAAGAACAAATTTTTAACTTTGTTGTGACCCATTTTATCCTAGTGGCCACAAATCATTACAAAATAGCATTTACAAATCAATATAACTGAAACAAACATATATTAGATGATACAAAGAATTTGCATAAAATAAGGACACCTAACTTTGTTATTACATTGGGAGAAAACCAAATAAAAATACAACGTAATCCATAGTACAATGATTTCTGCAAATCAAATACTCGATAATTGTCATCATCCAAACATGTAAACCAACAAGTGAAAATATGAAAATGCATACAAACAAGCTACAACCAATACTCATCATACCTCATTCTGAGGTTGTTTTGCATGTTTTCTTTCACGGATGACTTCAATAGAGGGAGCCGAAGTTTTATCAACAGTTGCAAATCCTTTAACATTGTCATCTTGCTCGTTGGGAGTTCCGTTTTCTTTGTTTGGCCTACTTTTTGGAGGTTTAGTATTTCCAAGGAATTTTTGTCCCCCATCACACCCCATATCAAGCATGTTATCATCTTCCTTCTTCAGTTTAACTTCCAGTTCATGAGGGCATGGAGTGCGCAATGTTCTTTCTTTCTCTTCATTTTTGATGATAACACAGACATAATATTGGAGAGCGATTCGTCCATACGAGCAATAGTGGCCACCAAAGTTGCCACATCCTTTCGTATTGAACTTAACTCTCCGGCAAAGTGAGTCATTGTTTTGGCATCATCTCCAAGACCTCCATATTCAGTTTCCATAACAACTACCTTATCACTTTCAAACCCCCCTCTTTTTTGTAGTCACTTCTTCATTTTTCAGCCTCTTTTTTGGACATAGCAACGTGCATAAAGCAAACGTGACAAAACCAACTTTGAAAAAGTCACCTGCTTCTTCTGTCCCCACCAGTATCTGCTTCAACTCATTATTTTTTAAAAGCTTCTTCCTGCCCAAAAAAGAATTTCGCACCTTTACAATGTCTTGGTCATCCATAGATCCAGTGAAGTCAACTTCCTCTCCTCCATCCTTAACACCTATTATGCGCACGAAGTCATCCACAGATATCTTAAATGTTTTCCCATGTAGCATGATTGATGATTCAGAGGATTCAATTTATCAACCAAAAAATGACACATTGAATGTGACAGTTTTCGGCACTTCATTTCCAACAACGAAACAAATCCCATTTCTTCAATGGCTTCTTTTTTCTCATCACTTAAAACATTTATAGTGTCCTTTATATCCTTCGGACTGCATCGTGTGGCTATCTTCAAACAACTCTTGTTCGAGGCATTCGTTGAAGGTGTTTTAGATTCATACTCTGCTTTCTGAGTAGCATCCAACTTTTGCCACATATTAGCGATTTCCTTCTTCGTCTGAGGAAGAAAATAATAAAATTCAATCAATTCATTATAAATTGTGAGCTGTAACGTCTCTATTTAAATGTATTGTTTACAATTTATCACTTTCATATCCACTTTCTCCACTATTTTTTGTGCCTTCATTTCATCGCCCTTTGTTTTCCTATTTAAAACATTCACATTTAGTTAGTCTTATAAAAAGTACTTAATATACTGGAAGAGACGTTTAACACTTACAGAAAGTTAAAATAACCGGTCTTGCGATGAATCACCATCTTGGATTCGTCTTTTGTTGTTTTTGGATTTTTGCCCTTACTATGCACATCACTGTTCTTTCTCACTATTTTATAATTCCAATTAACGATGAGCCTGCATTAAACAAGAAAAACATTTTATATATCAAATAAAGTCAATAGAAAATAATAACATGTCAACTCATATGCAAATTGTCAAACTATATCAAATAATAACATGTTAACTCATATCAATGGGAAAATAATATTTCAACTCATATGCAATGACCAAAGGAGATATGAAATTGCAAGACCCTTAGGCATTGTAAAATTCCCATTCAACGTAATTGTCAGGCATCCAAAACAATCTCAATGTTTGTTCTCATGCTATCCACTTTCATGAAAATTTTACAATTTTTAATAATATGTGAACGAAATTAACTTCAACCCATTATTTTTTAAATCTTTCAATCCATTCCATAGTTCGAACATCCAAGAACACAACATATTAAACAAAACAAAAAGTAGTCTTATCAAATAAACAATCGAAAAATAACATGTATATATCAATTGCCAACCAGGTGCAATGAAATTGTATTACCCCTACGCAATTGCATTTTCGTGCTATACTATATCACTTTCTACATATCCAACATGAGGCATCACGAAACACTTTTAATGGTTGTTCTCACCTTACTGATTGTAAAGACTATTTTGCAATTTGTAATAAGGTTACCCACCCGCAAAAATGAAATTCATATTACGTTTTCAAAAATAAACTTAAAGAGGTGAGATTAGGGTTTAGTAAAACACAAGTCATATTACGCAATACTAATTTTACAAAAGGTTATAGGGTTTATCAAGAGATAAAATGAGATTCTTCAATACTACCCTTACAAAACTTCAAACTAAGTGCTTTAAACCTTAAGTAAATAGCTACCAATCAATGGAGGAATCTTCACCACATAACATATGTTAACTCATATGCAATTGCCAAATCATAGAAACAAATTGCATCAACCTTATATAATTCCATTTTAGTGAGTCATACCAAATAAACTAAAATAATAACATCTCTACTCATATTCCAATTTTCAAACGGACTTTTATTGAACCATATATGAAATTGCATTCTCGCCAATCATATCAAACAAACTCAATTAGAAAGTAATATGCCAACACATATGCCAATTGACAAACAGAAAGCTATGAATTGCATGACCCCTATGCAATTGTATTTTCGTGCTCCAATAAATCATATTATATACATCCAACGAATTTCTTATGCGTAATTTTACAATGCTTGTTCTTTGTGTAAAATATGAAATTACAATGCTACTAAATTTCATTCAAATTTTACAATTTAGAATAAGGTTACCTACCCACACAATATTCAATTCATATTTGGTACAAAACTTAGTTGAGATTCAGGTTTACCCATAAACAGAAATTAACTTAAAAATTCTTGAGATTAGTTAGGGCTTAGCAAGAGAGAGATGAGATTAGGGTTTACCCATAAACATAATTAACATAAAAAAGAGGTGAGATGAGTTAGGGCTTAGTAAGAGATAATTGAGATTGCTCAATACTAACCTTAGAAAGCTTCAAATCAACTGATACCCAATGTTTTAACCCTTAGGAAACAATTGACAACCACTGCAGAAGATACCAATGGAGGAGATCACAATATTCAGCAGTTGAGTTTTTGGGGTTTTGAAGAGAAGCGCGCTAAAATTTTCAGCAGTGGAGTTTTTTTGGTTGTGGAGAGCAGCCCGCTCAAATATCAGATGACAAATCAATTACCTCCACTTGTTATAGCAGGTTTTCTTTTCATTTTTTTACAACTCAATTGGCATGTGCACTACACATGCTACATAAACAACAAATGGAGCATGGATACACAAGGTGCACCGTAGAAGGTGCCTAGACCTCAGACCTCAGACCTCAAGACGAGCAGACGAGCAAACGAGAAGACATAACAAAGAACGAAAATTCTGTGGTGCATCGGTTGTACTGGTACAGCCGATGATCCAACGGATGAGATTCCATGTTAAAAAAGCATGGCTGAGATTGAATGACTTAATAACCTGTTGAACCCTAGTTATTCAACATGTGAGTGGCATGTGAGGAAAGAGAAAGGGAGGTTCGGAGGATGAAGAAGACGCGTAGGTTTGGACAAGAAGACGCACGCTCTCCCCTGTAGTTGGCAAAATCGAAAATTCTAAGAGTCCATCCAATCCTTAGCGCCTCCAGGAACTTTTCTCTTTGCTTGCCCAAATCCAATCCCTAGCTCCTCCAGGAACTCTTTTCTCTGCTTGCCCACTGTCTTTGCTTGCTGAAGAACTCTTGGATCTGCTTCACCAGGAAGTCATCTCTCTCAGTTGCCCAAATCCATCCTAAGCGCGTCCAACTCTTATTTGTGCTTGGGCAAAACGCATCTGCAAGAAGGTAATGCTCATTGAATTGAGGTCCTCAACTCTTCTCTCTGGTTGCCCAAAACTCATATGCAGATACGGAATTGATGGTGGGTCCAACCTCCATGATGAAATGGTCACCAAATTGGAGTTATTGAATTAATTCAGTTTCTTCTGTTGGCATTGTCTGATATAGAATTTCAATTTCGTAGGGGAATGGATTTGTAATAACAATGTGGTTGTAAAGATTTTGAAGATCCTTGGCTGTTAACGACGACATTTGAGTTGGTGGCAAAAGGAAGTGCAAGGAGGAGACTTTGAAAGTATGGAAACATCAAGTAAGATTTCAAAGAAACCTCTTTTCTGGTTTAGGACTTGAATGTATTTTGGGTAATGAGTTGATCCAATTGCATGTTTTTTGTTGCGAAATAGTTATATGTGGTGCAATTATTGACCTGACTATATGCAATTGCATGAGATTATTCATTTGTGTTTTGTTAAGAGAAATTATATTAACAAATAGAGTATAATGTAATTTCAGTTTGAAATTATGTTTCTCAGGCATAGAGGGGTGTGGTAAGATGGACAGGGTGTAGAGACATCAAAGGGTGGTTGTAGTGATTCAGGGTATCTGGGTGGTTGTGAAAGGTCGAGTCACAAGGCACCGGCAACAGAGAGTGGGCATATGTCGGTCGAACATATGGTTAGTCAAAGTAGTGATGATAATGGTGTTGACATGATTGCACCGATGAAAGAAGATGTTATGGGGAAAGAGTTTAAAACGATAGAATTAGCGGAAGAATATTATATGAGTTATGCAAAGGGCATTGGATTTAGCGTGAGAAAAGACAAATTGGTTCGAAATTCGGAAGGGAAAGTATGTAGGAGACGGTGGTGTTGTTCTAAAGAAGGTTTGAGAAATGAGAAGTTTAATTATCGATCAGATAGAATTCGACCACCGAAGGCAATTACAAGAGAGAATTGTTCTGCCCATTTTTGGGTGGGTTATGAGAAGAAATGTGATGTTTACGTCGTTAGGAATTTTGAACCACATCACAATCATCAACTAGTTACTCCACTTGAATCGCCATATCTCTGATGTAACCGTGTCGTTAGAAAATCCGATTTAGCACAAGCAGTGGGAATGTGAAGAGCATTGTTTAGAACATGTCAAACATATGAGCATATGGTGGACCAATGTGGCGGGTATTTAAATGTTGGTTTTCAAATAAAGGATCTGTACAATAAGTTGGATGCATCACGCAGGGAAATTTTACTCGACGGTGACACAGAAGCCGCACTCTGTTACTTGAAAGCGAAAGGAGCAATGGATCCAGAATTCTTTTGTAAGTTCAGTGTTGACGAGGAAAATAGGCTTGGTAATTTGTTTTGGAGGGACTCCACTTCACTTTTGGATTACATTGCCTATGGCGACGTCCTCATATTCGACAGCACATACAAAACAAATGTTTATGACAAGCCCCTAGTGTTGTTTGTCGGTTCGAACAACTATCGGTCTACTGTAATGTTTGGTTGCGCATTATTGCAGGACGAGGCATTTGAAACTTACAAGTGGTTATTGAAAACATTCATGGCATCCATGAAAGATAAGAAGCCAATATCAATATTGACAGATGGCGATGAGGCGATGCGTAAAGCCATTGATGATGTGTTTCCCATGTCTAACCATCGGTTGTGCTCATGGCATGTGTCAAGGAATGCACAGAATAACTTGAAGGATGATGAATTGCTAAGAAATTTTCAGGCATGTATTTGGGAACCATTTGCATTTGACGAGTTTGAGAAGAAATGGGAGGTTTTGAGGGAAAGAGCGAGTACTCCGAAACAAAAAGAATGGTTGGAAATGATGTATGAAAAAAGAGACTCATGGGCTGAATCATGTATGAGAGGAAAGTTTTTCGGTGGTATGTGCACCACTCAACGTGTGGAGTCCATGAACAAGTATGTGAAAGATTACTTGAGGAAAGGCGTGAAGTTGTTTGAATGTATTCCAGCAATCGATAGGGCTATGTTACGTCTTAGGAATAACACGGCGAAGGATGGTTTCAACGCAAAGTACTCAACACCAGTCCTTAAAACCGCATTGACAAAACTGGAGCAACAAGCTTCTCTGATTTACACGCATAGGTGCTTTGTATTGGTACGTCATGAGATCGAATCTTGTTCAGCACTCACCCATGATAATGTGATGCATAATTTTGGAGGTCGTGTGGTATTGTCCAAATATGGTGAACCGCATAATAATTGGACTTGTGTTTACCACGGTGGGGAAAATATGCGGATAGAGTGTGGATGTCGGAAATATGAAAGTGAAGGAATCCTGTGTTGCCACCTGTTTTATGTAATGAAGTGCGAGCACCTTACGGAAATTCCTCCAGCACTCATAATGAAGAGATGGACAAAGAGTGCCCAAACTGATACATGTATGGAATTTATCGGCAAAGGTAAAGACACTACCAACGAAGTTGTAGAAATGGCGAGGTATGGAAGTTTAAATGCTATGTCAAACAAAGTTTGTTTTTATGCATCGAAGAGTGCAGAGGGTTATGCCATGTTGATGAATGAGTTTAGTAGATGGGAGGGAATTTGTGAAGGCTTACGGCAAAAGGAAGAAGAGACAAGTCTGAAATTGGGTACTGCTGACCAATGTCCTACAAATATTGTGAAAAATCCAAATATTGTTAAGACAAAAGGCACTCAAGCAAGGCAAGGTGGAACGCGCAAGCGTCAACAATGTCATTTGTGTCGCGATATGGACATACAAAGCGTAATTGCTCTCAAAGAAACTTGCATCCAAGTAGAAATGCATGTGTCAATATCCCATCGGGTAGTGAAAGCTATCAGTATAGTTCTGATAAAGGGCCGTCCCCGGACATTAGCTACAGTTATCCTAGTCAAATGGTTTCTCAATGCAGAGGCAACTATGTGGTTGATTTGTCTGGTTCTGATAGTTTTTCTACTGCAGACCCAACCGGTTCTACCCCGAACAGTGACGATGGTTTCTCATTCGACAATGGTGAACCTAATTCCCTAAGTACTGGTTCAACCCAAAACAATTGTAGTTTTGGAACTTGGTTTACATGTAACAATTAACATTAAATGTAGATTTAGTGATGGACAATGTGCTTTCATATGACTGTCGTATTATTGTTTTATGTATGTATTGTTCAGAACAAAAGTATTTGCTTGGTTATCTTTGGCGTTGCGCTAGACATTAATTAGGTTTGCGTTTTTAAGGTATGTTTAGTTTCCCCACAGCTGGTCGGCATTTGCATTCCACACGTGCAATTGCATGACGGTGATGCAATGCAAGAGTGACTGTGCGCAAACCAATAATAAGGAAAAATGGATCATTTTTTTTTACAGGCATAATTTGACCTTTTTTTTGAACTATAAATCGAAGGGCAAAATGAACCGAAATACAGAGCATGTAAATAAATGGTAAGGGGCAATAAGCCGAACATATTATATTACAAAACGGCCAATGATCGAAATTACGTACTAATAGACATTGCCATTTAGCATAAATGACTTCCCAAAAGATCCTGAATTTCGTAAAACACAATGTGATTAACCCTAATTTCAATAATAGACATAAGGTCGTAACAACGTATTTGTTTGGATTTCGTTGTGTTTGCGCTATACATTAAATAAGTTTGCGTTTTAAAGCTATGTTTAGTTTGAGCACAGTCAGTCTGCATTTGCATTTCACACATGCAATTGCATGACGGTGATGCAATGCAAGACTGACTGTGCGCAAACCCATAACAACCAAAAATTGATCATTTTTTTTGGGTACAGGCATAAGTAGACCTATTTCTGTAACTATAAATCGAAGGGCGAAATCAACAAAAATACAGAGCATTCAAATAAATGCTAAGGGTTGGGCTATAAGCCGAACATATTCTATTACAAATCGACCAATTATCGAAATTACATACTAATACACATTGTCATGTAGCACAAATGACTTTCCAAAATATCCTCAATTTCATAAACCAAAATGTGATTAACCCTAATACAAAAATAATACACAGAGGGTCCTAATAAAATTCAGAACTTCCTTTTCTTTGTCTTTGCACTATCCATTAATTAGGTTAGCATTTTGAAGCTAGCTTTAGTTTGCACACACCCGGTCAGCATTTGCATTGTAAACATGCAATTGCACGACGTTGATGCAATGCGAGAGTGACTGTGCGCAAACTACTACAGAGGAAAAATGGATCAATTGAAGGCCGCAAAATGAACCGAAATATACTACATGAGAAACAGTAAGGGCCAATAAACTGAATATATTCTTTTACAAAACGAAGATACCATTGTTTGTGCCTAATAAATCACGGTCGTCAGAAGGGACCTCTTCTCGGCCATGGCCCCTGTTCATGGACTGAAACGGCCACATTTCTTCAGACATTTAGCCTTTTCGAAAGCAGAAGAAAATACGAAGGCAGGATTTTCTCGGCCTCACAACCACAGCATTATGGGCCGAGGCCGAGGTCCATGAAAGACCTGGCTGAAGATACTGTGGTCAAATCGCCACGTGGCCTCAGGGTCCTACGCCCCATTTAATGAAGTAGTGCCTCTGACCGCCACAGCAAAACCACTGGGTGCAAGAAGCATTTAATGCACGAGGGCAGAAGGGAAGTGATTGAAGTCAGGATTTGATAACAGGAATCAGAGTGGTTAGGCGCAAACATTCTCATAAAGCATTCTCACAGCTTGAGGTCAGGTCACCAACCACTGGACCAGAGCATTAAATGCATTCCCACGGCCAAGGGGGCAGAGCCCACGATCAGGGCGGTGGCCGAGATTTGCTGAGATTTATGGGGGTCACACCACCATGCTTCTCAACCCAGACCACCATACTTCACGATCCCAAATGCCGATTTGACTACCCACTTGCCCCGATCAGACTCCACCATGCAGATATTTTTAAGCCATTAGGCAGATCTTTTTTCAGCCTCGATTGGCCCTCCAGGACTCCTCCTATAAATACTAAGCTCAAGACCACGTTCAAGAGGTTCAAACACCAAACCAAAAGCCTCCCACGGAGCAACTTATATTTTATGTAATGCACTTTCAATACCTTTACATACTTTCCTAGGAGTAGTGGTAGATTGTAAGGAAAATCCATTCATCAATATATCATACGACCCTTGAGTTTTCAAGGTGCCGGAGCATCATCCTTGTTACCGCCTCATTCACCCCATATATCATATGACCGTCGCTCTCTGAGCAACGCGCCGGAGCACCGCCCAAAATCCACTAACACCACCACTAAATGGCCTTGTAGCTCAGGCCGTGAACCTGACGGCTCTCTCGGCCACAATCGTTTGACTAGAAGTCCAACTCCAAACAGGCGCATCATTTGAACATCTTCTACCCAAACCCCATCACCATCTCAATGCACGGTAGACCGTGCTGGCACACCCGCGTACAACCGCACCGCATCCAAAAGAAGGACATCACGTGTTGACGCATATCCCCTCGGCCCGGAGCAGCAGGCCGCGAGATTTGCGACGGACCAACAACCATGATCCGAAAAATGTTACTGTATCCATAATTTACATGGTTTTCTTTCTCTTTGGGGTACGTGAACGAAGACTTTTCTCACCTTTGCGTTTTTGGTCTGTGGAGTGTTGTTCTGCATCCGGATTACCCTTAGCTGCGGCCCCGTCCTCATCCGCATCCTCATCCTCATCCTCATCCCCGTCTTCGATCCAAACTTCCTCGTCATCTCCCTCTTCATCTTCATCTTCCTCTTCTTCTTCCTCTTCTTCTTCCTCCTCTTCCTCTTCTTCCTCTTCTTCTTCCTCTTCCTCATCTTCTTCATGCTCTTCTTGTATCACAAGTTTGGTCTTTCCTTTTCTACCTATGTCATGTTTAAATTTTGTGCGAAACTCCTACATAAAAAGAAACATTGACATATATAAATAAACAATTTTGTTCACATTTGTTGTGCACACAAGTGATGTTGGTTTGCATTGCAGAATGTAACATATTATTTAAATTTGCAAAATTGAACATCTTATACATCGAACTTTACAATGGAGGTTGGAAGTAACAAACTTACATGTTCTACATCATCATCTACGACGTGTTGAACAAGACCCGAACTCGCAATGGTTGTTCCCGAGGTGTTCTTCAATTTCTCCTATTACAAGATAACATCGTTCATGTTCAATACCATGGTTTGTTATCTGATTATAACATTCGTGATGTTTGTTAATTTTATGAAATGAGTATGAAATGAAGTTGAACTGACTCACAATCTCTTGCCGTAGGCGCCTGATCTCTACGCTTGCTTCCGATGCAGTTGAAAATAGTACAGCATTCAACCCAGCAATTAGGTCCAAAAGCTCGGTTGCAGCTTCAGCAGTGACCTACATTACGGCACATGTAATTACAACAATGACCACCGGAAGCCCTCATGTATTAATAAATTATGCAATAGAAACTACTTACATGCGTGACACCATCAGGTAATGGTAGATATGGGCTATCTTGCCCACGGGGTATCCGCACAAGTTTACTTTCATTTTCAGCGGCCCAGTATGGTATTCGCGCTGACCATGGCTGAGGAGAGATGTTTGCTACCCTTATCTTGGCCCCTTCCGGAGTTCGATGTTGTTCTTCCTGTGGAATTCAGGTATCATTTTAGAATTTTGAAAAATTATATGCATTTCATGCAGCAAGTGTAATTACATAACACGCGTTCAGTGTAGAACGTACCGTTTCACGTAAGTCCGCATAGTGGCGATACCGTATGTACTCATCTCTGTACTGGGCATAGTCAGATGAATTTGCAAGCCATTCGGAAGCTGGGTACCCATTCAGTGCTTCCTCGACTTCTAACTCATCAGTGAGTTTATAATCCAAAAGCATTGTCCTCGGTGGAATTTTTGGTACTTGAGGTTCTGTGGTGTCTAAACTTTGCATTGTGACTCGCTCTCCCAAAAACCAGGCTGAACCAGCTGGTCCCTCAAGTAGGATTCGTTTACGAGTTGCCGGCATGGTATTTTTTACTTCTTCCGGCAACTCGGATTCATTGGTCCCCCATGGGTTCCAATTTACCTGCAATACAAATGCTTACATTTGCGAATCATACATTTTTGTGGTCATAAAATATGGGTTCAAGAGTCAAGGCTTTATACCTGATCCTTTGTTAGATGTCGCATCATCACTCTAAAATGTTCCAAGTGATGTTGCAAGTCCCGCTTTGATTTTGCACCAACCCACCTCAATGTTCGGGGCCACGTGTTCACGGTCCCACTGGGCCTTGATAAAGCAAACGGTTTTAGGTACTCGCAAGCCCATACCTACACAAAAGAAGTATACAAATTAGTAATGTAAGCAAAAAAGTCTGTTGCACTTTGGGGACATTCAATTCGATTACACTAACCTCCCATGCCCTCCAATACCCGCCCATGCTCGATGACCTGCCCCTGGAACAAGAATCCAGTGATCTATACAAGCAAGCCAAAGCCGCACCGCCCCAGTCGTATTTACCAATGTCTGATACTATTTCCAAACAGGGGGCGTAGTGCATACTCACGTATTGGCTTTTATCATTTAGGAATGAGGAGCCAATCAAGCAGAGTAGCCCTGACAATTTGGTTTGCTTCTTTATCATCTTTCGGAATCTTGTTCCAATACGGGGTGCAAAGGCTTTCATACGGCACTCTCCTTTCCCCTGCCAGTAGGTCTGTGATTGGTTTCCCAAACAATTTCATCATCTTGTTCTTATTTTTGTACATCTCGAAGTCGTACTGTAAACGCTTCCCACCAACACGCAATCCAGTGATTGCTGCGAAGTCCGTTGGTGTCATTGTCATCTCTCCAACTTCATCGAAATGGAAGGTGTGGGTAGTGTCCCACCATCTCTCCGCTAAGGCCACAAGTAATGGCCTGTCCCAGCTTCTTTACCTTTGCTTTCACCGTGTCGTGCATTCCTACGTTATACCATTCAGCACACTTGTCGTTGTTTCCACACCCTCTGATTTTTGTTAAAGTCAGCTACAGAAAGCACAAAGGGTTTAGTACAATGAATTTGATTATGACCCACTTACTTACAAATTATTCCAACATGAGAAATGCCAATTGTAAAATTAAATAAGAATACCTTGAAGGAGATATGTTCCTCTAAATCGAAGTGAAGCAACGGTGAACAAGGATTGCGGTCCCTTGGTTTGAAGACACGTACCCTGAACACCCCACTAGCCATAGGACCCGATATTCGTTTCCTGGCTTCCGTTGTTTTGAGCTTGAGGAAGCCACTGAAGAGTTATCTTTCGTACCCTTTGCAACTGTGGTCTTCGGGGCCCGAGAACCTTTATGAGATGCTCCTCCCTCAATGTTCTTCGTCCTCATTATTCCTTCGACTATCCTTCATTATTGATTTAAAACAGCAAACAATGAAACAGATTATGTCTACCTCAACATCAAACAATATAGTAACTCTTTTGACCAAAAATAAAACAATAGAATAACATGACATAATCTTAAAATACATTGAAAACATTTCACAAGCTTCCGCACTCATTGCAGTAGAAGGATGCAGACAAAATAACAGAAAAACACACAAACACACACACATTGCTCCAACAAAACCCACAAGCATCAATACCATACCAAACAAAACAGCCACATGTAATACACTACATGAAAATTCACAAAGTGAAAATCAATATGCAGTCTCCACAATGTACTTTTTATGACAATCTCCCTTCATTATTTATGAAATAGTAGATTTGTAAACATTAAGAAAGCAAGGCCAACCAAAACTCTATACACAAACATAACATAAGTCATAACTTCTATTTTCCCCAGAAATCACTACTTTGATTGATGCCATAAGGAAAGCTGCAATCAACCAGATCTAATTCCCTAAACAAATAATGAGCAGAAATTTTGCTTCATAGTATTAGTACCTCTACCTTCTCATCCCCATCCCCATAAAAGTTATATATCCACAACAAATAATTTGTGTCTCTGTCTTTTATTACTTAAACTCCACAACAGAAAATTTGATTAGTTTCTTATGTTCAATCATCAATCTAAAAGCTCCTCCACATTCTAATTGTTCTAATCAGCAGCAGAAAATGACAAAGAAAAACCATGTCTCATCCCTCACACGTTTCTAAGTCTGTTTTAGTTGTGGATGATCCTCTGTGTGTGTGTGTGTACGGTAAAATTTTAGACTCCCAATACAAAACAGCCACATGTTAACTATATATATATAATTTATAAAATATAAATATATAGAATATTAAAATATATATGAATGACTAATATTATTTAGCTAGTTTGTTAATTATATACCAAGACTTATCACAAACCTTCCTTTAATTCTAAAAATCCATATTTTAAATACGTGCTCATCTTTCTAAACCTCAGTTCTCGACAATATATATATATATATATATAATAACGTGTATAATATGGTTTTGATATGAAAACCTCAACAAATTTTCAAACCCTTCTGGATACCTGTTTACTCAGCCACGCCGACGAGATAAATTAACATATTTGATAAAAACCAAAATCTATAATTCTTCCTTTTCAACCACGAATATGTGTATTAAATATGGACATGGAAAATATTATGTAGCTAGTTTGTTAATTATATACCAAGACTTATCACAAACCTTCCTTTAATTCTAAAAATTCATATTTTAAATACGTGCTCATCTTTCTAAACCTCAATTCTCGACAGTATATATATATATAATAACGTGTATAATATGGTTTTCATAAGAAAACCTCAACAAATTTTTCAAACCCTTCTGGATACCTGTTTACTCAGCCACGCCGACGAGATAAATTAACATATTTGATAAAAACCAAAATCTATAAGTCTTCCTTTTCAACCACGAATATGTGTACTAAATATGGACATGGAAAATATTATGTAGCTAGTTTGTTAATTATATACCAAGACTTATCACAAACCTTCCTTTAATTCTACAATTCCATATTTGAAATATGTGCTCATCTTTATAAACCTCAGTTCGCGACAATATATATATATATATATATATAATAACATGTATAATATGTTTTTCATATGAAAACCTCAACAAATTTTTCAAACCCTTCTGGATATCTGTTTACTCAGCCACGCCGACGAGGTAAAATAACATAGGAAATGTCCAGCAATATATATAAAATAAGGATGCACATGTGATGCTGTGTGTACAGGAAGTTAACCTAATGCTCTGATACCAATTAAAACGACCTGACCTAAATTCCACTTTCGAATCCGGGGCGAACCATGTTTAAAACTGACAAAAAATCTAGGGTTGGCCTTTATGGTTAACATTGAATTGGGTTTGGGGTTTAGGGTTCAAAGTATGGTTTATGTTTAAAATTGTATTGGATTTAGGTTCTACAGACACTAGAGCTCAGGTTTTAATATCTGTAACTGTTTCAAGTAGTATGTAACTGTTATATATAATTTTTAAAAGTAGCGATACTTTTACAAATAGTTACAATTTCGAATGTCCATTAATTAGGAAAAATATGTTTTTGATTTTTTTTGAAAAAAAAACACTGAAGGAAATGTTTTTTGCAACAAAAAAGAAGGTAATTTGAGGGAAGTATTTGTTGTAATTTTCAAATGTTGAGATAAATAATTTTTGAAGGAGTTTATTCCGAATGGACAATTTTAGCCCTAAATGTTTCTATAAAACAACCTGTCATGTCCAACCAAATTTAGAGCATATTATCATTCACACTCTAACTTATCTATCTTCACCAAAATCATGGGAAAAAAATTTATGTTGTTAAGAAGGGGTTTAGGGGTGATGTACCCAGTAAAGTGAAAATCACAACACGGGATTTGTTTACTGATGCGAACAAAGGCAAAGCACAAGGCTCTACAACTGAAGAAGTGAAGGAGTCGGTTCCTGTGGTGCATTATGTGCCACAAATAATGGCACGATTATGTCCTCCGAGGGAAAATAGTTCGCCACCCTCTCATTCGATGGACCCGCCTCCGCCTATTATTGAGCCTAACTTGTACTCATATGTGCCGGAGTATGAGGACCTGGAAGCCCTTACGTGTATGATGATGGAATGAGGACCAGGAACCCCTCTGCCAATTATACGTTAGTATCTTACTGTCTTTGTTGTTGGGTTAAGGTTAAGTTCATCCACTTGTATCGTCATATGTTTTCATCTTATTTTTCACACGAACGTAACAGGTGCATTCGTTGAGGAAAGTTTCATGTTCACCGAAAAAATATACCCAACCAACTTACTTTTTTTAAAGAAACGGAGTGTTTGTTCTAGTAAACGCAATGGTTGCATTCGTTCAGTAAAGCTACTCGTTCAACAAAAAATGGGGCCAACCAACTTACTTTTTCAAACAAACGCGGAGATTATTCAACGAAACGAAAGGGTTTGCTATCGTTCGGAAATATTCGATGTTTCGCCGAAAAAGAAGGCCAACAAACTTACTTTTTAAAACCAACACGGTATTTGTTCAGAGGAACGAAAGACGTGCGTTTCTAGAGAACAGTTACCCGTTCGCCTAAAATATGCGCCAACCACGTTACTTTTTCATTCAAACGGAGTAATTTTTCACTCCAACACAACAGTACCGTTCATTGAAGAAAGTTTTCGGTTCACCGAAACAATATATCCAACCAACTTAATTTTCCAAACAAACAAGACTGTTTGTTCTAGTGAACGTAATGCTTGCGTTTGCGCAGTAAAGTTACCCGTTCAACGAAAAATGAGCCCAACGAACTGACTTTTTCAAAAAAACGGGAACATTGTTCAACCGAACGCAAAGGTTTGCTTTCATTCAAAAACGTTCGACGTTCCGCTGAAAAAGAGGGCCAAAAAACTTACTTTTTCAAACCAACAGGGTATTTGTTCACACGAACGCAATGCGTGCGTTTCGGCAGAAAAGTTACCCTTTCGCCGAAACAATGCGCCAACTAACTTACTTTTTCAAACAAACGGGTTACGTTTTCACTCCAACACAACACATGCGTTCGTTAAGGAACCATTTCTGTTCGCCCAAAAAAGATATCCAACCAACTTACTTTTCCATACAAACGAAGTATTGTTCTAGCAAACGGAAGAGTTGCGTTGGATCAGTAAAGATACCCGTTCAACGAAAAATGGGCCCAACTAACCAACTTTTTCAAACAAACAGGGCATTTGTTCAACCGAACACAAGGGTTTAGTTTCCTTCAGAAAAATTAAACGTTCCACCAAAAAAGAAGGCCAACAAACTTACTTTTGCAAACCAACGGGGTTCGTTTTCACACAAACGAAACGGGTATGTTCGTTCAGTAAAGTTACTCGTTCAACGAAAAATGGGCCCAACCAACTTACTTTTTCAAACAAACGTAGTGTTTGTTCAAGTAAACATATGAATTACATTCATTCAGTAAAGTTACCCGTTCCAACACAAATGGGCCCCACGAACCTACTTTTTCAATCGAACAGAACGGGTTGTGTTTGCTCAGAAAAATGCCACGTTCCCCGTTAAAATAACGCCAACAAACTAGGTTTTTCAAACGAACGTGATTGTTGTTGACGCTAACGCAAGAGTTACGTTGGTTCAGTAAAGTTGACTGTTCCCCGGAACCATGGGCCAACGAACTCACTTTTTCAAACAAACGGGTTACTTTTTCACTCCAACGCAATACATGTGTTCGTTAAGGAACCATTTCTGTTTGCCCAAAAAAGATATCCAACCAACTTACTTTTCCATAGAAACGAAGTATTGTTTTAGCAAACGGAAAAGCTGCGTTGGATCAGTAAAGATACCCGTTCAACGAAAAATGGGCCCAACTAACTAACTTTTTCAAACAAACGGGGAGTTTGTTCAACCGAATGCAAGGGTTTAGTTTCGTTCAGAAAAATTCAACGTTCCACCGAAAAAGAAGGCCAACAAACTTACTTTTGCAAACCAACGGGGTTCTTTTTCACACAAACGAAATGGGTGTGTTCGTTCAATAAAGTTATTCGTTCAACGAAAAATGGGCCCAACCAACTTACTTTTTCAAACAAACGTAGTGTTTGTTCAAGTAAACATATGAATTACGAAAAATGGGCCCAACCCTAAACCCTAAAATAACGCCAACAACTAACTTTTTCAAACGAACGTGATTGTTGTTGACGCTATCGCAAGCGTTACGTTGGTTCAGTAAAGTTGATCATTCCCCAGAACCATGGGCCCAACGAACTTACTTTTTCAAACAAACGGGGTATGTGTTCAAACGAACGCATGGTAGTGCGTTCGTTTAGAAAAATTAGACCTTCCCCATAAAAAGGAACCCCAGTCAAAGACTTCTACCATATTATACTACAGATGAAGGATTATTTAAAGAGTTACTTCCTATACATTTTAACTCAAAGACTTCCACCTCTTTTACTACGTATACACAATCTGAGAGAAAAAAAAACCCAAACACTGTCACATTCAATGGTTGGTAGCTCTCGAGGCTCCTTCACGCCCAAGAAGAAGATGGTGGATGATGATGATGGTGTTGATTCTTCGAATTATGCCTGCGAGCAAGTGAAACGAGCCCATTATGTCACGAAGACTCCCACCGAGGCTAGTAAGAACATGTTTCATGAAGGAGATTCAACCACCAGGTACGAACTTTACAATGGCAGGATTGATATCGGCTTTGAGATCTTTAGGAAATACGCTCAGTTTGTTGATGCTGGTTCAACTAAGTGGGACAAAATCGAGGTATTCCAAGCAATTGCTATTTTGGAGAAGCGAGCTCCGTGAAGCACCGGTATTTTATAATTTGCATTGTGTTGTTTGTCATAATTTCGGATGTAATTTCGGCTGTAATATCGAATGTTAGATGTTATAATCAGTATGGTAAAATAGTTTGAGGGTTTAGTTTTGTAACAAAAAAAACCCCAACATATGGTTAGGAGACCTTTATTATCAATGAACTAGGCACTCCTGTCTCGTAAATGAAGTCTGGGCCCCAGATATGCTATAATGTTCCCATTTTGGTAACAAAAAACTCATGTGTGCAATGTATTACACGAACTAGATAACGTGCAATTGGCTGTGATGTAATGCAATTGTACATGATATATTGCAAAAACAATGTCCCTGCATGCAAACAGGGATAAGTACATGCAATTGCACTACATTAACCATCAACCCTATGTGACCTACTGTCAAACTTTCTACTTTGCCTAGGAGCGTGTCATTGGCTTCCTTGCGATGGGATGATGAGGGATGAAGGGACCATGTTGTTCATCCAACTTGTCAAGTTCTTCGTCGACAACTCTTCGAGTGGACTCCCTTACTTCCTTTAGACACGTGTTGTTTGGGTTCTTCAGCAATGATAGTGCAACACGAACCCGCTTAGTTGCATGTTGAAACTGCAAATAAAAAACAACCCATCAAAGAAATGATTAAGAAAAATATCTGCCGTGGAAGACAAAAGTATGAAACGATATATATGGCGACTCACTTTATTTGAACCGTGTGATGTGCATTGAATATCTTCTAGCCAATTCATAACGAAGATACCACAATTGTATCCATTTTGTTGTTTGCGGGCCTTGTCAGTTCGCACAATGTTGAATTTTGCAAACTGCCATCCCTTTTCAAAATATTTTACAATCTCATCTTTGTACATGTAGTCCAGAACTTTCATCTACAACACAATCAATTCAAATCAATTCTTAGTCCGGATGTTAGGATAATAAAAAGACAAACCAAAATAAGGTCAATTAAACTTACAATTCGTTCCCCTAGTTGATAATGACCTGCATTGTATCTGGCACCGAGGAGGCTATCCCATATTTCAACCTTTTTATCACCAATATGCACAACTACCAATACCAATGCTTCCCAATTCGATCGTAAACGGGAATGAAAATATAGGACCACACTGACTTGCTTAGAAAAACACACAAAACAAAAGCGCACTAAAGATGTTGTAAAAAAGAACTTAAATTTATACCTTCTGGCACTTGTGAAGGCCTACGGTGAACCGGTTTGAATTTTCCCTCTTAAGTTTGACCCCCAATTCAAAAAGTTGGTCATCACTTGTATTATTAACTTGCTCCTACATTCACATATAGTGTAAGCGTAAAATCATTTACTAAATCACAAACTATAAGAGTTTGAAAAATATGAATGCTTACCGACATATATGTGGGGAAGTACCAATTCCCCGACCCCTTTTCTTGTAGATAATAGACTTGTGTATTCAGTACTTGATCGTTTATCCACATTTCGGGCCTCAAGCACATGAACTCATTTCTCGTGACATGATGTTCGTTTTTAATTTGAATTATAACTTCATCACTACAACGGAAGAAGAAAGCAATTGGTATAATTAAATTCACGTACACGACAACATATAAGGAATTTGGTCGATTTCATAATTCAACAGTTGTAAGTAGTTACCTTGGAAGGTTGTTAGACCTAAAAATATAACTAAATAACTCAAAATCGGAGTCTTGTAAGTCCCCGGGTTTTAATTTGAAAGGCCCAATTTTAATCTTAGACGCCATCTTCTGCACAGCCTTTCCTTGTTTGAAGGGTCAACCCATGGCTCTCTACAATGAAGTCCTGGACGCCTTTCGGCCGTTCGACGTGTTTTAATGCCACTATGATCACCACGGGCCGATTTTTGTGAACTTCCTCTTTTCCACGCCAATTTTCAACTGTGGAAAAGGGAATTCAAATATTACATTTAGGAATAAAAAAAATTGAAGTATTTTACAACTATGTAAATAAATGCATACTTAATAAATGTAAAAGATAACAAGAAACTCGATCTTGAAACTCCTAATCGCTCATCATACCTCGGGTTCACTGAAACTCTGTCCATCTGGTAATGGCGTCCAAGGATTTTTTTCATCAACTGCACCTTTCTCCTTTAATTGGCTACATTCTTCACCCTTCTTCTTCACAACATTCTCAACACCTTGATCTCGTATTTTCAATGCCCCGTCCTCAGTTTCATTTACATCTTCATGTGCCGGATGAAGATGTTGTCTTGCGTCTTTCATGAAGGATCTCATTTCACTCATTACCTTGTCGGTGAGTTCCAACACTGATCGCTTCACCTCCGCCTGTATTACCAGAGCCAATCTGATAGCAACTTGTTCAACAATTCTTTCAACGTTGACTCCGGACACTTCATTCGTTGGACGGTGCTTTGAAACAACCCGAACGGTAGGACTATCAAAACCACCTTGCTTTCTAACCCATTTAATCATTTTCCACACCGACTTATTGTCCCATGACACAATGGGATCCAAAGACTTATCAACATATACTCCACCATGGAGAATTGAATCGAAATAGAATAGTTGGAGAAAAAGCAGTGACCCATTTACATATGAAACTTTCTTCGCTTGGAACGACCTAACACCTTCACATAAGAAGTTGAATCCATGGTCGGCCCAGTTCTTGGTCTCTATCTTCCCTGGGATCGTCAAGAAAGTTAAATAGTTCCAATCACTGATGGTGAAGATGTGGGCCAAAGTATAGTGCCAAGTGCAAACATCACGAATCGAACTTTAAAGTCCTCATCCACATGTTCGCACTTTTCCAATTGTTCTGCTAAACCCTTTACTAATACTCTCTTGCCATTTCCACCGAAACTCTTCACTAACTGTTTCACCTTTTCATCTTCTACAGCACAGTCCAGTTGAACATTCTCGCCGGTGTTCTTAAGCCCCATAACACGCCCAAACTCAACGGCACCTATTCCAAACACATTGTCGTGCAGTTCTATAGAGGACGTATCAGGATTGAACCTTTGAATCAAAAATTGGCATAGTTGGCGGTGTAAACGAGTGCAGGACAATGATGCCATATTACCGAACCCAATAGCATTAATTGCTAACCGCTTCTCATTCGACAATTTTTCCACCGTACGATGGAATCGGTCCGGGCTGCATCTAGTGATAAAACCCATCTCATTCACTGAGTCGTCTACTTGCCCAGTCGAACCTTGTACTTTCCCACTCCAACCTTCCAAGGCAGCACCATATGTTGCCTTCTCTGTAGGGTTCAATTTCCTCCACTTGTTAGCAATCTCTTCTTGTACCTGAAAAACAAAATTCTCATTAAAAGAGCCTTTTTAATACAATAAATAAAATTGACCCAATCAATAGCCATCTCTCACCTTATTGTCCAACTTTGCATTGGCCCCTTTCCCCATTTCAAGTCATTCTTTTTTCCTGTAAATAATTTATTTTTTATCAAAAAACCATCATAATATTAAGCAACCACATTTCCAATTTTTAGATGTACGTGTAACTTATATGAAATTAAAAATGCATCTCGGCCAACTCTTGATTGTAGCACATTACTCTTGGCCTTGCGCTTTCCTTTCGCTGATCCCCTTTTTTGAGCTTCCATAACTTGCACAAATCAAGTACAAAACACTGTCATGCAATTGTCTCTAGCGCCGAGATTTTGAATACTAATCCAAAGCCTAATACACCCTAAACCCCCTAAACCCCGTAAACACCACAACATCACACATTGCTTAATTATAAAAATACGGGGACCTGGATTTGCACACAATTGCTTAGTAATTGCATATACTGATATGCAATTGCACGACACTACTTGCAAGTGCATTAGCCCTCGATTATAACATTGCACAGATAACGCACACAACCCACCCATGCATTTCTCTATTGGGCCGGGATTCTTACTCTTTTCAAATCCCAATCCAAATCTTAACCAATCCTAACATTACACTTTCGGAACACTTTACTCCCCATAACAAAATATTCAAAAAACAGTCAAACCTACCTACCTACCACGAAATCACCTCACTTGCATAATTTGAAAACTAAACTAGATACTGTAATTGCATTCAGTGACTTGGATTTGCATACAGGAGATTAGTAATTGCATATACAGATATGCAATTGCATGAACATTACAACCATGAATGTGAGATACCCACTTCACCTCACGACACTTTCAGAATGAGAAACCCACTTCATCTCATCAATGTGAGAAACCTACTTCCCCTCTTGCCCCAAGTCATCACCACAGAATTTCAATTAACAATAAAATAAAACATAGTGTTGACTTACCTTCACAAGGAACTATTACCAAATGCTTTCAGAAGGGCTCGATTGTAGATGAGAGGAGTGCCAACGCAGTGACTGGAAAAACTGATTTCCAATTCCTATTATCAACCCGAAATACTAACCCTAAAATTTTCCCCCAAAATCCAAACCCTAGAATAGGGGTTTTTTGACAATGATGACAAAGAAGAGAGAGAGGTTGCAGAGAGGAGGAAGAAACTTTCTACAGGAGGAGTTGAAGAAAAGATTATCAGTTTGAAGTTTGAAGTTGCAGAAAAGATTATCAGTTTGAGGAAGAAGAACGTCGAGTGAGCGTGAACGTGAAATCATTCCCCTGTTCACATCAGCAGCGCGTCAAATTTTTTACCTGTTGACCAAGTCAGCAGGTTTCCCTTGTTTTTAAAAAAAACCTCACGTGATGTGCTGTACCGGTGCACCCGATGCACCATAGAAGGACTCAACAAAGAAAACTGACATAGCAAATGGAATAGAATTTTATTTTCTTTAAACTCAGAAAGATATTGGTGAACCAAAAATTAATTCAAAATATTCACAGATTAAGAAAAAAAAATACGCTAATCATTTGAGCAAATAAAATAAAGGTTGAAAGTAAATACCTGATTTTCCGAAACCACCCATTCCAAAAATCTTGTGCGCCCTGATGCAAATATATCTTCTATGAACGGTAGTTGGAGGTTCTTAGTTGCAGATATAACAGCAAATCCCTTTGAAATGGTAAACATGATCACTCCAAATATGATGATCCTCCCAACCCAAGAATCTTTTCTGACCCACTGAAATTGATAAAACAAATATGAAATCAATATTTTTATCTTCCTTTTGGTCATAAATCCTGCTGTCAAACTAAAAATTAAAGAAAAACTTACCTGACTTTTCTTTCTCTGTTTAGGCTTTGGCCGCTTGATGTATGTATGAGGTGAAGAATTAGAGAGTTTTTCCTTTCTAATTTTATAGCCAAAAAGATCACCAAAGAATTAGAGACTTCTAAATCGATGATGAAAACTGATGGGTGTAAAATATGTGGCTTTATGTTTATATAGCAGAGGTGGTGTGAATTTTTTTTTTTTTTCTATTTCTTTTCTTTATGAACTTTTAGAAACTCAATAGTGGTAAGGTATTCACGTGCTCTCTGCAAACTACCTCTCTCATGTTCATATTCCAATGGATGGATAGACAGAAGACTTTTTTTACTCGTTATCTGTCAACTATCAGTTATTTTTGGGTTTTTAGTCTGAAGAACTAATTTACTTGCTGAAACGCAAATGGTAGGTAGCAATTCAAATGCTAAACCCAAAGACATGCACCAGTCTCTAGGCTTGGCTTTTACTAAAAAGTTGAAGACACCAGTCAATTGGCTATCACTTTTTCAATCCTGCTCTGTTGGTAAGATTTGGAAAAAGATTTTGTAATGTCCCAAGCACGAGAAAGTTTCTTGATAACGTGGAAAAAAGTACAAACTTCCAAATTCCAATTCATTTCAATCCTAATTTTTTTTAAGATCATGTCTGACATGATTAAAATAAAAAATAACAGATAGTGTCATTCTCGTTGCACGCAATTTCCTTTTTAATTTCTTCGGCCTCCCCATTGTAGCGTGAAAAGTCACAACTACAAGACAAGATAGTGTTTGTATTCAGATAAGCACTCAAGGCCATCCTCGCCTTTAGAGTTCAAGAGGAACTTTCCGAGCTTTAAATTTAAACAAGTAAAAGGAGTATTATATTAAGAAGAATAACACAACAGTAAAGGGCTACAAACAACAAAGACCAACCAGAGAGGCCAGTCACAAAACAGTAAACAAAACAACAACAAAAAAACAGAAAGAAGAAAGCTTAGAAAGCGTCAAGTTCGGTGGGCAAGATACACCATCCCGTGAAAGTATGAAGACCAAGGTGATTGGAGATCGAATGACCCAAGCCTCGGCGCACAACCCCCGTCTTGCTTGCGAAGCCACCCAGTCAGCTGCATGGTTCGCATCTTGAGGAGTCCATGTCCACCAGAGAGAGGAGAATGAAGCTTTTAGCATTCTAATGTCATAGAGGGTAAAGAGTCCAATTTTAGACAGAAATATCTCCCTGGACAGCAGCAAAACAAACCTTGGAATCAGTTTCCACAATAACATTAGTGAAACCTCTTACATGGACCAGCTCTAATCCACTTCGGATCGCATGACGTTGAGCCTGCACAACTGGTGATGACTGAAAACAATGCGCACTGCCATCAAGAAAACTACCAGTATGATCCCTTATCACTACCCCTGCAGAGCATGCGTTCGTAACTTTGTCCCATGCATCGACACAGTTAATTTTGAGTCCCCACCAGAGGATTGACCCACAGATGACTGTCCAAAGGTGGAGAGTTGAAATGGTTTCTATCATCTTTCAATCTCATATGTGATAGGAATTCCACAACACTTCTATCGGCCAATGAGGCCTTGAGCTCTGGCGATGGTGGGCAGAAATTTGATTTGTCATACACCAAATTACAACGCGTTTTCCAAATAGCTGAGCTAGTAAAGGCAAAATGAGTTATAATCCATCATTTCTCTCCTCCGAATTAAAGGTCTCACACAACCAAAGATCATTAATCTACCTATCCAACGAAGTGAAAGCTTGAGGCAGAGGTCTGTAAGCATTACAAGTGGCAGACCACACTCTGGTAGCCCAACGGCAAAGGAAGATTGTATGCTCAATGGATTCAGATTGTTCCATGGAAAAAGGGCAAATAGGAGACTGGCAGAGCTTGCGCCTGAAAAGGACCTTAAAGTGGGAAGGAAACTATTGACCGCGCACCAAAGAAAAATTTTGATTTTAGGGAGTGTTTTGGCAATTCTGAATGCGAAGCTAGACTTTAGAATCAATCACATGGGAAGAGCCAGCCTTCATCACAGCCTGATACTTTTTATGCTCCACAAGGTAGTAATATCCTGATTTGATTATCTCCCATTCATAGTGTATGGTCAAATAAGTCTGTCAGGGATATCAAAATTGCTTATAGGAATTGCCATGATTGCTTGGGCATCCAGCGGCCAAGTAAACACCTTAATTTTAGAGAGGTCCCAATTATGATTATGTCTATTCATCAGATCAGCAACAACAATTGGAGCATGGCACAGGACAAGTGTGCCTTGCTTGGTCCGTTAGGCCACCTAAGGTACCTAGGGTCATTTTTAGGTAGCCAAAGTATCATACCACATATTAATGCAATTGCCATGCATAACTTGCCATCTTGAGCATCTCCAGCGCTGCTGGTTTGCCCGGGCAGCAGGGGGCTAGGCCCAGCTTTTGGCTCTAGCACACAAAGGCAAGACCAGGCAGTTGATGGGGGCCACAAGCCTGGGCAGGCCCAAAGACAAATCTTGCCTGAATGACGTCAGCAACAACAACAAAAATTAATTGAAAAAAGTACCAACATTTTCAGAATTTTTTTTATATATAAATACCTAGTCCTATTTTTCACTTCTCATGCCAAAATTAATGGTTTAAATATAAAAAATACAAAATAAATTAAAATAAATAGTAATTGCCATTTCCCTTGCCATTTGGGGTGGAACCAAAAAAGGCAAGGTCTGAATAGTGTCAAACTTTGCCTTGCCCTTGCCCTTTGGGGTGGAGGTGCTCTAAAAAGAAGCTCGCGCCCCACCGAAAGGCTATTCCAAGTGTGTTCATTACCTTTGTCCATTTTTTTCTCTGTCCCTCCCTCTCTGTAACACTCTGACCCTTTTGTAATTATTTTATTTACTTATTTAATTGTGAAATTATATTTTTGTCCTTGGGGTAGAGGCACTTTAGTCACTTTTTTAAGAAAGGAATTTAGGGAATTAAGAGGCACCATTGCGTAGAGCTCGTCGATCCGTAGACAGGTGGCATGCTTAATTTCGAGTTGTAACGAGAGCATAAAGGTCTACAAACGAAAGGGCACATAGGGAATTTCTGAAAGGCTTATGTACCCCCCCCCCCCCAAATCTCACTTTACCCCCTCAAAGTTAAAGTGGCCCACTTAACCTCCCTGACCGTGATTTCATGTTCCACTTTACCCCTCACTGTTCTCTCCATTAATAACTTCGTCAATTTTGATGATGCGACATGACTATTTTAGTCTTTTGACCACACGTGTCATATGAATGTCCCACTTTTTTTGTTTAAATTGATTTAAATATATAATAAAATATTAAAATAATGTAATTACTTGTTTAGTTAAAAAAAATATAATCCAACCTCTGATAGGCCAATTCAATTCTAAACAAGGCCAAAAATGGGCCTATCATTTTAAAGGATGCAAAGACGGGTTGCTGGGTAGCAGGCCGTGGAGCAAGTCAATCAGGCCACAACCAAGATTGATCTTGGATTACCTAATGAATCACAATTGGATCAACTACTAAGGCTACATTTGGTTCGCAACAAAAGGCGTTTGGGAATGGAAAATCATTTGTTTGGTAAGTCTAGGCATATTAAAAGGTTTCATAGCTGATGGGAAAATAGGGGGAAAATAAAACCCTCCATCCACCTTAGGTTTCATTTTGCCCTTCCCATGGGAAACCAAAGCAAGGATTGATTACATCTTTTTATGACCAATTTACCCTCATTAACAAATAAAATAACCAAGGTTTGCATTAATTACAATTTTTATTGCATATTTTTAATTTAGGGGTATAATTAAAAAACTAAAAGATGCACAGTTAATTCATGTACAAATCAAACAAGGGAAAGGAAATAAAATGATATTTCCTACTTACTTTCTCAGCATTACCTACCAAATATGGAAAAAGAATCTTCTCCCTTCCCTTGGAAAAAGAAGATATGGGGATTAGTTGATTTCCAATCAAGTTTTTTATGTGAACCAATTGAGGCCTATGCATACACGATGGGCTATTAATATGAAACCACTTACTGAAAATGCCGGCTAGTGGATATAGAGGTTTCAAACGGACCAAGCAGGCCCGAGCACAGCACCAGGCTGGCCCGAGCACAGCATGAGCATAGTCTACTTAAGTAAGGTCCGGCACGACAAGGCTCGTATCTTTGGGTGGGCCGGGACGAGGCAATTCGGCCTAGTGGGCTAGGCCAGCCCTTTTAAAACCCATTTATTAAATTATATTTATTATAGAGAAACATAATACATAATATTATTACATTTATATTTTAAATTCGAGTCTATTTCTTTTCTCTAATAATATATATTTTCTTTATATATAAAGTAATGATTTTGTTTTTCAAGTTTCAATTTTTAAAATCCAAATAATACTCTAGTCATTTTCTATTTAAATGTATTTTGAATAAAGTTATCGGTCTCTTTTTTCAAAAAATAATAAATCTTGTTTGTATATACATAATTGTAAAAAAGATTTAAATGAAGTTGAAAAAAATTACAAAAAAATTATTCAATACATAAGTCAAATTAGGAGTGGGCCCATCTTGACCTGTTTAGTACCCCGACACAGGTGTGACCTGAGCATATATGGGCTCGGGCTGGAATTGATGATTTTTATTAATGGACGAGCCCAGCATGACTCATTTATTAAATGGGCCGACTCAAAATGGGTCGTGTAACCTCTTAGTAGTTATGGGAGAGGCTGGTTTAAATTAATGCAACCAATGAGGATGGGTAACCTGTCCATATAAGGTTGAATCAATCCATGGCCCAACGAAACTAAAGATCCTATCAGTTTGTGGTATATGATCTACATCAGAAATCAAGGGTTAATCATTTTATTAGTCCCTGAACTTAGACTCGATTTGCATATGAGTCCCTTAATTTCCAAAATCATTCTTGTGGTCCTTCAACTTCAGTTTCATTAGGATAAATGGTCCCGCCATCAATTTTGTTAATTTTTCTGTTAAATGCAGAGGCAAAATGGTATTTTTTATATATTTAAATTGATTAAAATATGAATAAAAAATTAAAATTAAACTCTCCCCCCCCCCCCCCCCCCCCCTGATTTCTACTCCCCCCAAACTTGATTTTTTTTTTGTTGGTTTTTTATTTGATTTTCTTTTATTGTTATTTTAAAGATATGATTTTTATTCATTTTTTGGTTTTAATATAAAAATACCATTTTGCCCCTGAATTTAACAAAAAAAGTTAACAAAATTGACGGCATGACTATTTGTCCTAATGAAAGTGAAGTTAAAGGACCACGGGAACAATTTTGGAAATTGAGGGACTCAAATGCAAATCGGGTCTAAGTTTAGGGACTAATAAAACAATTAACCCAAAATTCAAACCTTTGAATTTTATTTGAAGTCTTAAGCATCAAATATTCTTTCACTAGTGTTGAGGCTCAAAAAATCCACGGATGGGCCCAAATAAATTCCTGGCCTAAAATGACGCATTATTCAGAAAATGCCCAATTTGGAGCACGCAAAGATTCGCCATGCACGAATCACACTTCGCATGCCATGCCAAATAAATAATCCAACGTGCTAGGAGTCGAGATTAAGATTGTAAAAATCTGGCACCAAGTTCCACCCTTGTTAGAACTCCAAGGATGGTCAACAAAGGAGCCATGGCAGAGACCGAAGGAAATCTATGAAGGTAGGAAGAATACCCATCGGACAAAAAGCTCTACCCATCTTCTTTTCCATTACAAGCTTCATTTGGAAAACCAAGAAGGAAAGTAGGTGGCGCCTCACCCTTATGGGGAGGTCCAGCTGCATCAAACCCTTGGAACCACAAAGGGTCCCTTACCTATGCGCCTTGGATGGAAGAATTTCACTAAAAAATATTAAGTGGAAAGAAGCAACGAGAAAGGGAGGAAAGGGTTAGATGAAATTAGGGTTCTTTGTGCCTATAAAAGAGGGCTTTTGCTATCCAGAAAACCAACCCATCCAGAGCCTGACCAAGCTTTGTCAAGCAACCTGGAATTAACTCAAGCCACCCAATCCTCTTCCTCCGTTATTTTCTTCTTTTCCTGAGATAAAAATCTCCTAATTTTCCTGTGCCCCAGTTTAAATTTCTTTCCTCTATAAGAAACTCATGTTTTTCTCTCTCTCAAATTGCTAAACTTGTGAAAGCTTAGCTCTCATGCCACAAGCTCCTCAAGCTAAGTCATTTATCGATTTGTTGTGTCTGTTGGCTATTAGTGAAGATGACCTAAAAGAGTTTTTCTAAAGTTTCATTAGACTCTCCAAAAACTCTTTTGGGAGCTTGGTTCTCGAACTCAGGCACTTGGGGAATTTTTGTTCGTTTCCTTCTTATAGCAGCCCAAGTCCATTCGTCAGGCTACTGGAACAAAAAGACCCCTACAACTAGCACCACCCCAGTGTTCTAGCAGCTCAAACATTTCTCCCTCTCTACTCTCTCTCTCTCTCTCTCCCCTACACGTTCTCCCTCTCCCTGTGTTTTATTTCTCCCACACCCACAACCCACCCTAGCCCCGCCCACAACCACCCACCCCACATTTCAGAGCCTTACACGTGACCCAATGCCCACACCCACAACCTTTACTACCCACTACACACCTCCGAGCCTTACCTCTCTCCCTCTCTCACTCCCACCTCTTCCTCTCTCTCCCTTTCTATGTCTCTCTCTCTCTACCTCCTGTTATTTTTTTTATAAAGATTTTTCAAATTTTAAAACTTTTTATTTATTATGGATTTTAAGTTTTAAAATATATTGAATTTATTCTGTTTTATATTTAAAGCCACGTGGCTTTATATCATTAGATGTGTGGGCTCTACATATGTGCCACATCAGCAATTTAATAGAATTTTTGACGGAATCTCAAGAACCATTTGTGATGTCACACTTAGTAGCGTTAATGACCAACCATGTCACAAAAAAATTAGAGGACCAAAAGTGATAATTTCACGAACCTAAGAGACCATTTGTGATAAAAATCCTAATCAATATTATAGTGAATCAGTTTACCTGGATAAGACGCTGTCAACATTTATTACGAAATGTGAACAAAAAGAAATTTATTTCAATGGTATCTTGTATAGTTATAATTATTAAGTTGGGGCCATGCATGCATGTATGTTTAACTAGTTATAGAGGAGTGGGTAAGAAGCCTCTTTCGTTTAATATATAATTAACCATAATTCAAACAGTATGTTGCTTTGAATAATATCTTATTAGTTGAGTTAGAATTAAGGTCTTATCACTATTAATTGAAGTAAAATTGTCCTTTGTGCAGTTGAAATAGCCATGCCGTGAATTAAGCTCTTGTCCCTAATCATGGAAAGCCCAAACAATTAGTTTTCGTTAAGTACAGTTAACTGTGCTTGTTTTTTTTCCTTTATTTGCATGATAGAATGGCTTGAGAAATACTGTTTGTCATAAACACAAAGTTATACACTTTCGGTTCATAATTTTGACATAGATTTGGACCAAACCCATTTTATACTTGATAGTCAAGTTAGAAGAACTGCGACTGGTGCTTGCTTTAGTTATCTGAGTAGTACTTGTTTATTATATTATAATTATTATATTTTGTGGTCTCAGAAACTGGAATTCATTCAGTACTTGTTTAACTAATTAGATGAGTAATATACGATGCCATGCTAGCACACTAAGTACTGTACGGCACACTAGCATTAGTGTATTGTATGTGAGTTTAGTATATTATCGTCCCTCTCCAGTGGTGAAGTCAGGATTTTATATGTAAGGGAGCCAATATATTAGGGTTTAAGGTTGATTCCTTTCCCAATGTTAAGCTTGTAAATAAATAAATAACCGGTTATCTTTGATTTCCTATTTTCTTTAATATACTTGTGAAAAAAAGATTTGATTGGCTGTTTTTTTTAATTTTTATTAATTATGTTGGTGTGATCCATGAGTAACTTAGCCATTTTGCTAAGGAAATAGCCTTTTAGTTAGAGGGGGGAACGTAAATCCCTCCTTCTCTTTATTGTGGGGGCCACAAGCATTATTTATATATATATATATATATATATATATCTACACTACTAAATGTTGGTTAATAATCCTAAGTTGTCCAAGCAAAGCCCAGTATACAGTATTTCAGAATTTTGAGAGGGCCAAGGCCCTTGCAAGCCTAAGCACACCTCCGACATTGCCCTCTCAATAGAAAAGATCCTCTAAAAAAATACAATTACTGTATGGCGCATAGTTAGTACACTAATGCTATGCTATGGCGCAGAGTTAGTACACTAATGCTATGCTATTGTAATCTTATAGCATGTAAAAATTTGTGATTAGTGCCTATTACAGAGAAGACTCTGTCATATTATAGATAGAAGTCATCCCTCCTTGTTTGTCCAAGTAGGGATTAAGGATAGTTTAAGTGGTGGGACCAACACCCATCCGATGTCCGTCATGCCCACCTCTCTCGAGTTAATCCAAACGGAAATCTGAGAGTGGGTCTTGACAAATAGAGTTCGTTAGGAGTAAACGTACAATTTTTTTTGGTCGAAAAGTAAACATACAATTAGTACAAAGTACATATCAACAAAAACAAATAGTACATTGTCATTACGGATGAACCTGCTCATTCTATTGATGTTAATTCAAAGCTTTCTCCAGACTAGCTTTATGTGGTCGCTACTTACAAAAGCAGGAATGCATATTCTTATTATAAAAATGCATTAATTATCCTCATATTTGGACTTACTGAATACCATTTCTTCTGTTTGGTCCGTTATTGCATCAACTCCCAACCTAATTTACTTTTGTTTTCTTTTACTGTTTTTTACAAGAAGGGGCATTAATTTTGTACCAACTCATTCTATGCTTTCTTGGAGGAGGAAAATGTGATTGAAACTCAAGTGGTTAAGAGTATTTACTTTTGTATCCAAGGTCCTAGGTTCGATTCCCCCTTCCCCAAATTGCTCTTGTATATCAAAATAATATTAACAAAAAAAAAGAGGAACATAAAAAGTTTCAACATATATATGGGATAATGGAAGATTGAAAGAGAAGAGAGGTGGCCAATTAGGGGTTACCACAGTGGTTGTGGCCCTCTCCCTTCTCCCCCCATCTTGACACCTATAATCGAAGTTCAGGGTTGTCTTTCCTCCCAATGTAACCAAAAACAAAGAGAAGAGAGGTGTGAATGCATAATATTTAAGGTAATGGATTAACTTGAGTTCCAAGGAAGAGAAGGGCATAACAATATAGCTTGCATAAGAACCGTACGTTTAAAATAAGGTGCACATACAATGAATATTGGAAGCCATGTGAGGGTTACTATAAGCAACAACCTACCTGTATGTACAAGAAATAATGAGAAGCATATTATATCCCTTCCTCATTTAATATAAGTAGCAACCTAAGTAAACGAATTTCGGCGCCCTTTGCTTGCTTTGTCATTTTCATTAACAAATTCATTAGATTTCAAGCCTATAAATACAAACCATCACCACGTCAATCTCCAACTCATTAACCTCTCTATCTCTATATATCTCTCTCTCACTTTTATCACAAAAAAATTCTGAAAAAACCAAGTCCTAGTGTTCAAATGGCAAACTCCATAAGCCTCATTGTTCTCTCACTTGCTTTTGTCTTCATGATTAACGCAGCCTTAGCCGCTAAAGCCCCATACAATGTGGCCAGTTTAGGAGGCAAAGGAGATGGGAAGACTGACTCAACCAATGCCTTCCATTCTGCATGGGTCAAAGCTTGTGCCTCGGCGGAGCCAGCTGTCATTTACGTGCCGAGGGGGAGGTTCTTGCTGCACAATGTAGTGTTCGCCGGGCCTTGCAAAAATAACGCGATCACCTTCCACATTGCCGGCACTCTTGTAGCCCCATCCGATTACCGGGTCATTGGAAATGCTGATAACTGGATTTCCTTTGAGGATGTGGTGGGGGTTACTATATCTGGTGGAATTCTTGATGGCCAAGGCACCAACTTGTGGGCTTGCAAGGCAGCAGGCAAGAGTTGCCCCAGTGGAGCAACGGTAATTAATTAACTAGTTTAACTATCAAGTTAATGCATGTGCTTTTAGCCTTATATAATAAGTATGCTTAAGAATTGATTTTGTGGCTAATCAATTTTGTGTGCTACATCACATGCGCAGACATTGAGTTTTTCTAACTCCAACGACATCAAGGTTAGTGGCGTGATATCCCTAAACAGCCAAATGTTCCACATAGTCATCAACGGCTGCCATAATGTGAAAATGCAAAGTGTTAAAGTTTCTGCCTCAGGGCAGAGCCCCAACACTGATGGCATTCACGTCCAGATGTCATCGAGCGTCACAATTCTCAACTCCAAGATTGCAACCGGTGACGACTGTGTCTCAATCGGTCCCGGTACTTCAGATTTGTGGATCGAAAACGTTAAATGTGGACCTGGCCATGGAATCAGGTAGAGGATGGCAAAATTATGCATGAATGATTGAATTATATGTTCTTTAATTATGTTAAATTAAATTGTTTTGGTTGGCATTTCAGCATTGGGAGTCTAGGCAAGGACCAAGAAGAGGCTGGTGTGCAAAATGTAACAGTTAAATCGATTACCTTTTTCAATACTCAAAATGGTTTGAGGATCAAGTCGTGGGGGAGGCCTAGCACTGGATTTGCTAAGGACATTCTTTTCCAACATGCTGTAATGCTCAATGTCCAAAATCCGATTGTTATCGATCAAAATTATTGCCCGGACAACAAAGGCTGCCCTGGTCAGGTAAATTCGATTACAACTAAATATTATTTTCTTTTATGCCCAGCAGATAGTTGTTTAATTATTATTATTTTTTTTATAAACAGGTCTCTGGAGTTAAAATCAGTGATGTGACATACCAAGACATCCATGGTACATCGGCAACAGAAGTTGCAGTGAAGTTCGATTGTAGTTCCAAGTACCCATGTAGCAATATCAAAATGGAGGATGTGAAGCTCACTTACAAGAATCAAGCAGCTGAAGCTTCATGTAGCCATGCAGCTGGAACATCTCAGGGGACGGTGCAACCTACAAGTTGTTTGTAGGCACGAAAAATGCAATCAAATTTATTTTTGTGTTTGTACAAAAATATTATAGCAAGATTTTTAGTGAATTACGTAGGTCAATTAATGAAGTAATTGCTTGGTCCTGTGGCGTTGGCAGCCCACATGGGTTTCCTTTGAGCCTGGTCTTGCAATCAGTCGATCGGTATCTGTATCATAAAAGTACAAAGACGTATTATTGTTGAGAGCATTTTTGCTCACTACTTTAACTTAATATATTTATCACATTTCTCAAGATTTAACTCATTTTCACGAGTATAACCATAGTTAATTCTTTACTTTTTCATTTATTTTTCCTATCACAATATTATGAGAAAAACAATACTTTAATAATATATTCCGTGATTTACCCTTCTTCACTTGTAGCACAACTCACTCTTTCATTTTCCTTGAAAAGCTTTAATCCAAACATTAAATTAAACCCCATTTTTTCCCGCTGCCTAGCGAAACCCCCTGATGTCTCCAACTTAATGGTTTTCAATTTGTGTAATTTTATGCAAGGATGATTTTTTAATGATGACTTAAAAAATAGAAAATTTGTATTATTGGACGACTTCTTTGGAAAAAACATCAATTATTGTAAAATTCGTAATGAACCCTACAAGTATCCCTTAATAGAAGAGGATTATATTATTGAAGAAAACAACGGCATCTTATTTGGGAAGTGTAATCTAATGATTAGAAGGGTCTAGTTGTAGATTATATTTCAAAGATAATCCATGCAAAAAATCGGATAAACTATAAATGGTTTAGCCATTTAAATGGTAAAACAGTTTTCTATTTGAACGATTTTCTTCAAGAAGAACCTAAAATATGAACTATCACCATCATTAAATTGGATTGTGGGGATAGTCTTAAGAAGAATGTTCTCATTTTTTTTCTTTTTAGGAAATTAGGTACATACAGACCCAATGTTATTAGGAAAAACCCACGTAATTTCAATTATATATACCCATTGACTACCATGACACGTCAACAAACTTCTGTTATAACTCTTTTATTTTTCTTTTTCAAGATATGTACAATCCCCATACTGATCTGATGGTGTGCATATATACATAACGGTCAACCCCAATCACATGGCTATCTCCACAAACAAAACTTGCGCGAAACAGGGAATCCCTGAAACAAGCAACCTGCATTCATGAGTAATATTGTTGCATAGCATAAATATATGTGCATCCCAAAAACACTGATATATGTTGTATCTTTATATGTGCATGCTAATCGTATTATGCATACATATGAAAGAGGAGACATATTCTTATTTTGGTTTGGTGCCAAAGTTAGGAAGGGGGAGGGGAGAAATTCTCACACACGGATATCACGGGAGCGTGAAATTAACTGAAACCAATTGGAAGCACACCAAAGATATGGACCAATCCAACTAACACCTCGTTAGTAAAGACGAGACATATTCATGTGTTAAAAAAAACCTTCAGGCCAAGACAAAACAAAATGTATTATCGATGGTCATGTGAGAATCCAGCTTAAACGGAGCAGATGCAGATGCACTAGTATAAATTACTCAATATCTCTTCCTTGTGATGATATCTCATCTTCAAAAAGGCAACGAGGCAATAATTTAATTGAAAATAAATGAAAGAGAAAATTAAATTCCTTATCTTAATATAGTACACCGTACATATACACCAACAGAACATATAGTACATTTTTCAACAACAACTGTAGCAATCATTTCACGCCGACACCACAATGCACATGGGATTTGCATATTGAATTTTGACATTGATAGCTACTTGTTATCATATGACAATTGCGTAGCTGATCTTCTTAATTTTCCTGATCGTATACATGTATATCAATTATGAGAGGGTCGGTTATGAGACTTTGAGAGTCATGTGCGAAATTTAACCTTCGACCCTCACATGATGTAATACGAGAGTACTAAAAAGTTTGGAAAGGGATTGAACCTTTAGATCTAAACTGTAGAGAGAATAACTATTTCGTTGAAATCAACATATATACTAAGCATAATAATTCGGCTCAAGTCAATTATATATACAAGCATTTGTCAAATAGAATGTGCTGCTCTTTAAAAAATTGTTTGATCAAATATATTCAACAGTTTATCCAATAATTATTAGAATCATAACATGGCTTTGAGCCAGAATAATGGGGGTTCACATTTGGCGTGTTCTGCATTGACTAATTATTTAACACATCCATATTATTAACCAACAAAGTTCTGACCTTGAAAAGCCCCAAATCATGCCCTAAACTAATGAAAGCCGGCATGCAAAAAAAATGCTGAATTAGTATAGTATGTTTATAAACTTGAAATCAAAGTTAACATAAATCGGAGTGAACATAAATCAGAGTGAGTATGAATTGGAGTAATTTGAAAGCAAAAAGAAAATGAAGCCGATTTTCATTAAATTGTTTACTAAATTGTCAAAAATCGAAATGGAAACCATTGTGTCTTTACTAGAACCACTACCCCCCTCCTCCCATTCCCCGAAAAACAAAGCATTACGTATTGATGTTTTCAAACCACGAATTGTTAAATAACGAAATATTCATGGGTATAAATTATATAAATAATGGAACGCCGATGCACGCACATGATGCTATAATCATGTGGATCAATGTAGAAGATGTGGTGTGTTCAAATCAAACAACCAGTTTTTCTTCCATCTTATGCGCTAGCCCCCAAACTTTGCACAAGAAAGGGGCGGAAAATAAAAAGAAGTGCAATTTATATACGACGTAAGAAGCAGTTCGTTAGGCTGTACTTTATTAGAATCTTCAGAGACGTCAAAGACAAATTAGGTCTGAATTAACAGTAACTAGCTAACTGACGTCAAAGACAAAGACTCCCCTCCTACTAGTCCCTTTTATTTTTTTGCCGAATTTAGGAAAGGGAGGGGGAAACTCACACACACAGGTACTATGACTTGAACCTAGGACCTGTTGGGAGCACGCCAAATACCTGGACTAATCCAACTAACACCTCATTGGTACCTGCTAGTCCCATTTTAGAGAGACTAAAGAGGGGTGCATGTGAACACCAAACTAAAGGCAATGGATTAGCTTGTGGTTCAAGGAAATGAAACACATAAAATTAGGATTAGCACCGTACCCTAAAACATGATTCAAAGAATGAGGATGGGAGGTCATGTCATGTTTTGCTAATATTATTTGTACAATCTATGTAGCAAGTAGCAAGCTACGTAAGGTCATTTTCGTAAAAGAGAGCTTCAAAATAATAATGAAAAAGGTCATTTCGGCGCCACTTTCTTGCTTTTGTCATTTTAATTTGCAAACTCATTACATTATTTGAAACCTATAAATAACCCCTCAAACCGTTTCAACTTCCTCACAACCACATTTCTCTTCACTACTCCAACTCTTTTTGCTCCTTCATCTCCCTATATCTCTTAAAATTTCATCACAAAATCATTGGAAAACCCCAAAGTAGTGTGCAAATGGCAAACCCTCGAAGCCTAATTGTTCTCTCACTAGCCTTTGTGTTCATGATCAACTCAGCCTTGGCCACTGCGGTCACATACAATGTGGCCAGCTTAGGAGCCAAAGCAGATGGTAAGACTGACTCCACCAAAGCCTTCCTCTCCGCATGGGCCAAAGCTTGTGCCTCTGTGAAGCCCATTGTCATTTACGTTCCGGCAGGGAGGTTCTTGCTTCGCAATGTGGTATTCAGAGGGCCATGCAAGAACAACGCCATCACCTTCCGCATTGCTGGAACCCTTGTGGCCCCGTCCAATTACAGGGTCATTGGAAATGCTGGTAACTGGATTTTCTTTCAACAAGTTACCGGGGTTACAATATCGGGTGGAATTCTTGACGGCCAAGGCACCGCATTGTGGGCTTGCAAGGCGTCGGGCAAGAGTTGTCCCAGCGGAGCAACGGTATTTAACTATATTGCTTATCAAATTATTGATGACATGCAAACCATTATCTCTCTGATTAAGATAATGAATATAATATGCTTCCCATGCATGTGCTTATAGGCCTTATATAATATATTAGTAATAATTTTAAAGGTCAACGCAGGGACCATTTGGGTTATCTTTGTTAATTGCTTGCATCACGGGTTTAGAGATATAAGCAAGCTCATATTTCGTAAAGTTATTAAAGGCACATGATATGTGTTATCAAGAGACTGATGAAGTATGTTTGTGCAGACATTGGGTTTTTCCAACTCCAACAACATTAAGGTGAGTGGCTTAATATCCCTAAACAGCCAAATGTTCCACATAGTCGTCAACGGCTGCCACAATGTGAAAATGGATGGGGTTAGGGTTTCGGCGTCCGGCAATAGCCCCAACACCGATGGGATTCACGTTCAAATGTCATCCGGTGTTACCATCCTCAACTCCAAGATTGCAACTGGTGATGATTGTGTCTCAATTGGCCCCGGAACCTCAAATTTGTGGATCGAAAATGTTGCATGTGGACCCGGTCATGGAATAAGGTATGAAGTCAAAATATGCATCTATGATTGATAAAACTAACAAGCAGCCTAGTATGCAATAATATATATATATATATACTTCACGGAATGAACACATTCGTTTGTGGGCTTTATATTTGTGAATGTAACATTTGTTTTGGTTGGTGGTTCAGCATTGGGAGTCTAGGCAAGGATCAACAAGAGGCCGGTGTGCAAAATGTAACAGTTAAAACGGTTACTTTTACTGGTACCCAAAACGGTTTAAGGATCAAGTCTTGGGGGAGGCCGAGCACTGGGTTTGCTAGGAACATTCTTTTTCAACATGCCGTAATGATCAATGTCCAAAATCCCATTGTTATCGACCAAAACTATTGTCCTGAAAAAAAAGGGTGTCCTGGTCAGGTAAGATATCAACACAATACCACTTTCTTTGACAAATATAGCCATTATATATGATTATACATGTCTAATTTTAGAACGTACCAAAAGCATTCATAACCACTTGCTCTCATTCTATCATTTTTATGTTCGTTCAAGCAGGTTTCTGGAGTTCGAATTAGCGATGTGACATACCAAGACATCCACGGTTCATCGGCAACAGAAGTTGCAGTTAAATTTGATTGTAGTTCCAAGTACCCTTGCAGCAAGATCAGATTGGAGAATGTGAAACTTACTTATAAGAACCAAGTTGCTGTAGCTACATGTAGCCATGCTGGTGGAACAGCTGCGGGTATGGTTCAACCTACAAGTTGTTTGTAGAGGGCAAATACAAATTTTTGTATTAAGTCTGAATCATCGTGAAGCATAGAAGGAAATTTAAAATTTTGTCTCTAGTACAATGGACAAAAAGAAGTAGAATTGTACGAAATTATAGGGAAATTTTAGTGTTAGGTCAATGAAATTGAAGTCATTGCTTTATCCTGTGGCGTTGGAAGCACATTATTGGTCTTCCTTTGAGCCTGGTCTTGTAATCAGCTAATTTCTCCAAACCCCTCGAATTCGATGGGTGTTTGTATCATGGAGTATGAAGATGCATTTCTATTTTTTACTTCTAGCTTTTTATTATATGATTAAATAAAAGGATAAACCGTATCGAAGTGCAAGGAACAAATGAAATTGACCTTCTTCCTAAAATATATATATGTAACTTGTTCTGTTCTCTAAAACCTCTTCCGAGAACTACGACTACAAGCCAAACCGGAAGCGGCTCGCTTCTATTCTCGTCGGAACTATGACTAAAACCTCTTCCAAGAACTACGGCAGGGTATGCATACCGGTTTTCCAATCCCCAGTCTCATTGAAAAGACCCTCTATGTTTGAAAGTGCAAGGAACCATTCTTCTATATAACATTTTCCCATCACAGTATTTTGTTACAAATTCGACGTTGTATCTCCTTGTTATAAGCATAACCCTTATTTCCATATTTCCTGGGCACAATTAAAATTATATTAGTATAGTTTTTACCATGCGCTATTATAACCACTAGAGCCATGACTATCGAAAAATCTCTTGTACAACAAACCCATAGCATTCTTGAGATCCAAGATTTGACTAAGAAATCGTACTGTTGGAACCAGAGGTCAATGGGGCAATTGATGAAACTGAACCAAGGTTTAATAGCAGTTAGAGAATGAGCTTGTTGAAGAACCAGGACCAACATGAATCTTCCAAGAAGAAGATTCTTCACTTTTATCATGGCAGACAGAGTGTGTAAGAGATCACAAAGCCTTTTGTTCAACAGTTTTCTCTGCAGCCGACAGCTGATAACGAAATTCTTTCAGCGCAATTGGAGTCTCAAGCGACAGTAACAGATCATGTCATACTTAGTACTTAGGCAAGCCATGCAGGGAGCAATAATCACATCCTCATGGGAAATCTTCAGACCAGAAGCTTTAAGGTCATCTCTAGCATTCTTAATGCGCAACAAGAACTACTCTGGCCCCTTTGAATTCTATGCAACCGTGTCTAATGACGATTTATACTAGCTAGCACAAGACGTTGTAACATATCTATCAACCAGATTCTTTACTGCATTACACAAGGTCCTACCATCAAAAATATACCGCAGTCACTAGTCAAATGTAGCAAGCAATAAATTGAGTAATGCCTTATTCTGTTTTCATCCAGGACTTAAAGGCCTCAGTAATGACAGACTTAGAAGACACAACTTTGAACAATCAAAATAGCCGAAAAAATCATTGCCTTTCATAAAAGTGCCTATCATTGAGGTGAAGCAACCCCGTAAAACAATCAATTTCAGTTTGTGTACACATCAGCTTAACAATGCTCACAAATTGATAAGTCCATAAATTTACATATTTATGTACTCTTTATACTTAGTTTTTGTAGGAGAATTTGATTTAAAAAGGACTTATTACTTATTTTCTCAATTTTGAGCTTTCTGGAGCAAGTAATTGGTTGTCAACGGAAATACAACTTTTTGGTGGAGTTTTAGTACAAGACCAGAAAGAGATAAAAGCTAAGATCTTGAAGCTGATTGTGGAATGTTTCTAGAATTTTCGGAGCAGTCTTTGAAGTTAAGTCAGCATAAGGTGCAATCCCGTCAAAACTGTGCTGCTGTGGAAGAATGATTATTTGAAGACTTTTCTAATTTTTCCCAAATTTTCTTGAAGGAGGAATGATTCCAAACATGCGTGCAAAATAACTAATGTGTTATCCCAGTCAAAGTAGGAAGAGGAGTCAATTACTTACCCATTTTGGATTTATGTTTTAATCAGGCTTTTCTTTATTTTTGGACTGTTGTATAAGGCCAGCTTGGGTATGAATAGACGTGTGGTGTTTTATTTAAGCATGAGAAACAACTCCTTTGGGAGGACGCAAAGACTAGGAGAAATTGGAGACGCCAAAAGAGTACCACAATTGGCTAAGTATTATTGTTTCTTCTTTATGTTTTTGTTTATATCGAATTCTGTGATTATGTATAACTAATTTTCTTTTGCTAGGGATGATGTAGCCCTAGTATGATAATCTAGTTTTCTTATTTTACCGATCTATTGATTGCCGTTTGATGTTGGATTCTTAATAACTATGATTAATACCTTAGTTGATATCTTGATGTTTGATCACCATCTGGACTTTTAATTGAATTAATCGAATGCGAATTAGAGTAAATACCATACTTACAGTGATTAGGATTTGTAATTCGTCTAGGGTAAATACCATACTCCTAGAGTTTACATGCTTGTTGGAGATTTTCATTGATCTTAATGAGTTTCTATGTGTTGATATTTGACCTAAATACCATAGAAAAATTGCATGTAGGAATATATGAGTTAGCTTAAATACCATAGGTAATTCATAAAAAAGGAAAACTAAGCGGCAACATCAAATGGTTAGTTAATAGGTAAGAGAATAAGAGGCTAAATTGGATTACTAGTGGTGAATTCATTGTCCTAGTGCTTTTATCAATTTGAATTTCTCATCCTTGTGTTTCGTGACTTTCTACTTGTTTTGTCTTTTAATTTTGTTGTTAATTAAATCATTCTTTCAAAAACCCCTTTTGTGTTTACGTGAGTATGCTACATTTTAATTTCTTGTTTATATAATTATAGCAGTTAAAATATTTTGTGAAGTAAATTAGGTTAGACTAATTGGAAGTTGAACTCAATCCTCGTGAGAATGACTTCGTATTTGCCATACTATATTACAATTGACCTTGTGCACTTGCGAGTATAATTTTTGTTTAGACTGATTTTTATAATCTCCATTTTTCAGGTTGTCTAAAATTCGAATTCACAACAAGTTTTTAGCGTCGTTGTCGGGGATTGGCTTCGTCAACTACGATTTAGTTCAATCTTAATTTAGCTTTTTAGTTTTTTTTTAAATTTTAAATTTATAGTTTAGTTTAGTTTTCTTAGTTTTATTTTATTTATTTCATTTTTATATTATATGTCAATTGGAATTGATTTATGTTTCTTGTTTGTCTTGTGTATTAGGTTCGGCTTAGTGTATGACTGGTAGACACTCTCATGGTCAAGACCTCATATTGTTTGATCCTAAGATTGAGAGAACAGTTAGGAAATGAAAAAACAAATTCACTCACTCACTGGAACATCAAGAAGATGGAGGTCCCATTGAAAATATAAACGAGAAGAGTGACAAGAACGTTGGGGAACAACAATTAGAGCAAGAGGAATCAATGGAACGAGCACAACCTACTCGAGCTCTAAAGGAGTACTTCATCCCAACTCTTTCCAACACTCCATCATGTATTGTACTACCAGAAGTCGAAGGAAATTCATTTGAACTCAAGTCTAGAATGATTCACTTGTTACCATCTTTCTATGGCAAGTCGAATGAAGATCCTAACACGCATATTCTAGAATTTTTTGACATTTGTGGCACAATCAAGATCCTAAATGTCTATGAAGAAGTAGTTAGGTTGAAATTGTTCCCGTTTTCATTAAAGGATAGAGCCAAAGCTTGGCTTCACTCATTGCTAGCTGAATCCATTAATTCATAGGAGGGATTAGCTCAAAAATTTCTTTAGAAATTCTTCCCTGCGCAAAAAACGAATTAGCTTAGAAGAGATATAATGTATTTTACTCAAGGAGAGCATGAGCCATTCTATGAAGTGTGGGAGATATGTAGAAAGTTGCTGCAAAAATGTTCTCATCATGGCATTATTGATTGGATGCAGATGCACTTCTTTTATGAAGGACTTACAACTGCAAACAAACGAATGGTTGACTCTGCATGTGGAGGTGCATTGATGGAAAAGACACCTCAAGAAGCGTTTGATCAATTTGATTTGCTTGCTAATAATAATCAACAATGAGGCAGTGAGCGAACAAAGAAGGCAGGATTCATGAAGTCGACACCAACACAGCGGTTGTTGCCTAAATTTCAAGCCTTGAGAAAAAACTTGAAAGTCTTATGCGTGCTGTTATTCCACCTTCCCCACAGCAAGTTTGCACCATTTGTTCTGACCCTACTCATCCAATGGAACTTCTTCCATCTACTACGCAAGGTTCTAAGCAAGTTCTCCAAGTTAATTCGTTTCAGCGACCTCGGAATGATCCATATTTGAACACCTATAATTCGTGTGACGTAACCACCCAAATTTTTCATGGAGCAACCAAAAACAACAAGCTAGTTTTAGCCATCCCTTCCAGAAGGAAATGCAGCCTTTGAGTGAGCCTAAGAAACCAGCGTTGGAGGACTTAATTGCTCAGTTACATACATCTCAACAAAATCATAATACAATGCAAGCGTCCATCACTAAGTTAGAAACTCAAGTAGGTCAACTCACTACTATTGTGCATGAGAAGGAGCAAGGCATATTCCCAAGCCAACCCGAAATTAATGCTCAAAATGTTGAACACATTAAGTCCATTAGAACTCTAAGAAATGGCAAGCCATATGATAGATGAGAAGAAGCCACGACAAGTCTTGGAAAAGAATATGAAGGTAAAGAAGAAACTAAAAGACTACTTCCAACACCCACCCAAGGCAAACTAGGTGATTCCGAAAGAATTGCTAATAATGATCAAATCGCCCCTATCAAAGCAAGGATTTATGTTCCCCCACTTTCATTTCTAGCAGCATAAAGAGTCCATAAACAAAAGAAAGATCAAATAGATATTTTGGAGATGTTCAAAAAGGCCCATATCAATATTCCATTGCTGGACGCCGTTCAAACAATTTCCCTCTTATGCAAAATTTTTGAAGGATGCATGTACAAACAAGAGGAAATTCGTAGCTCATGAAAAAGTGATGTTAACTGAAGAGTGTAGTGTGGTGTTGCTCAAGCAATTACCTCCAAAACTGAAGGACCCAGGGAGTTTTACAATTCCTTGTATTATTGGTGATGTTCAATTTGATAAAGCATTTTTAGATTTAGGCTCAAACATTAACCTTATGCCTTTGTCTATTTTTCAGCGATTAGATATTGGAGAGCTCAAGAGTACTGCCGTTTCTCTTTAACTTTCGGGTAGATCAGTCACATATCCTAAAGGAATCATTGAAGATGTGTTGATTAAAGTGAAGCAATTTGTGTTTCTGGCTGATTTCTTTGTTCTTAACATGGAGGAAGACCACGACATCCCACTCTTGCTAGTCTGGCCTTTCCTTGCTACTGCTGGTACATTGATTGATGTACAACAAGGAACTCTAACTTTGAGAGTTCAAGGCAAATCCATTGAGTGTAAAGTGTTTGAGGTTGTTAAAAAACTGGGAGACTTGAAAGAGTGCAACTGCATAGATCTTCTTGACCCAATTGTACATGTCAACTACTTGGAAATCACCTCTATGGATGTCTTAAAAGCCAAGTTGCCATCCTCTCCATATGTGAAACACATAGGCACTTCTCTTGATGTGCCGAAATTTATCAATGTTTTATCAAAAGCTTTTCGAAGATGAGCCGGCCCTTGTGGCATTTCCTTGCCAAGGATCACACCAAGACATTGCATGACAAGGCTATTGTTCGCAAGGAGTTTGGACAATAGCCCAAGCACTACATGGAAGAAGTAGCATTATTTGCTACTTCCGCACCACCGTAGACATTCGAAAAGTCTAGCTCATGACTATAAAGAAGCGCTTCTTGGGAGGCAACCCAAGCATTCTCACCTTTGTCTTCGTTTGTTTTTTTGTGTTTTTTATTTTTAGTTTCTATGTGATTTCTCTTACATTTTTCTTGTTTTTGTTTTTGTTGTTTTTATTAAGTTTCGCATCATCAAACAAAGGATTTTGTGTTCCAAATAATTTTTTTTGCATTTTTCAAGCCTTAGGATGTTTGCAGCACATTTCAGATGTGTTATATAAGTTTTTTTGGTCTTTGGTTGAGTTTAAATACCAGAAAATAGCAACATAGCTTAGTAGGTTCTTATTTTCGTCAAAATCAAAATTTCTACCTAGTGTTTTCTTTGTTGTTTTTCGGGTTAATTTGTAGCCACCAACATGTTTATTATAGTTATTATGATGATTTGGACCAAGTTTGGGGGTTTCAGGTGGCCTACATTATGTTTTAGGACGACTTGAAGCTCAAAAAATGACTTAAAACCCGAAAAACCCAGCTTGCTATTTTGCCAAAAAAAAATTGAAGATTTTTCGTCACCAAAGGTTTTTAGCGACGGATGCTTAGATTTTTCGTGGCTTAAGGTTTTCTGCGACAGTGTTCTTTAGATTTTTCGTCACTAAAAGTCAAATTTCCAGATCAAATTCAAACCCAATGTCATCATGACCAGAGACATCTAGGAGTTATTTCAGGTCCGTTGACATTCCAAGAAGCAAGTTATGTGTTTGAGTTCGTCGCATTGTCTATCATCTCTCACTTCGACATACGTCCTCTCTCTCTTTAATTGATTTTTCATGACTTAGTTTTCTTTGTTTTAAACATGGAGGACAATTTTTGTTTTAAGTTGTGGGTGATTGAGTTCTTTGGTTTCATAACGTATGCAACAGTCATTTGTCTTTGGTTTCTTATGTTCTTGTATGTTGCTTTTTTTTGTATTTTTGGCCCTTTTTTTTTTTTTTTTTTTTTTTTTTTTGTTTTATCTAACCATATAAAGAACGTTAAATTTGACCATGTATTTTGTGAGATACATGGAATTCTTTGCACCTAGGTTAGAACTGCAGTTTTGTTTATTGGTTTTCAATTCATTTCAACTTTTGGTTTTTATTTAATTAGTTTTTTATTTTGATGTTTGTTTTGTTTTCGTTTTTTTTCCTTTTAAAAAATAATTAAAAAAATTTGAAAAATGTCATAAAACCCAAAAATATTTTCTTTTACTTTGAGTCTTGTTTTTATTTATTTGTGGTAGTCACTTCCTAATTCTATGATGAGATTGAATTTTATTTACAATTAACTTTCAAGAAGTTTTGAGCATGACACTAAGTCTTTACATTATCTTTGTGTTAGCCTTATTTTTGTGATTAGACTTAGGAAAACCTTATGCACATAGCCATATTAATATGAGTTTTGATTGAGGATTTCACATGATTTAAATGGCTAAATAAGAGCTAGTGTAAACTTATATAACCCTCATTATGTGAATTTTTGAGCCTACGCCTTCCTTTCTTGAGTGTTATATGATATTCTATAATTTTCTTGTCTACGACATTGCAATTTCATTATTCTTTGTTTTGGTCATGTACTTGAGGATGTTTGATTTTTTAGCTAGAACTACTTTCATTATCTATTTGAGGCATACTTCATGAACCACATGGATTCTAGGAAGTGATATAGGCCTTGTTTCTTTAGTTTGAGCACTTCTAGCCAACCCGTATCACTTTTATCCCTAGTTAACCACCTTGTGCCTTTTATGTAAGCCTTTTTTTTTTCATTCTTTACCCAATTCTCCTCACCTTAATCTATCATATGTTTATCATATACCCTTCTAAGGAGTTTTGTAGAGTATTTTCGTTGTTAAGGGAGAATTGCACAACAATCATGTGGAAAGTAAAGGATACTATTTCAAAAACAAAAAACAAAATAAAAACAAACAAGAAAAACCTAATTTCGAAGCTGTTTCAACTCGAGTTATTAAGCCCTAGGAGTGTTTTACATTTAATGCCTTAAAGCTATCTAGGTTGGGAGTCGTTGGCCTAACTAGGGGTGGTTGCGGTTCAGTAACTACGAATTTTTGCCCAAACCGCAAACCGACTGACTATTTGCAGTATGGTGATTTTCCAAACCACAAAAAGCGGTCGGTTACTGCGAATTAGAGGTTTAAAACCTCAAGTTCTCAAGCATTCACAAAATATAAATTCACAACCTAAATAAATAAATACACAACCTCAACTTCTCAAGCATTCACAACCTAAAGAAAATTAAAGTTACAATTCCAAGCATTCCAATTAAAGTTAAACTTCTCAAGCACTACAAGGAAAACCCCTTTTGGCGACCACCATGTTTGGTCACTAAAAGCTGTTATTTCGTCGCCAAAACCCTTTAGCGACGAAATAATTTCGTCGCCAACTTTGTCGCCTTAGGCTCGTGGCTGAAAGTCCCAAACTACGAAAGGCAACGAAAATAAATTTTCGTCGCTAAAATTCTTTACGCGACCAATTGATTTCGTCACCTTTAATTAATCAGTTGGTTCGTCACTGATAGGTTTGGGTGACTATCTAATTTGGTCGCTAAAGCTTACTTAGTTGGTCGTTAAAATTTGTATATTTTGGGTGCTTTTAATTATTTGATTTATATTCTGTTTTGTGGTAATATTAACCTTTTGCATTAATATATTGTAATTTTGAATAAATTTAGGTAAATAGATCAATAGAAAATTATATGAATAAAAGTTTCTCTCATTAAAAATTACACAAGCATACTAGTTATTGAAGTACACATAACATATCCAAAAATAGTACATATAAACAAGTGAAGAACCCCACTCAAAGACTGGAGGCCAAGCTCTATATATACTTGCCCTCGGTAAACCCAAGTTCCGTAGTAATTATTTCCCCACTCTAAGACTAGGTTTCGACTGAAAGAATGCATGTAGTTGCCTTCTTTAATTCCAAGTTATGTAGTCATGATCATTAACACCTGTGGGATAGGGATTGTAGTCTAATATCATGGAATTCCCAAACACTCTGCTAATTGTTGCTTGATCTTCTCAAACTCATCAATCATATTCCTTTACAAAAGAAACAAAACAAGGAAATGCCAATGGTCAAGAAGATGCCAAAACCAAGAAAAGTTATAAATAAATAAATATATATATATATATATAGAGACCAAAAACAAACAATTTTCGACAACACAATTACAAGAAATCTTGCCCAAAAGCTGAAATTCACAATCTTAACTAAATAAGCCATTAGAAAGAGTTTGGATCTACATAAGAAAAATGATCACTAGTCATCAATATTTAAGAATGTTTGAGAATGGTATTTGAACAAACTTAATAAAATTTGAATTCATTTTTCATACCTCTCAAATACCACAAATGAAGGAAAACAATTCCGAGAAACCAGTGTAAAGACTAATATCATGCATAGCACAAACCTATTAGAAAACATAAATCATAAAATCCAAAGTATAATCCACACCTTAACCAACAAGGGTTGCATAACTTCTCAACACAATACAAAACACGTATGCCATTTTAGTACCTTTAAACAAACAACACCACAATGACATTGACAACTACCATAGCTATTAATAAGAAAACAAATAGAACTGAGTGTAATTTGAAGAAGAGGTTCTTACCTCAAATGGTCCTCTATCCAAAACCACAAACCAAATCCTTCCACCTCCTCAAATAATCTGACATGCAAAAACAGGATATTACCTCAGTAAAATTAGACTCCTAAATGACATTGTTCTAAACACATTACAAGATAAAGAGAACCACAAACCCAAATAAGGCAATCACTCATTGGTTTTAATGTTTTCAATGAAATAGAAACACTAAACGACAACTTTTTCAATTTCCACTAGAATACAATGAAGAATTGAAATAAAAAGATATCTAAATGTAGAAAAAGAGGATTGAATTGAGATAAAATAACATGAAAAATTCTTTAAAAGTGAAAACACAAGCTAACAGAGGATGATCCTAGTGAAAAACTAGAAGTCTTGAATATATTTCTTTAACATATTTTCAAGCCCAAGACACAGAGTTTGCTTAAGCACATAGCCCAACATTCCCCATTTTCTAGGCACTTCAATTTGGTCTTCAAACATTGATAAGAAAAAAGACAATTCAACAAAAAGGGTATAAAGTAGTTTGCAGTAAATCATAGATGACCAAATACATATTTTGTTAAACAATTTGGGCAGGAACACTTCAATTTGGGAAATTCACTAAAAAATCAGTTTGAGTCGAAATAGTGCGAAACTTTCCAGATCAAAACTAGACACATAAAACTTTATCACATCAAAATTTCATGGCATTCGAAGTTAAGGAAGCATGTCAAAAACAAAATCCAAACCAGACTGGGCTGCAGAGTTTTCTGCTTCCTGCAACATAACAACTACTTTAAAAATTTGCCAAAAATCCAATTTAACTCCAATTTGTATGAAACCAGTTTTGAAATGCTCATTGAAATGTCTAATTATAAAAAATATAGATCAAAATATAAATTCGAACTAGGTCTTTTGGTCCAGAACATAACAGAAGATCATAGATTTATGCATAACCTCAAATTTCATCAACCAACCCAAATCTTTCAAAATACACCACTTATCAGCTTTAAACATCAAAACACTAAATCATAAAAATGTTGCTATTTACTATTGAAAAAGTATTAATCTGAATTGACCAACTACAATTAAAAAAAATAAAAGCAGAGCTTAATTGAATAACCAACTATGAAATTTTTACAACAAAAACCACAATGGCAGCTTCAACAATTACGCAGCTTCTCCTGCACTAAACAACAAAACTCTAAAAGAAATACAAAGTGTATAAAAAATGCACAATTTGATATATCATTGACAAAACGTACAAGACCACAGTGCAATATTGAATTACAAAGCACAACCAATTAAAAATCAATAATAATAACCACACACACACAAGAATAAATAAATAAATAAAAGAAGCTCGTAGACAAAGGCAAAGGAACCTTGAAACGAATACACACCCACATGACCAACTTCCAACTTCTAACTTTTTACTTCAATTATATAAATGAATTGTTATATTCTTTCTTGCAACAGACAGTAAAGAAATTCAGATTTAATCCATAAGTATCAAGCGAACATTCAGGACTTGGAAAATAATCAATCAGACTCAAAGCATTAAAACATAAAAAAAAATGAATTAACTACTGGGTACATGTGCAAGTGAAACATCTCAAATTTGACACAGAACCCACATCAAATGCAAAACAGGGCATTCATATCAGACACAAAACCCTACTCAAATTTGACATAGAACCCACAATAACCACTTGAAAAATATAAGCCATTGTATTCAGAAAACTTGGACTGTTGAATGTTCAAGCATTTAAGATATCAAAAAGGAAAAAACAAGCACTGAAATTCAGTTTCGATTTAAATTCCTGGGCATCTATTTCCGATTTTCCTTGATTATTTTCTCAGCAACCAAATGGAATCTAGAACTGAAAATCAGCGCTCAAACGAAAATGAAGGTAAGCTAGACAAGGTAGACTCACCAGAAGCTTTCTTTGACACACGCAGTGAGGAGGACTTCGGAGATGGAGTTTTCATATGGCCGTCAATTCCTGACCGTGGTAGGGAAAGGCGTGACAGATGGAGGATCGCTTGCTGACGTCGGTGGAGGATTGCTTTGCCGACGTCGGTGGAGGATTGCTTTGCCGATGTGAGAGCAACAGAGAGTGGGTCTGAGAGGAAATAACGAGTTAGGAACTTTTTATTTTTATTTTTGTATTTATACTCTCTAGATTAGCCCCAAAAACTGTTTGGTCGCCCATATGCTAACATACATAAAACAACGTCGTTTTATGGTTCAAGCACAATGATCTACGACGAAAAATAAAATGGTCGCCAACCCCCGAAATTTTTAAGCGCCAATTCTAACTTAGCGACAACACATTAAAACTTAGCAACCTAATATTTTCATCACCAAAAGTTTTAGAGTTTCGCGCCCACCCAATTCAGTAAATCGCGACCAAATATATGTTTGGTCGCCAAGTCCTAGCCTAACCACCAAAAACTTTCGTCGCCCTTAGTTGATAAATTAGTTGCTATTTTGTTGACTCAAGTCATGATGGGTGTCTAAAAATCACGAACTTTTTGGCGACTAACTGGAAAAATTTCGTCGCTGATGCCCTTTTTGGCGACTAAAATATAGTGCGTCGCAAAAGAGGTTTTTCCTTGTAGCGAAGCATTTCAATTCCAAATCCTTTAAAGTTACAAACCAAAAGGAAAATGCAAAGCAAAATGAATTAAAGTTACAACCAAAAAGAAAAATCTAATTCAAAGTTAATTAAAGTTACAAACTAAAAGGAAAATGCAATGCACCAATGTTACAAACTCAAGTGTTGGTGTTGAGTGGATTTGAAGAACCCTGTTGTGTTGTTTGAGCACCAATGCTATCTACAAATAAAACAACATAGTTTAGTACATTTTATTATAAGAAGAAGCATAAATAACATTAGCATAAATAAACTAATTACTTACAAGTTGTCATATGTTCCATTTCCTTATTGAATTCAACCTCATCATCCGTTGGTTCCTTGTAAAAGGAAAATTCGTCCGCTCTAAGCCAATCACCAGTACACACTAATGCCTCTATCATTTTAGGATGCAAAGAGCTTCTAAAAGGATCCACAATCCTCTTGCCTAGGCTAAAAGCATTTTCACTAGCAACCGTAGAACTTGGAATTGCAAAGATATCCTTGGCAACTTGTGAAATAATAGGATATCTTGTTTGGTTTCCTATCCACCAATTCAACAGATTGAATTGTTTGCTCAAGGGGCTCTCAAAAGGATCCGTCAAGTACTTATCTACTTCATTGGATATCTCAACGGATTGCTCATCCTCCCTCTTTTGCACAAGTTGTTGCATTAGTTGAAATGTGACATCAACATCATCACCAATTTGTGCAACCTCATCATCAATCTCATCCTCATAAATTTGGCTCACACCCCCTCCAACCCCTTTATACTCATTATACAATTCATTCAAACACTTTACAACCTCCTTCACAATCTCATCTTGCTTTCTAGCATCTGCCCCAAGATTTCCAAAGCTTATTTGGAGCATTTGAAGCTTCATCCTTAGGTCTAGCACATTGCCCAAAAATATAAGCTTATTCACAACCACCCTATCATTGGCTTTAGGCTTTGTGCCATGTACTCAACCGCCCCATCATAGGCAGAAGCATTATCAACTGTAATTGTGAACACTTTATGTATGCCCTAATTCGTCAAACATGCGTCTAGGGTTTTTCCTATGTCAATGCCCTTATGACTAGTGATCTTTGTGAAACTAATTATTCTTTTGTTCAAGTTCCAATCACTATCCATGAAGTGTTTCGTGACAACCATGTAATTTATGTTTTGGATCGATGTCCAAGTATCGGTTGTAATACTAACTCTTTGCTCACCAATCACACTCATTATCTTTGCCTTTTTAACCATGAATAACTCCCACACCCCCTCGGCAACCTTCTTCCTACTTGGTACCTTGAAACGAGATTGCACCTCGTTCATCATTTCCTTAAAACCTGAGCCCTCAACGACTCTAAAAGGATGCTCATCCTTAATGATGAACTTCAACACCTTTAACTCACATTTTTTTTGATTGAATGTGTGAGGAACCAATCCACTACCCATTGTATCCGTTGTCAAAGAAGGTTGATTTGCATCACCTTGTTGATGATAGAGAGGAGAGAGCTTGCATCTCCTCTCTATGTGATTTTTTAAACCCGTTGTCCCATTTTTTCTAAGGTCGGCCGGCATCTCCAATTTGCAATAATTTCAAGCCCCTATAACCTTCTCTATCCCATTACCATCCTTCTTTATTAGTTTTGTGCAATATAACCACACAATCGATTTTGGGGCTTTCCTCCTATCTCCCACCATAAGCCCCTCACTTGTGGGATTTTGTGTTTGAGTTGGAGATTGTGTGTCGGGTGTATCGGTTTGTGTTTGGGGATTAGAGGCATTAGGTGTGTTAGAGTGGCTAGACTCCATCTATAATACAACACAACACAAAAGCAACAACATAAAAGAATATTAATAATAGATTAAACTCAACCAAATTAAAACATAACAAGAACTGAAACTTTTTATAAATAAAAAAAACAGATTCAAAACAACATTAACAGATTCCATAATTAACATTAACATATTCAAAACAACATTAACAAATTCTAGAATTAACATTAACATATTCAAAACAACATTAACAGATTCCAGAATTAATATTAACATATTCAAAACCAAGCTGAAAAAATTAACAGATTCCATAATTAACATTAACATATTCAAAAACAGATTCAAAACAACATTAAGAGATTCCAGAATTAACATTAACATATTTAAAACAACATTAACAGATTCTAGAATTAACATTATACAAAAATACAAAAACCAAATACAAAAATACATAACTTACCTCTGCAAAACCAAATGCTCCAAGCTTAAAACAGAAATCTCCAAACACAACACAATTCACTTAAGCAACAATCCCTGTAAAAATCAAATTTGACATTAGAAATACCCAATTAAAACCTAAATTTCGAAACCCTATCTTTGAAACAATCAATTTCAGAAATTAGGAACACCATAATTTACCTCCAAATCAGAGGTTGGGAGCGGCTAAGAGCGGTTGGGAGTGGCTGAGAGCGGCTGTTGATAGTGGTGGCCGACAAGTTTGAGTTGAGCTTGAGAGAGAGAGAGAGAGAGAGCTTGAGTTGAGTGAGCATGGTGGAGGTTGAGTTGAGAGAGAAGAGACAGAATTGAGATCGAGAGAGAGAGGAGGAGATGAGTTCGATTCGAGCCTATGAGAGAGAAGCCGATTTTGAGAGTTGAGAGAGAGAGAGAGAGAGAGAGAGAGAGAGACGAATGAGAATCAGAGAGTTGAGAGAGTGAGATCGCGTAAGGAGAGAAGGGTTTAGGGTTCGCATCTAACGGCTACAGACAATAAAATGCAATAGTATACTTAAGTATTTATAGAGTATAGCCGTGCGGCTATACTTTGCGGTTTGCGGTCACCACAACCGCAACCGCAAATGCGGTTCTGTTTACCGTGATAGTGGTTTCATTGCGGTAAATTATCGGTTGGTTTTTGCGATTTTTCGATTTTTTCGGTCTAAAATGCCAACCCTAGGCCTAACACTCGCTACATGGGTTGATTAGAAAGCTAATGAAGAGTTAGAAAAAAAAAAGATTGTGAAAAAGAAAATGTGAAAAAAGAAAAAGAAAATTCAAGACAGTATCAATATGAAGTTGCATGCTCAAAGTGCAAGATGTTATAATTTTCATGGAAAGCTCGATGAATTCCTTAGAATTTGTTCATCCATATCTCTTTCTTGTTTCACCCGTCACTCTAAGCCTCACTACAACCTTAGTGAAAGTCTTACTTGATCCAAGGAGAAGTGTGAATCCTCATGTGGAGAATAGGTGTGGAAGAACTTTGGTCAGATGGTTTAAATGTTTTCAAGTGCGATATCTTTCCATGAGATCTTTTATATTTGTCATGTGCCTTTATTTCAATATGTGAGTACATCCTATTGCTTTGATTCCTCTCACATATTTATGAGTGAAAATAACTAGTCAAATTTCGAGTGCTTTTATTGGAGTGAACATCCTTGATGAGATTTGAAGTTGAAGCTTGTTCTTATTTGGTTATTTAACTTGTGTGAAGCTTAAGTCGTGAGTTCAAAAAAAAAAAAACAAAAAAAAAAAACCAATAAAAATGTTTTTCCAAGAGCGGATGGTCGTCGGACGGCGTCGGAAAAGCGATCACTGTGCCAATCACATTTTCAAATACGTTCTTCTCAATGTGCATAACATCCAAATTATGCCGCAACAAGAGAGTTTTCCAATAAGGCAATTTGAAAAAGATACTATGTTTCTTCCAATTGTGAGTCTTTCCAAACCCTGCTATTGTTTGCTTTGTTTCATTCTTACCATGGGTTATTTCTCTTAGTTCACTAAGTTCATTTATCATATCAATGCCTGATGGTCTAGTTGAGCAACCCTCTTCTCTCTTGTATTATCAAACTACATCTTCTGATTACGCCATGGGTGATCTAATTGTAAGAAACGTCGATGACCCATATAACATTGCTTGGAGCCATGACGTAAACTTAGATGTGAGGTATTGGACCCACAACACGGGCAAGCCAATTTTCCTTGTGTACTCGAACCTGACATATAAGCATATGCAGGATAGTCGTTGATAGTCCACATGATTGCAGCTCGCATGTGAAAATTCTGCTTTGTAGATATATCGTATGTTTCAACGCCAATTCCCCATAAGTATTGCAACTCATCTATCAATGGCCTTATGTATACATCAATATCTTGACCAGGGCCCTTTTTTCCTGGTATAAGTAAAAAAATGAAGACATAAGACTCTTTCATCAACATCCATGGAGGAAGGTTGTATAGGAACAGAAGGATTGGCCATAAGCTATACTTCACACTCATATTGTCAAAGGGGTTGAATCCATCAGTTGCCAAACCAAGTCGTACATTGCGCAACTCATTACCAAAAGACTCATGTATTCTATCAAGAGATTTCCAAGCTTCGGAATCTGCTGGGTGCCTTAACACACCATCTTTCACACGTTCCTCATAATGCCATCTCATATCTACAGCAGTCTTAGAAGACATAAATAATCTTTGAAGCCTTGGCGTTAGTGGAAAATAATGCAACACATTCCAGGGAACCTTTTTTACCTTTCTCTTTCCCACCCCGACCTTGTGACTTCCATCATGAAATCTTACATGTAGGACATTGAGATAAATTTTCATGCTCCTTATAATAGATTACACAATCGTTCTTACATGCATCAATCTTCTCATAATGAAGATCTTTAACAATCTTCTTTGCACCATACTTGGTTGTAGGCAACCTTTTACAAAAAGGAAATGCTTTTTTCAACACTTCCAACAGCATGTTAAAAGATTTGTTGCTCCAATTATTGCTGCACCTGATATACATCAAGGTAACAGCAAAAGACAGGTTGGAGTATGTCTCACAACTCGTGTACAATGGCTCTTCTGCCTTTTCTAACAATTTGTAAAACTTTCTGCATCTCTATTTGGCTCTTGCGGAAAAACTTCTTCTATTAAACCGTGCATGTCATCAATTGACTCCAGATTATCCACTTCATTTCCGTTACTACTACTACTATCACTTTCATCACTATCATTATCCTCATCCTCCCCATGCAAATACCATCGAGTATAGTCAAGCCTAATACCCTTAAACAGAAGATGTTGGCCCATCTATCCCTATTACTACATTTAATGCAAGGACAATAAATTTTCATGTCATCATACTTCAGATGCTTATATGCGTAATCAATAAAATTGGCAACTCCAGTAAAATACTCATGTGTTGACCTCCTTGATCACATCCATGATTTATCAATTGGCATATTATCTACATTTGATTGAGACAAGATAGAAACAAATTATAGTAAAAGACAAATAACAATTGGCATATTACATTGATCATATATCTATCATATACAAAACACATTACACTGGACACTACCAAACTCTGATAAAATGCACTGACATGCATCTAATATACATAAAAAATCCCATGCTTTAATTAGCAAAATCGGTACCTGCTCTCTGGTTATTTTGGCTCTGGTTAGGTAATAGTTTGACTTGCTCTCTATTTTCTAGCTAGGAGGTAAGTGGTCACAATTGCTTGGCTTAGCTAAGGAACATAATGTCATGGTACACAAGTTTTGGGTGGTTAAAACTAGAATACAAAACCAAGTCGTACAAAATATACCAAAATACAACACAAGAAATTTGAACATGTTATGCATGAATAAGATAAATAAACGTAGAGCTGCTACTGCTTTTGCATATGTGTTGTTAGGCTTCTATCTCAAACCATATTCCTCTTGTCCATATGTGTTGTTAGGCTCCTATCTCAAACCTCATTCCTCTTGTCCTGAAACCACTAACTGGAGTAGGACAACAACACATAAAAGCTGAAATAATAAATGAAATTTATCTAGACAAAGCTTTATACATACCCTTCATTCTTTTACAGGCCAAAACTACATAACAGAGTATTTAACTAAAAGATGTCATCAACACTTAAACAGATTCAGGAAAAAACAAACAAACTAAGAGAAAATTCCAAATTGACATAAAATAAAAAAGATAAACAGATTTAACTAGTAATTTTGCAAATTGAGTAAGTCAATAAAAAGTATAAAACTTTATGTCATAATCAACTAGCAGTAGTGCAATTTTTCATATTCTCTAATTTCGTCCTCAACCTTCCCTCACGTCTCCCATAATAACCCAACAAAAAAGCCAAACCCACATAGCCTATTATTAGACAAATCTCATAAACCAATCAATTGAATATCAAAACTCATACAATATATCTTAACACATAGTAATTTTCACACAACTACTCAAACGTTACAAATCAAAGAGAGAATTGATAGACAAACCTGAGTTCGAATTCTTGTAAATAAGAAGCAGATGACTTTGTAAATAGAGAGAAACAGAAAATAAGAAATTGGAAGAAAAAGAAAAATATGAAGACATAAGAAGAAGAAACTATGAAAAAAAAATACCTAAGGTAGATCGTGAAGACTTCGCTCTCTGTTTTTTTTGGTAGGTCTGGGAAGAGTATGCTTCTTTTTGCCAGTAGCGTGTGAAGATGAAAGAGCGCTAGGTTAACCAAAACACAATGAGCGCGCGATGAGTTTGTGTTGGTTTTTTTTTTCCTTTTTTTTCCCCGCTTTTTTTTTCATTCCCCTAGAGCGGGACTTAATTTTTCAATAATTTATCTTTTTTCAAAAAATTCTGTAAGCTGTAGACTTTGCTAATGTAAAATTAAAATTTGGCAAAAAAATTAAAAAAAAATTAAAATTAAAAGCCTGATTGGATTACTTTTTAAAAAGATACAGCTCTATTGTCTTTTATCATATGAATTACTTGGAAAAAAAATATAGTTCAATCTATTATATTTTATTAGATGCAATACTTATTAAAAAAATATAGTTCAATCTATTTCATCATAATAGAAATATATAGTGAAAATTGTTATGCATTTAGGCATCCTAGGAGCTGATCGGATTTTGATAAAATGAATGGTTAATTTGGATTCTTAATATATACAAGTAGTTCCAATCATTGTGATCATTATATGATTGTGGAACTCTTCGGCATTTATTGCTTTTAGTCAAGGAGATTGATAACTCATATATTTATACATTTATATCATCAATTTATAGTCTATTTGTGATGTTTTTGAGTTAAACATGCTGCGTTTTACCCTATTTTGTGTTAGTATGCAGTTCCATCTACTTTAGGATTAAGTTGAAGGCAAAAGAAATGAAAACATGTCATTTTTGGAGCTGGCCCTTATTCGAACGTGGAAACAAATTTCGTGACCTGTTTTGAAGTCCAAATAAAAAATCCAAAGCGAACCTGGTTTGTTTAAAGACTAAGAGCATAATGGGAAAGCAATGTGGATTTCTAGCCTGATTTGGAGGTGCCAAATAAGGCAAAAACGTGCAAAATAAAGGCTGATTTGTTATGGTCTCTTTGGAATATCTGGCAGCCTCTTTTACCCTATAAAAACTTGCCTTTTAGCCACTTTTACAGACCCTATTTATTTTGGACGAATTTCACAACCCTAGACCTCACTTCTTGGTTATTCTCCCCTTTGACACACACAAAAACCCTAGTCGTCCACATATTTCCACCATCAGGACTCAACGCAAAAGGTGGTTCTTAGAGAAGTTCAACATTAGAATTGGTTCAAGGGTTTCTCTCATGAATTTATTTTCACTCATGTTGTTTATTTTCGTTTTAATCTTTGTGAACATGATGTGTAACTAAATTCATAGATAGGGATTTCGATGTAGCCTTGCAACATTGATCCATGTTTCTAAGTTAAAGTATTCAGTTCATCAATCTACTTCTTGTTTCATTCACTGAATCTATTGTTAAATTTGTTTGTCAATTTTAATGTTTGATCACCATTAGGGTTGCCTACAGGTTATTTGGACAAGGTTATAGTAAACATCATGCCTAATCTTGGTAGACATGTGATTGAATGAAGAGAATGCTATGCAAACATCCTGCCGTGTATTTTCTTTGGTTCTTTAACGTTTTCTTGCATGCTAATGACTCTTAACTTGGAACCAAAGTTGAACATCCCAATTAGGTTGCAGATTAGGAGAATTTGGTCAAAACCACACATCATATGGCTGATCATATATATGTAAAACGAACTCTGGAAACAAGTTGGTAGTTGAATACGGTTTAACTTTATAAACATGGAATTGGTGTTGAAATGGTGAATTCAAAATCCTTGGTCTCATCCCTATTCTTTATACATCAATATATCATTCACTACTACATTCTTCTTGCATTTTAAGCTATTTTTCATTTACAACACAAAAACTACTTTCAATTCGTCACTTTCAGTTTTAGTTAGGGTTCTTTCGAAACTAGTAATTTATAGAGGTCCAATCGGTCCATGTGGTTCGACACCCTTACTTGTACCATTATACTAACCATATATTGGCACTTGGAAGGAACACAATAGAGATGCACATTTGAAGGATGAAACATGAGCTAATAAGGTGATTTTATTGGAGAATAAATAAAAAATTTAATCTTTGTGGCATCAAAATGTATATTATTTTAAATAAGTATTGCCAATGGGGAAGTGTAAAGAATTTAGTATTCTTGATTTTGGAGGAATTCAATTCTTGGGTGGGAGGTGGTATTCTAATTCATGTAGAACTAACCCATTAGGACTTTATCTTTTTAACCAATTATATCCTCACATGGTACCACTCCTACCCCAATTCCATATGAATCGTTGAGGTGTAGACCTTCTAAATATCAAGTGTAATAACAATTGATAAAAACTGAATATCTAATGTTTGTACACTTCGATATAAAAGACAATTTACAATTTTGTTATATATAATTAATAACACTATAGAATAGGGAGGGTTACTACAATTTGGAAGCCTGGGAAGATGTGCAGTTATTAGAGAAAGAGATTAGTGAGGAGGTGGCTTTTGGAACTTGGTTTGAGATGGGAAAAGAAAAGAAGGGGTGTGCTGGTCTGGTTCCTAGTTAAATGTAATCCACCATGTGTATGAAACTAAAAGCTAACGCGGTGGTGTATTTTCTCATATGTTGTGGAAATACATGTCTTCTCTTCCATTTACTGGAGCAAATGATAGGCGTTCCTGCCCAACCACCAAACAATCCAGGGGTCAACCATCTTGCCTTCCATGCCTTTTTCCCGCTTCTGGGGGTCAATTGACCACCCTTGCCCCAACGTGGGTCCACTCCTGATAACATATATGCACACTCTATGTGATATTTTTATTCACACTAGAAATTAAGCATCAAATTTTTCGACGACTTTTTCCGATGCAAGTTATCTGCCATAGCAAATAATAACTATTTATGACAGCAGTTAATTGCAATCGGAAATGAAAATTTACTTCCGATAACTAAAATTATTCGTCGGAAATCAACAACTATTTTCGACAAGCAAAACATGTTGTCGGTAAAATGCAATTATTTCTGACTGCACATAATTGCCCTCGGAAATATAGGCTCATTACCGAGAAGACATATTTCCTTTGGAAATAAGTGACTATTTCCGAGGGCAAAAACAGCCCCTTAGAAATAACCATTACAATTCTGATGGCCATGCTTTTGGTCGGTAATACAACTAGCGCCAAGGCTTCCAACCTAAAAACAATGTATTTCCAACACCCATGGAGACTGTTTCCAAGGGTACATTCCGATGGCCAGCTAGGGTAGGAATAGACGTATGGTGTTTTATTTGAGCATGAGAAACAACTTCTTTTGGAGGACTCAAAAACTAGGAGAAATTGGAGACGCCAGAAGAGTACCACAATTGGCTAAGTTTTATTGTTTCTTCCTTATATTTTTGTTTATGTCAAATTCTATGATTATGCGTAACTAATTTTATGTTGCTAGGCATGATGTAGCCCTAGTATGATAATCTAGTTTTCTTATTTTACCTATCTATTGACTATCGTTTGATGTTAGATTCTTAATCGATGTGCTTAGTACCTTAGTTGATTATCTTGACACTTGATCACCATCTAGACTTCTAATTGAGTTAATCGGATGCGAATTGGAGTAAATACCATGCTTAATTTGAGGCTTGCTTCTTGTGATTAGGATTTGTAATTCATCTAGGTTAAATACCATACTCCTAGGATTTATATGCTTGTTGGATGTTTTCACTGATCTTAATTAGTTTCTATGTGTTGATATTTGACCTAAATACCATAGGCGAATTGCATATAGGAATACCAGTTAGCCTAAATACCATAGGTAATTCATGAAAAAGAAAACTAAGCGGCGACATCAATGTGAATAGGTAGGTGAATAAGAGGCTAGATCGGATTACTAATGGTGAATTCATTGTCCTAGTGCTTTTATCAATTTGAATTTCTCATCCTTGTGTTTCGTGACTTTCTACTTGTTTTGTCTTTTAATTTCGTTGTTAATTAAATCATTCTTTCAAAAACTCCTTTTGTGTTTACGTGAGTATGCTACGTGTTTAATTTCTTGTTTATATAATTAGAGTAGTTAAAGTATTTTGTGAAGTAAATTAGGTTAAACTAATTGGAAGTTGAACTCAATCCTCGTTCTATTGTCCTTAGCAGCTAATTTTGATTGGTCACTCAAGCAATTTGATGGGAAGAATTCCTTTCTACATGGAGATCTAGAAGAAGAAGTGTACACAAACATGCCACCTGGTTATGGGATGTCTAATAACAATGGGAAGGTGTGTAGACTTCGAAAGGCTCTTTATGGATTGAAACAGTCTTCACGAGTATGGTTTGGGATGTTTTCTAATGCAATGAAGAAGTATGGATATCACCAAGATAACTCAGATTATACCCTATTTGTCAGAAGAATAGTTGACGAATGTCTTAACACATGCGGTGTCGGCAAAGGCTTTCCATTACTCACTTGACAAGTTGGACATAGGAGATATCTACACACCAACTTGAGGGGAGTGTTGGCGTGAGCCATAATTCAGGGATCCCATGATCCCTGATTTCCTGGTGTAATTCACGTTAACTAATTAGAACAGCTACCTAGTTAGGATTCCTTGTAATTATCTAATTACTCTTCCTTATAGGAAAAGTCAACTTGTACTTGTATATATATATATATATATATATATCCTCATTTTGGAGAAATATAATATCGATCACAATTATTCAATATTGTGTTTAGTTTAAGTGTATTATGTATTTCTTAGAATTGAGAATTCGTCCAAGAACAATGAGAGTATCAGAGCATATATAAGCACAATAATAAAAGAATTTGTTAACAGAAGGAAGACAAGCCAATCAGAGAAATTAGAGAAAATTAAAAAGAACGTTAATGAAATGAGTAATGCTACACTTATCACATTTTTATCCCATATTTCTATACCACATAATGTGGCATGTCCATATCATATGCCACATTAATTAAATCAATGAAATGTATTTTAATAAAGAAAGTTTAATTAAGAGTTTTTAAAAAAAATGTTAATAAATCATAAAAGAAAAGAAAACATTAAATAAATTTAATTAATGTGGTTGTCCACCTCATCTATCACATAAAGTGGTATGGAAATATGATAACAATAGCATTATTCTATGAAATATCTTACTTCTATCAAAATCTTGAGCATGAAGCTCAAACCTTGATATGATAATAATACATTTCAGTTTGATGTCTTGTAGGTGTGAGAAAACTATTAGTTCGTATTACCATGTAACTCATGCTAGGGTACTGCTCTATAATTTCTGGTCATAAAGAAATGAAAAAGGCTATTTAGGAATAAGAATTATATGTTTAAAATTAGCTTACTTATCACATAATATAAATAAAAAAAGTTCGACACAAAGTTTAAGAACGAGAGTTAAAATTTAATCTAAATCTCAATTTTTATAAAAAATTAGATCTTATTGAAGGATGTTGGTCTAGTTTCCTCTTTTTTTGTCTTCTATTTTTTTTATCATGAATTCTCAACAAAATTGTAATTGACCGGCATTATTATTAGTTGGTAGATGCCCGTATGGCAGTGGCAGAGCCAGCATGGGACCAGTGTGTTCCTAGGCCCCCACTCCAATTTTTATTTATTTATTTGTATATTATATATTATATAATAATATAATATATTATATTAGTTTTAGGATATTTATTTCACAATAAAATAATATATTAGGTTCTTTTTGTCTACAAATTAACCATAAAATTTATTGTCTCTCTTTTACTCATCTCCCTTAAATCTTCTAGGTTAGTTTATGATATTTGCACTAAAAACTCCCAAAGTTTTAACCTTTCTTTCTCTTCCTCTTTTGTTTAAAGCTTTATGAATTTTTTATTTTCCTCATTTTTTATGTATGAGTTGGGTACCTTAATATTGCACTTTATGAACTCTCTTTTTTTCTATTTCTTTTCTCTTTTGAAATATAAATTATCAAATTTGAAGTCTTTAATAGTGTAGATGATGACATTAGTATTTAACCAATTTAAAATATGAAATTCATGATAATTATGAAGAGAATACAAGGTTTATGAAGGGCCCCCTCTAATGTGAAATCATGGCTCCGCTACAGCCGTATAGTACATATCTGGATGAAAAGCAGACAATAATAGCTGCACTATATAAAATATATATACATATGTATATGTTTGTAATAAGGAATAATGAAAGGAGGAAATATGGTACGTTACAAGTAGGTGACAAAATGGCCAGAAATTTTCATGGTTGTCTTCCACTGTTAGCGCCAATACGTTCAATTGAAGCAACCAAATGAATAAAAATCTGTTCGTATTCACGAATTCTTAACAACGCTGACGCATTCATTTCTAAATAACTAATTGAATATTGGATCAATTGCGACGTATGCACATGTGCATGCGCATGGTGTGTTTAGATTAAATGACCAGTTTTACTATTGCACCAAGTTTTGCGAAAGGGCATGCAAAGTAGGTCGTGTGTTTAACATGGAAAAACAGGAGAGGGAAATAGGATAAAACGTGCATATAATACGGCAAGTCTGGAATAATGTCGGGCGACAACTCAACTTTTGGGCCAAAATGTCCCACCTTTTATCAAGTGTCGACACGGAATTAGGAGGTGAGGCGATTTCTTCTCCTATATATCAGCGATGTATCATCAACATTTTAGGAAAGTTCTGATGTATCTCGATGTTTCGTACGAACGTGAAAATGTTCCAAAATAGAAGAAAGAAGATGCAAATTCAAACATAATAAACAGTGCAGTTGTTTAGAATCTTTAATTGAGTCAAATATAAACCGAACTTAGCCTAACTGAGCAATCCGATTATTCAAACCGAGTGTTTTGTATCAAGAACTATTGCCTCGAGTTGGAGGGCCCATATTATAGGCACGCGCACGTCTGATATGTTCATCTTTTGTAACAGTGACAGAGGACATTCCATTTTCGGGGATCCAATAATAGAGATTTATTACATGGGATGCTAACAATATAGACGTTTCAACATTTTCCCGACATGGGATGCCAACAATATAGATGTTTCAACGTTTCAATATGGAAGCAATCACATAAGGATTAAAATGGCAGGACATCAGACATGAGAAACTAAAAGGAGAGAGAGAGAGAGAGAGAGAGTTGCGGTTCAAGCAAGAGAAGGCCATAACACTATACAGCAATAGCACCGTAAAATAAGATGCAAAGAATGAGGATGGGGGTCGTGTTTTCAAGTACCAAAACACGCAAGGGCATTTTGGTAAAGTAAATCTGAAAATAAATTAAGGCAAGGAAAGCCGTATATACCCTCTTCCTGCTACACATATCATTAGCCTACGTAAGGTCATTACGGCGCCGTTTCCTTTTTTTTTATTGGCGTAGCTCATCTCATCATCCACCCAAGTTCATTTCGTTCAAAGCTATAAATAACCCATCAAACCGTTCAACTTTCCCACCACCACTCCTCACTCCTTCAACTCATTAACCTCTCTCTCTCTCTCTCTCTCTCTCTCTCTCTCTCTCTCTCTCTCATTTTAATCCGCAAATGGAAAACCGTAGAAGCCTCTTTTCTCTCTCACTTATCTTTGTGTTCATGATCAACTCAGCCATAGCCACTCCAGTCACATACAATGTGGCCAGTTTAGGAGCCAAAGCAGATGGCAAGACTGACTCCACAAAAGCCTTCCTCTCTGCCTGGGCTAAAGCTTGTGCCTCGATGAATCCCAGTGTCATTTATGTGCCGGCAGGAACGTTCTTTCTTCGCGATGTGGTGTTTAGTGGGCCTTGCAAGAGCAATGCCATCACCTTTCGCATTGCCGGAACCCTTGTGGCCCCGTCTGATTACCGGGTCATCGGTAATGCAGCTAACTGGATTTTCTTTCACCATGTAAACGGGGTTACCATATCAGGTGGAATTCTTGACGGCCAAGGCACTGCCTTGTGGGCTTGCAAGGCCTCTCATGGCGAGAGTTGTCCCAGCGGAGCAACGGTAATTAATTTACTACTTTAAATATCAAATTCATGACACCATTATTTTGAGTTATGACCAGAAAAAGAAATAATGATAATACATTCCACCGTGCATGTGCTTCATTATTAGTGAGAATTTTAAAGGTGAACGTACGTACAATTTGCTTTATTATTTGCTCCCAATTGAATTGAGGGTTTATAAAATATCAAATGGACATGATTAATTGTACCACAAGCTTAGCTTGATCAAGTAATTTCGTGTATATATGTGCAGACATTGAGTTTTTCGGACTCAAACAACATTGTGGTGAGTGGATTGGCATCCCTAAACAGCCAAATGTTCCACATAGTCATCAACGACTGCCAAAATGTGCAAATGCAAGGTGTCAGGGTTTCTGCTTCCGGTAACAGCCCTAACACCGATGGCATTCATGTCCAAATGTCATCTGGTGTCACAATCCTCAACTCCAAGATTGCAACCGGTGACGATTGTATCTCAATTGGCCCCGGAACCTCAAATTTGTGGATAGAAAGCGTTGCCTGTGGACCTGGCCATGGAATTAGGTATGACATCAAAATTATGTATCCAAGATTGATTAAACTAGCTAAATGCATACTATTTCATAATATATGTTATAATATACATCCTAACTAAAATGTATATCTCTTTTCTTCGGTGCTTAATGACATTTGAACTTAGGACATCTTCCTGTTCTAGTTGTAAATTTAACATTGTTTTACTTGATGGTTCAGCATTGGAAGTCTAGGCAAGGAGCAAGAAGAGGCCGGTGTACAAAATGTAACAGTTAAAACGGTTACCTTTACTGGTACTCAGAATGGTCTAAGAATCAAGTCATGGGGGAGGCCAAGCACTGGGTTTGCTAGAAATATTCTTTTCCAACATGCTACAATGGTCAATGTCGAAAATCCTATTATTATAGATCAACATTATTGCCCCGACAACAAAGGGTGCCCTGGTCAGGTAAGATATCATTTATGCTCTAACGGTCAATTCCCAAAGTTTAATTACAACTAAATTTTCTCTTACATATATAGTGTAACGTTTTTGATAAAAACATTGGCATCACCAAATTGTAACCGTCGAATATCAATAGCTTTCTTGGGCTTCCACCTAGAAGAGAGGAAAAAAGGAGGACTTTTCTGTATGGGCTAAGCCAATAATTTTAGACCCAAAGCAAATCCAATAACTCTTTCCTTCACGGGCTTGCTCTCCTACTACTTGCAAAGGTCGGGCCTTGCCCATTGTAACCATTGTAACTATTAAAAACCTCATTGTATCGTGCAATGGGATTGAGGGTTGTAGCTCAAGTGATTAACAGCATTTACTCATGTATTCGAAGTCCTAGATTTAATTCCCCTCTTGCCCAATATCATTTTTATCAAAATGACTTCATCGTAGCTTAGCCAAAAAAGCATTAAACTTGCCATTAAACCGAATTCCCATGCTATAATACTCGTTCACCTTCTGTTTTATCAAAAGCTGGAAATCTGACTTTGTATTTTTTTTTCTTTTGTCAATTTTTTTTTCGATAGGTTTCTGGAGTTCAAATTAGCGATGTGACATACGAAGACATACACGGTACATCAGCAACAGAAGTTGCAGTAAAATTTGATTGCAGTCCCGAGCACCCTTGTAGCGAGATCAAATTGGAGGATGTGAAGCTTACTTACAAGAACCAAGCAGCTGAGTCTTCATGTAGCCATGCAGATGGAACAACTGGGGGTGTGGTTCAGCCTACAAGTTGTTTGTAGAATGGAAAAATATGAACTGCTTGTAGAAGTATTGAAATCTAAAAGTTTGCCCTCCAGTACGAAGGACAAATGAAAACTGAATTATACGATTTATAGGAAGAATGAGCTTGTGGCGTTGGCAGCCTATTTGGGCATCCCTTGAGCCCGGCCGTGCAATTAGTTTGGTTTCTTCAAACTCGTCGACTTCGATGGGTGTTTATGTTATGAACTGTTGTAAGATTATATCCGTTAAATTCACAAGATTAAATTTTATTTTGATGGCTGATGTGGCATTTGACATAGAATTCAATATTCTATCAATTTAATTCACAATTTAATTATAATCGGAAGCACACATTAAATAGTAAAAATTTGGTTCAAGAGACAAAAGGATTTGAACTCTCTCATGAACTTTTTGGTTGGGGCATTTTATCATGTCAAATTTTACCCGTTAAAAGTTTATTATGGTATTTCAACATTTCGGTTGGAGATTCTCTAAAAAATCGACTTATATAAATCTTAAATATGCATCGATTCAAGATGCATTTTGGTTTCTTATTCTTGAGCTTTGAGCTTTAGGTAATTAACTTGAAATGTCGATGGGCACCTTTGCACTAATTGATTAAGGAAAAATAGACGCAAAGCAAGATTCCTTGTAGTTGCCAATTTGAAGTTTTCTTTATCGCTACATACTGCTGGTCTACAAGTTCTCTCTCTAATACATAATTTGACATAAATAAATATAGTGAAGAATGCATTGACTAAACCAAAAAAAAGCGCACGTAAGCAATTACGTGCATTTGGTGTAAAAGCTAAAGGCCTCTGATTTATGTAATCAGTTACGGTAATCATATTATATTATATGTATTTTGGCTCTGCAATTGTAACGGGGATGGCACTATTTTGCTATCCCCAACCAATAATATAATGATACATGAAAAAGTTATCTCAAGTGTTATTGTGTTATTAGCTAAGGATAGCAAAAAGTGTTATCTCCATTGCATGAAGGAAGAACTCAATTGGTCAATCATATTGAAGAAAATATATTGAAGGAAAAAAGAAGAAGAAGAAAATATCAATTAAGCCCCTCTTATATTGAACTGTTCAATAATAAAATAAAATTTGCATATAGAATTAGGTCAGTCGGTTAAGACAGTGTGCTTGTTCCTTTGCACCTTAGTTCAATCCCCTTCCCCTAACATTTTCAAACAAATAATAATAAAATAAAAATGTGAATTTGAAAGTCAATGTCGTAGTAAAATATGGTTTTTTAGTATCAATATTAAGGAAAGCCATTGTTCTAGCAGAATGCCCGCCACTGCTATTTATAAGGTTTGGATCACCCTACATTAAAGCACCAAGCAGAGAGAGAGAGAGAGAGAGAGAGAGAGAGAGGAATGGCAGAAGTGAGTAACAAGCAGGTGATACTGAGGGAGTATGTCACTGGCTTTCCCAAAGAGTCAGACTTGTACGTGAATAGCACAGCTACTATCAAGTTGAAGCTTTCTGAGCCTGGGCATGAGGGTTCTTCAAGGAAACTAGTTCTAGTGAAGAATCTTTACTTGTCTTGCGATCCCTACCAACGACTATTTATGGAAAGAATCGAAGGCCTCAGCAGCCAATCCACTTCCTCCTATACGCCTGGCTCTGTAAGCAAAACCCATCATATATCTTTTCCTTTCAATTTCTGTAAATATATATATACCAAATGTTATGCTCAAATATATATTAATTGTTAAACACTGTTTAAAAAAAAAAAAAAAAAAAAAAAAAAAACATGAGGTAACTCTGCACGTTGTGCAAGATTCACCACAAGAAAAATAATTACTAGCCACTTAACACAAGATGAGGTGGCTAAAGGCACTGTTAATGTCTATTAGCGCGCAATGAGCACGAATAACTGTGATTATTAAGTAGTAAGAGCTGATAGTGGTTTTTGTTACCACATCCTATGCCACAAACATTAATGATTACCAATTATTTTTCTAGTAGTGCTTGTTTTTTGGTTGACAACATTGGGAGGGAATCAAATACAAGTTTGATGATATGATTAATTTAATTTTGGTGGTGTAAACGTGCAGCCAATATATGGGTATGGAGTGGCTAAAGTTTTGGACTCTGGGCACCCAGATTTGAAGGCAGGTGACTTAGTTTGGGGGACTACCTACTGGGAAGAGTACAGCCGAATCCCTGCACCCGAAGGCCTGATCAAAATCCAGCACACTGATGTACCTCTATCCTATTATACTGGAATTCTTGGTAACAAGTCAAACATATTTTAGCTCATGATGATATGCGTTGGTTTAGATACATAAGTGTATTTTGTAATTTCATTTCAGGTATGCCTGGTTTGACCGCTTATGTTGGTTTCTACGAAATTTGTTCTCCTAAGAAAGGAGAACATGTCTTCATTTCAGCAGCAGCTGGTGCTGTTGGTCAGCTTGTTGGACAATTTGCAAAATTAATGGGTTGTTATGTTGTTGGAAGTGCTGGCAGTAAGGAAAAGGTACGAACTTGACTCTTTGAATTTCAAATTAATATTAGGTACCTACACCATTTTTTCTTGTTTCGGTTGTATTTTGCTGTTGTTATTTGGGCCAACTTTGGTGTTGGTTTGGGTTGGGGCCTCTGTTTGTGTTGTTGAATTGGGTCTTTTAGTTGTTTTTGTAAACTCTGACTAAACCATTTTCTTTGCGTGTGCCTAAATTTATAATTTTGACCAGTGTCACGCAGGAAAATGTTTCATGCTTCGTTAACAGGGGGCTTTAGATGAGTATTTTATTCAGATGAAAAGTGATTCATTCCTTTCCTTTATGGATATTCATCTTGTTAGGTTGATCTATTGAAGAATGAGCTTGGATTTGATGAGGCTTTTAACTATAAAGAAGAGGCTGACTTGAATGCGGCTTTCAAAAGGTACATATGAGTAATGATAGAGAGATTACATTTATAAACCCTAGTGTACCACGAATACATTGAGTCTCAACTCTATTAGAAAAGTGGTTAGTTGACAGGTGGTATACAGAGTAGTCTACAAATGTGATCTCCCTATTATTTTCTGTAAAATACATATTTATTATGTTATACTAGTTTCCTTTAGTAAGAAAAGAAAGGAAAAAAACTATTATTAAGAATTTGTGTGTTGTTAGGGTTCGTCGTTAGTCTGGGCCAACTCAAAAATTTTGGGTTCGAACCGAGCCCTCATGGGCCTAAATGGGCCGGACTTTTTAAAAAAAAGTCTTTTAAATCTTTTTGTTGCACTTTTTGTTTTTTCAAAAGTGATGGATATAGAGTATTCTCTTAAACAATAGTATAGATTACTACATAACTTAAGAAAACAAAAATATAATAGCCAAACTTTTTTCCTAAACCTAGACCAATAACCAATATATTTTTAAAAAAATATTATACGTAAAAATGAATCTTATAATGTGCAATTTGTGCCTTAGTTAACTTATATCCCAAATTAGATTGACATCATGAAAATTAAAGCAATTTGTGCCTTTAGAATTAATAAACCCAAAATAAGCTTACAAATTCTTTATTGAACCATTAAATTTGAACTTGACAAAAAAGGGCACTAAGAGATATAGTGCATAAATTGCTTGTTTGTTACAAAATTTTAGACAACATTGAAAAAATTAACTTAATTATAACATGTGTAAACAAAATAAAAGTTCATTAGTTTATCATACATATTACATTATTTTGATTAAGTATAAAATGAGGTTAGGGAATGCATCAATTAATCTTAAAAAAAGAAAAGCATAAGCGGGCGGGCCGAGCGGGCCTAACCATCCTGCTAAGTTGGACTTTGGCCCATCGGGCCTCAGACTACCCACTTCGGGGCCACGGGCCAAATCATGATCCCTATATGTTGTATATGATGCTTTGAAGCTTAAGCTTTCTTGAGTGAAAGATAAATTTTCTTTGTAATTACCATACACTTGCCAGGTATTTCCCAGAAGGCATTGATATTTACTTTGAGAATGTTGGAGGCAAAATGCTAGACGCAGTGCTCCTCAACATGAGAGTCCATGGCCGCATTGCTGTATGTGGAATGATCTCACAGTACAATCTTGATCAAGCAGAAGGGGTAACAAATTTGATGCACCTCGTGTACAAACGTATCCGCCTCCATGGATTTTCAGTAAGAGATCACTATCACCTCCATCCGAAATTCATGGAGTTTATGCTGCCTTACATTAGGCAAGGAAAGATTGTTTATGTGGAAGACATAGCTGCAGGCCTTGAGAGTGGTCCAAGAGCGCTGGTTGGACTTTTTAAGGGTCTTAACTTTGGAAAACAAGTAGTTGACGTCTCAGCATGAATAAGTTGTTTTGTCAATCGATTTGGTGTGCTTGTGTTTCTAACCACTATAACTTTGTTAAGTGGCTCTTTGGTTTTATTTTTATGTTTTTGGATCCTTTTTGGGATTGCATATGTTAAGTGGTGCACTTTGTCATACATAAGATATTCATCAATAATAAGGGCTAGTTTGGGATTGTTGTCACTTTTTAAAAAAGATGCTTATGCTGTATTTTGGAAATAATGAGCTGTGAAGTAGTTCCATGTTTGTTAAACAATATTTTTAAAGTGTTACTAGTATAAAAAGCTGTGTCAAAACCGTTTGATAAATTTTGATATAAAACTATTGTAACTGTTGATAATGACTAAAACATATATGATATGTCGAAAGTGTTACGTGGTAACTATGTGGTGGTGGTGGTGATAGTGGTGGTGGTGGAGGAGTGAGGGTGGTGGTATAGGTGGAGGTGGTGGAGGTGGTGGAGGTGGTGGTGGGAGGTGGGGGCAGTGATGTTAGTGCATGTGGTGGTGGTTTGTAGTGGTTGTGATGGAGATGATGGTGGTGGTGGTGGTGGTGGTATAGGTGGAGGTGGAGGTGGAGGTAGAGATGGAGTTGGTGGTAGAGGTGGGGGGTGGTGGTAGTGGTAAATGTCAAATCGAGGTACAAGTGATCAAATAAGTGTGCAATAAAAGTTCTTGGGAATTAGATTGATAACAGTGTTTTACGAATCATATTTAACAAGAAAATTGAGACATATTTTCACATTTATTGAGTTACTGTGGAACTTTACAGCCCATATGGGTCATAGGGCAATAAAGCTTGGGTGGTATGACATCCTCTACATGGGCCTAGAAGTGTGATATAAAGGCACAAGGTTTGGCAAATTATGTAGTTGAATTACCACATCAACAATTTATGTCATATGCCACATCATTTTTTTTATTAGTTAAGTTTTAACCCTTTTTTTTTTGGCCGAAATTAACTTAATCATTTAGTTTAAAATAAATAAATTCTGCTCCACGCCTCCCTTCCTTCTCGGATCTACTACCATGGCCTCCTTCCTCCCCCAACTTGTATGCCTTTATTATTACGCACATTGAATTTGGCTTTCGGGGTGTGACATATTTTTACCAATCCCATGAAGCCTTTCTTATCTTTGAATGCTTGAGTGCTAACCATTGTGTGTTTCCCTTGCTTTAGGAAGATTGCCTCACTCAGCCAGAATGTATGGTGAGGTGTTTGTGAATGGTGCAAAATCGGTACATGTACATGGCCACGACACCGATATATAAATGAGAAGAGAATTCCTTGGTCAGTATCAAGGTTGCGAAACTGTTGCAGCATTGAAGGGTTGTGTGAACTCCTCGATTTCAAGAGAAGTCGAATATTGCTTGATGTGGAAGATGGCTCAAACTAATAAAAATGCGGAAAACGGATCATACCACAAAAATATGGCAGATGGCCAGAATCAATAGTCTGTTCACTTGGTAATATTTGGGAAGTGGGGCCATGGCAGATTCGGAGAGGGAGGGAGGCCATGGCAGATCTATAAAGGAATGGAGAAACAGATCATACCTCTTCCCTTCTCCTCATACCAGAATTCATCACACACCCAATCGATTTTGAAATTTTACATAAAATGGCGTTGAAACTGCAGATTAAGAACGTTTTTTATATGCTTCCCACGAGCATTCAGACAAACCCTTAGAGGACGAATGACATCATAACCTTCTCAACTTACCAAAGGAAGACCTCCTTCCGAAGCGGTAACCATCTGCCAATGCTCCCAACTACATAACCTAGTTTCCATGGACGTGTCACCTCCACAATAGTTTGCACAAAGTCCCACATCGAAATTTTGTGGAAAACTCTCATTTTCACTTCCCTATAAATAGAGAACAGTGCCCAAGGAAAAAGGGGTAACTACTTTTCACATTTACTGTTACTCTGCCAAAATTATCACATATACTCGCTGACTTAAGCATCAAAGAGCCTTCGGCAGGTACCACACCAGTGTTCGAAGCTTTCAAACATGTTTGGTATCAGATTTCGTTTTCAAATTTTAAAAAAAAAGTGAAATCTAGTTTTCAAAATCACCTGTATTTTTTAAAAAACAACTTGGAAGTGTTTTATTTATTTATTTTGTTTTTGCACTATTGTTTGTTGTGGTGTTAGTTGACTTTCCTTGCACACCAAGGTTTCCCATATTAACTCATGTATAGATTGGAATTGATTTCCTACTCTAAATAGAATTAGAAGTTATTAATTACCTTACTTAGCCTTCGAGGAATATTGTATTATAAATATGGCCTCCTACAAGGAGAATAATACACAGAAAATTCCCACCACAATTACTCTTTCATAATTTTAGCATTATTTCATTCATAAGTTTCACATCACCACACATGAAATGCACTCCAGTTACCAAAAGTTGGTATTTGGGACCTCCCAACTTGTACTTGGCCACTCGATTCGTGCTTTTGGCCACTATCCCAATCCAAGCCTCGTCAACTCCATATCCAAAAGTCACAAAAAATAATTATAATTTCAAAAAATTCACCAAAAAATATTACGAACTTTTTGTAACATGAAGTTTTCAGTTTTTTAGTTTTTGAAAAATAAAAATTGAAAATTGAAAATTAAAATGATGATCAAATAGGAGCTTAGTTTCTTTTCAAATCACAACAAACTAAAGTAGGAAAGTAAGGTTTTGGAGTGGGGATCACATATCACATTCAATGCTGGTAAATTAATTTAGGAAATTACACTTGTGTTGTTGGATACTTATCAAGAATTTTTATTTTGCTAGTTGTAGTGTATATACCAACACAATTTTTTGCTTTTACTCTAACAAAATTATTTAAAAATAGAATATTATTAGAGATTACTTATGGTGTGTTAAGAACCCATGGGTAAAACTTGCCCCCAAAAACTGGCTTGGAAGGGAAGGGTGCCTAGAGCTCTTAAACCACTCTACGATATGCTATTTTTCCAATGTGTGGATTCTTGGATTCTAACATTTCACCATTCTTCCGTACTCAACTTCCTCATTGGCCTGATGGTAGCCATTTCCTTCCTTTGAGGCAGCTTCACTCATCTACCAGTATTCAGTGACTCGACATTATGCTAATATATAATATCGATCATTTTAGTCTAGCCTATAGATTGCCCCTTTTAGGAAATTGGGTCCAATTTCGTTGTGAAACTTGGCTCTGATACCAATTGTTAAATCAATATCTTATTTTCACTAGGCTAGACGGCTTACCTTTATTTAGCTATTGGTCGCGTAGGAAGAGGATGTATGGACTTTGTCATTCCTACTTTAACTTTACCTTTTGTTTTCAAATGTTGACCCGACCCGATCCAACTCTCAATGCCCGAAGGGTTCTTTCGTGTAGTTAAGAGTTGGGGTTTTCCAAGGTGGGTCTATATTTATTCGCACAAGTTTGGGGTATATCTGTGGGTAAGATGCCGATCTCAAAGTAGCAAAGGCTGAACTAAAAGGCTAAATGGGAAAAGGAATACTTTCTTTTCTCTTCCTCAAGAAACATACATCCTCCTCGCCACAAGAGAGGGAGAGTTGCTTGGTATTTTGCTAAATAAAATAAAATAATTAATAATTGAAAATATAAAATGTTTGAAAAGGACATTGGGAATAAAGAGAGAAGATGCGGGTGTGAGTCTGAGTTTATAATGCCTCGAGAGTATATATGAAGAGGACAGTCCAACTGGCAGCTATGGTTTTTTTTTTTCCTCTAAAAACCAGAGTGCAAACATGGGATGTTCATTTATAAGAGCAGCTCCAGCGCTGCTATCAAACTGGGCAAAAGGCCCCCTTGGCAAGCCCAATGCAGCTTCAGCGCACCACTTGCAGCCCGGGCAAGCCCTGGGTCCCACTAGCCCGAGCAAGCCCAAGGGCAGATTTTGCCTGGGCTTGAGCCCGAGGGCGCTAACGTCAGCGCTGATGTTATGCTAACGTTAGCGAGCAAAAAAAAATCAAAAAAATTATAAAAAATTCAATTTTTTTTAAAAAAAAATACCAAAAAATTATGGATGTTTTCCCTATAAATACATAACAATTTTATATTTTGTTGCATATATATATTTTTTTCTTGCCCTTGACTTGCCTTAGACTTTGCCCTCATGGGTGGAACCACAAATGCAAAGACTGACACTATTCACGTGAATAGTTGCAGCCCTTGCTTGCCCTTGCCTTAGACTTAGCCCTTGTAGGTAGAAGTGCTCTAAGGGAGCTAATTTCCTCACTTCCATTTTCTCCACATACATCTAGGTGTCTCACTTCCCATGTTAGTAAGGGTAAAATAGGAAAGGGAAAGAACAAAAAAGAACCAAATTGATTAAAAAATATTTAAAAACAAAAGGAAGTATAAATGGAGAAAATGGGAGTGAGGAAATCAGCTCCCACTTATAATACTAATGCTATATGGGCACTACATAATCAAGGGAGAAACAATTGTGTGGAACGTGGATAACATTGTTTCGCTATATATGGCCAATAACAGTATTTCATGCGTAATAACGTTTCCACTTGGCTTGGCATATCATGATTGGTCGGAAATAGCAAAAAAGTGTTATCCCGTCTAATACAGTTTTTCTGGAATCGGGGGGCCCTATGTGGGCTTATTATAGTAGAGATATTGCGAAGAAATGTGAGAAACTGCAACTGAATTAACACTTTCTATAACCTCCAAATGAAAATTATCAACTAAAATTTTACATATCGTGGGATAAGTTATTGTACAATAATTGGAGGCATGTACAAGGACCAGAATCCCATAAAATGGCCGAGAAACCTGCCACGAAAAAAAATAGTAAAAGAAAATGGGTATAGCTAAACATCATGGCCTCCACATCCATGCGGTCCATTGAATCTGAAGCAAACTTCCAGCTTAAGGCAGCATCCACTTGTTTCGGTTATGCAAGTGGATTAAGAATTGGATTGATTGTCACAACAAAAAAATTTGGCATGTACCATTATTCCAAGACTTCAGTTGGCCAAAGTCTCTTCCATGTGGAAATCTCTTCCTTGGTTCTAAGCTTCCTGATGCCCCCGTAAAACCCATCTGCCTCATTTCCCTCCTCTCGATGGTCTCTTCTGCTGATGTTTGTGCATCTCCACCGTGATCCATGCGTGTACTGGTTGAACTCCAGCACCACAGTGTCTGTTTAACAATCACAGATGATCACCGTGTTAATTTTTAGTGCAATAGTTTCCAATCTAAGAGCTCAAGAAAAACTTTCCCTCTTGTATATTGCTCATTTCATCCGAACTCAAAGCAGTGATAAAAATCTATAAAAGAAATATTTCAGGAACTGTAATTGTTTCTGTAAATCTATAATCAAACAATGTTCCAATTGCTGTGTTTAGCAAAACCAATTTAATGGGTTCTCCAAGCACTCCAAAATATTTGGTTAAGGAAACAAAATGAATTGAAACCCTGCCAAAACAAGTAATTACAGAGCTATTTTCTGTCATTCATAAAGTAGTTAGAAATTCTTATTATTAATATTATAATTGTAGGACTATATATTATCACCAACATCGTCATTATCATATATAAATGTTAATGTCTGTTTGTGGTGAGAAGAGGACACAAATCTCTTGCAATATTGCTTGGCTGGTGGGGTGTGATGGAGAGATTAAAAAAATTGGAAAGCCAAAGAAGGATGAGCATGGCAGCCCCACAAAGCATTAAGATTCCCATTTTGCAAAAAAACAGAGACTCCAGGGAAGATTGAGTTCTTTCATTGTGGTTGGCCATAAATATTCTTCCCAGACAAATTTATCACAATGTTGGTGGAAATTATGACAAAATGACAATGATATGTCTTGGGGACCAATCAAACAGCACAAAAACTGGTCCACCTATTAAAATATTGGGTATCAGAAAAGGGAGGAGGCCAAGACTAGTAGTGTCTATTCTGTGAAAGCTAACTTTGCATTCTTATTATCCACAACTTAGAGATATCAATGGCTTCTTGCAAGAACCTCAATTCTTTATGAACTTTCTGCCCTAAAATGCTTTATCTAATTGCTGAGACAATGGTGAAAGAAAAAAAAATTATTGTTGGAATCTTAGCATAATAATATTTTCCAGCCAAAATCAGTTGTTAGATTCTCCAACAGCAAATCTCTTTTTGCAATCACATACTAGTCAATCCTACAGAGCATAAGATCCTACTTTGAGGGGTGGAAAGGAATGAATTCAACTCACCACTATTATGACAAAGGCAGTAATTTTCATTTCCATCACATGATTCTAGGTGACCCACAACACCATACCACCAACCTGCAATACATACAGAAAATCCTATCAAGCAATGGGCAATGGGAAATTAATTAATTTCACCTTTATTTAAGTTTCTGCATATTAAACGAATCTAACGTCTTTCAATTAGGTTGAACATGCAAATTGAACCAAAAGTCGTATCTGTATATAGTATCAGTTATATACCGTTCAAGTTCTAATTGCCAAGTATTAGATGCCACCAAGCAAATCCAAGCAAAATTCAATAGACCTTCTTTATACAAATTAGGTTGAACTGCCTTCATTTTAATTTTATTTAAGGAAACGTTGGAAAAACATATTTGTAGACATTGCAGAAGCAGTTAATCTTCAAGTTTCTTCCAAATGTAACAAACCAAAAGGAACTCTAGATTACTTAAATGAGCAGTAATGGGAATTAGAATAAGTTGAATGAATAACAAACCATAAGGAAATTCTTTGTTTCTTCTCCACTGAATCTCAATATGATCACCAGGCTGTAACTCATTCAAACAGTCAGACATATGAAGATCATGAGGGGGAGTCTCGATTGGTGGTGCTCTAAGCCTTTCCCAAGGCACACCGTTTTCAATTGCAACTGCTCGCCTTCCATGTGGTGGGTACCTGAACAGAAAACCCACCTCAAGTTAGATCATCCACATCGACTTACCATAAGCAATAAGAAACAGTCATAAATGCAAAATCCCAATAACATACATAAGCAATAAGAAACAGTTATAAACATAGAGGGAGACCAATTGTCCAACTACCTGGCTTGGAAGGTGTCAGTGCGAGGATCATAGCTAATTTCAGCATCATAGCATGACAACATAAATCCAACATGTCCATTCTGCAATACAAGAAAAAAAAACATATAAAATATGTAATTTAGGTAACAGAACAGAATCAACAGATTTTAATAAATAAACAAATAATAAATACTGCAAACTCATAGATAGATTACCTCGCGGTTATAGACTTGAGCTGGGAACCAGAACCTGCCAGTCTCAAGAGCAAGGTACCAGGACATGATGGAATCAGCTGGCAAAGAACACCTCTGCTGGCTATGATCATCAACCCTGGATCTAATCCATGAGAAAGGCCAACCAAGAGATAGAATTCTCATGAGACCCTTTTGCTTGCCCTGCTTGACATCAACCAAATCGGTTTTGGAAGCAATATGCCACTGCCACTCCCTGTAGGCAGCAGGGCCAATAACACTGCCCCATTTCTGTTTCATGTGCTTCTCCCAAAGGTGATCACTCCTGCATCTCTCCCTCAAAGAAGTACAAACACCCGTCATTCGAAAAAGCGCGTCGGGAGGAAGCCTCTCGAGTATGCATTCCAAGACCAGTTCTGGCAAGTCCAACACAGACATCTCTGGTGTGTCTTCTTCTTCAACATTCTCAACTTTAGCAGAAAGAGACAGAGGCTTCCTCTTGAGGGACATTTTGGAAGGAAATGGAGAAAGAAAGAAAATTGAAAAGCTCTTCTTTGTCAACTTGGATATGCTAAAGAATGATAATTCTTTCCAAAACCAGGGGGACAACAAGCGCATCTCACAAGCCCATGGTGGGAGAGGTTTGAGAGGAAGAGTCTTGAAAAAGAGAAAGGAGAGGCAAGTAATGAACAAGTAAAGTAGCATTACAAAAGGGGAATTCTCCTCTTAAGGGTCAAATTCAAGTTTGGCTTAAATGATGAGGGACCAATTGTGGAAAAGCAATGGTAAAATGCTAAATGGAGCAAAACTTGAATTGTCTTCACTTTCACTTTGTTCCTCCTCCTCACCCTCTCTCTCTCTCTCTCTCTCTCTCTCTTAAAACTTGTAAAAGCAAAAGTGGGATCTTTAATAACCCCTCTCAACTGATGGGTTTTTATTGGTTCCGACGAAGCCCACCAAAAACCCAACGGTGGGCCTCCTCTTCCAAAGTAATCAAACTATAATTGGCGATGACTGTAGACACCCTCTTACCCAAAGAAAAAAACCAACTTTGGTGGGAGCTCACCTTCAAGCCAGCTCACCTTTAAGCCAATCTAGAACCAAAAGGAAGCCAAATACTTTGCTCCCTGCCTCTCTGTCCTTCAATCAAAAATGAAAATGCTTTACTTTCCTTCCTTTAAACTATAAGGACCCCAGCCGTACAGACAGCTTCAACAGCTGTCAATCAAGGAGAGGATGAAAGAGAGATAAAAAGACTAAACCCAAGAAGCTAATGGGGGTGGGGCACTCAGATCTGATATCGGCTTTCTGACACCTGGAGCTCCCAAGAAAAAGAAAAGATTAAGATAAGTCTAGATGCAGAGGCCCATATCTCCAAAATCTATGATTCTCTTTCGGAGCAAAGAAAATCTGGAGAAAATAATAATGAGCTGCAAAGCAGATCTGGGTAGTTGAGATTGAAACAAAATTAGGTGAAACGCAACACCCAAATGATCAATTAAACAAAAGAAATGTGTCAAATTTAAAGGTAAAGACAGAAGGAGATCAGGAGGCGGTGAAGTGAAAGATAACAGAGATTTTGATGAAGAAGGTGATGAACTTGAGAATTGTGAATTATTCACATTAGTTCAACAGATTCTTCATCAAAGAATCCTCCCCCACCCACGGTCCTCTCAACCACCCTCTCTCTCTTTCTTTTTTCTCTGCCCCTCTGTCTGTGTCTCTCTCTCTCAGGCAAATCAACGAACAGGTAGTGGACAAGAAGAAAAAAGAAGAAAAACAAAGGGACAGTCTTATATAATTGACTGAATTGGAGGCCATGCTTAAATAGTTTTTGGAGGCTTTTTGATTGTGTGGATATTAAACAAAGTATTGCCCTTCAAAGATGCAAATACAACACTGCCTCTCTCCCTCTCTCTCTAAAGATTTTCTCTTTCTTTCCCTTCCTCTCTCTACCAAGTTGGACTTGGAGGAAAATACGTATAACCAGAAAAGGCAACCGTTAGGGTGACGTTTATTGGTGGTTAAGAGATCCTGTTCTCATGCAGCCTCCACCACTTGCAGCCATAGCGGTAACTAATGGTTCAGCAACACGTACAATCCGCTTCATCCATTTATGGACTACTTGTAGAACAAAATAACAAAATGATATGTTGTTTTTTTGGTTTCCGAGTAGAAGCGATTTTACAAATATTCATTGAGTGCATGGGGATTTCGAACTTCTAATCACATGGATGGAGGTTGAAGGGCTCAACTATCTGAGTTATATCCCACTAGCAACAAAATGATAATTCAATACTATTGCCAAAAAAGAAAATAAGATTAAAAAACGCAAATCATTCAAAAGTTTTCAGGCTTTATATGTGGGATTGTGGACAATGCGGACCTACAGAGGCACAAGAAGGTATAGCTATACATCCCCCCGTCGTAGAAAGCTTTTCAGGTGCCTGAAAGTTGCCCCAATGCTTAGTTTAGTTGTGCACTCCATCTGTTCGACAAAAAGCCTAAAAGACTTCTTTCCTTTGCTGCGCAGTGCTCTGTGCATAGCGCACTTATGTTTTGTTTTTACTCCTGACCCAAAACGAAGTTGTTTTGGACCAGGAGATTAAAAATAAAAATAAATCCGTAGACGAAAAAGGAGGAGGAAAACTCCTTCAACAATAACGAGAGTTTGCTTTAAAAAAGAAAAAGAAAGTCTCACTTTTTTGAGAGATTCTTTGTGTCCCCACCAATCCAAATCCTTATAAAAAAAGATCATTAAATTCATCTGTTTTTTTACATCTCCACTGCCAATCTATTTATTTCCTTTTTTTTATCTTTCTTTTTTTCTTTTATTAGAGAACTCCAAATATTTTATAAAACTGATTCTTCAATCAAGTCTCGTGACAAGGAAGAAAATATTATATCGATCAAGTCTCCAAAGTAAGTTCGAATGTAATTCATAGTTAATCTAGAAAGAAAGAAAAAAAAAGATGAAATATGCTGCGGTTTTTTTTCTTCTTTATCAACCGTCTCACCAATTTCGTTTTCAACATATGAATGACATTGGTATTTTTTGAATTATAAGGCTATTTGGTTGTCAATGTTTTTTAAATCTTTTAGCCTTTCAAAATTGCACCTCCATTAAAAAATTCCTGAGTTCGCCAATAATATTGTGAATATACTAAACATGAGTGGATACAATTGGCTAGTTCGCAACAGCTACAATGGCTAGGTATCTTTTCTCTTTTTCATTTTCGATCAAACAAATCTTCATAAAATTTTTCTATAAATATCCAACAAAGTTCATAAAACAACATGCATATACACTAAAATAAATAATATAAATATACATAAAAAATAAAAATAAACCTTTTTTCGAGGCCCAAATGGCGTCGGAAATATTCATTAACATTTTTTCAAGAGCAAATGTTCGTTGGAAGGCGTCAGAAAAGCGATAATAAAAAAAGGTCCATTTCCGGTGACCCATAAGGCAATGGGCGTTGTATGTACATTAACTTTGTCGAAAATAAATTTTCAAAACGAGGACATTTTGTATTTGCGATATGCCAATGTTGTCGCAAATAATTGGGAAGCTTGTCGAAAATGTTTTCTTAAATGATGAACTTTTGTTTTTTCTGACAATGTTTTTCCACAAAGAAATGTAATTGGAAACATTATTTTCGCCTAACCCATGTATTTCCGACAATGTCAGTTCATTTGAAAAATGACATTCTCGATAATACAATCCATTGGGAAAACATATTTTGATGAAATACATATTCGGAAAATGTTATTTATGACAACACAAAACTATTGAAAATAGGCAAAGGTGTCATCGGAACTACGCAATTATGAATAAAAAGAAGAAGTAGCGTAGTAAATACTCAAAATTCTCATAATTGGAGCATAGTTTGTCAAAAATATAGAAATAATATTTCCGACCGAACATCTAAAATTTTCAAAGTACGACAATACTAAATAAAACATTTCTTTGGAGAACAATACAAAATAAAGCATTTCTTTAGAGAATAGTACAAAATAAAAATAAAAACTCAACTTTGTTCATAGACAAATCAAAACATTCCATCACATACACTCTTATTTTTTGATCCAAGATTTCCATTAATTCAATTATGTGCAATCATGATTTTAGATCTCCATAATCAAAAGCTATGTTGTAAGGAGTCTATAGCAATTTTTGGTTTATTTTTCTTATTTTTATTTAATTTCTTATGAATTTTTTAAGATAAAAGACAATAAATAAAAATAAAAAGGACAAGTGTCGCCATCTTATACAGCCAAACGTCAGAAATGCTGAGGGAAAGCTTAGCATTTTCCTTAGAAACTGCCACATGTTAATCTATTATACTTCAAATTATTTCTCTACGATTTAACTTTTAAAATTCATAATAAAAAAATACAAGGAAAATTCCTAGGAATTTCTTATGATATTCCCTTCTATTTAAAGCTCCAAAATTATAATTTTGAATTATAAAAATACAAAGCAACAATAAAAACTCAACTTTGTTCGTCGACAAATCAAAACATTCTATCACATACACTCTAGTTTCTTTGATCCAATGATCCCATGAATTCAAATATGTGTAATCATGATTTTAGATCTCCATAATAGAAGGCTATGTCGTAAGGAATCAGTAGCAATTTTCTATGTATTTTTATGATTTTTATTTAATTTCTTATGAATTGTATAAGATAAAACACCATAAATAAAAGAAAAAGGGCAGATGTTGCCATCTTTTACTATCACCCTTCAGAAATGCTAACGGAGTGCTTTTCAAAACCTGCCACGTGTCAATCTATTATATTTCATATCATTTCCCTACAATTTAAGTTCTAAAATTCATAATAAATTAATTAAAAATCTGAAAAATTCATATTATGACCTTAGAAAATAGACATCCTTTTGCCAGAATTAATGATTGCCCTTGGAAGTAAATAATCACTTCCGACCACAACTAATTACCCTTACAAATAGAAAAATTAATTCTGACGACCACTTATTGCCCTCGAAGGCTATAATTTCCGACAATGTGAAGATATCCTCCGAAAGAAACACAACTATTTTTGACGCACACGAGTTTCATCGGAATTAAATGTGGTGCCAACATTTCCCACAAAATATTAGCTATTTCCAATGATGAGAGAACCCTTTCCCGAAAGCATTTTGATGTCGGAAATAGTAAGCATGTTGTTGAATAGAAGAGAATATTACAAAATTATATCCTTGAGTTTTTAATGGAGCTTTATATTGCTTTGTATTTCTTTCTAAAGGTTAATGATCGAAATGGTCCCCCAATTATTACTCCAGTATCATTTTGGTCCACCAATTAAAATTTTCATTTGAACCGTCCTTCAACTCTTATTTGGTATCAAGATGATCCTACTGTGACAGATTCCGTCACTTCTGATCACGCGATAGCCACGTGACTGAGTTTTGCAGGGTATATGCGACTTTTTGAGAAGCTCTATCCTTCATAAGAAAAATACCTATAGTTTGGTCGATGTTTCTCTCATTTAGGCGATTACCATGGACTGCAAGGGATTCTTATGCGAGTTATGAATTGGTCGATGCTCTAATAGTGTGCGAGTCACTAAATTGGTCAAGTTAGTGTGTAATTTCAGTGTTAATTTTGGAGTTCGAATTTGGGAGTTTGGGTTAGAGTTTGATTGTGAGGATTTTGGGAAATTCACTATTTGCTGATAATGGAGTTTGAATTCCGTTCTGGTGGAAAGATACTAATACAGTAAGGGCTTCTGTAATGCATTTTATATTGTTTTTGTTTGCAAATGGATGAGTTGTCTTTGTCTGGAAGTGTAGTTTCTTTTTGTGTAAAAGATTACTTTTCCTATGTTTGTGTTGAGCTTTTTGGTTGTTTTATGTTTAAAGTAAGGGTAAAAGAATCTTTTTCCTGTATGTGAGTTTGGCTTTTGCTACATTGACTGCAAAATATGGGATTTTTTTTAAATGTCTGTGGTCTCTTGGTTGTCTGCTTCACACCCAACTCCGTAATTGTTGACCTTAGCATTAACAACAAAAACTATGACTTTAAATTAACATATTGTTGTTTCAATTTTGCAGCTACCAATGGAATGTGCACTCTAGAATTACATCATGGGGGCTGGTTTGAAAATGGGGTTTATAAAAGGGTAAGGTCTGTTATTTGGACAATATTGTAGAGGATTTTTTGTCCTTATTAGATTTAATGAAAATTGGGAGAGGTCTTGGGTATGATGTTGACATTCTCAAGTTTAGCAAAGTTTGGAAATTAGGTATAGAAATGTTGAGGGTGGACAGGAGCTTCTTACATCAGATGCTAAAGTGGTTGAAATGGTTGGTCACATACCATCCAATAAGGTTATTATGTTATATTATAGTGAGATTGAAATTTGTAATGGAGTTAGGAGTCAAGCATCTGTTGAGTGGCCTAATTTGGATAATGGAGACTATGACTATGATGCAAATGCAGAGAATTGTGATGGGGATGTGTCGTTGCCTTTCATTGATGAATTGGCAGATTATACACTTTTCCCAAGTGAAAGAGGTGGCTTATATTGAAGATGAGGAGACTTTTGAAAATGTTGGGACAAAAGTGGCAAATGAAGATGCAGGGGCAGAATTACCAAATCATGATGTAGGGGCAAATATGACAATTTATGATGAAGAGGCAGAATTGTCAAATGAAAATGAGGATTTAGAATTTAAAGACAGTGATTATGAGTTAAGTGAGAATGAGGCAGAGGTCAGGCTAACTGTTGGAGAGAATGTAGCAGATGAGAGACTAATCATGGGGCTCTAGGAGAGGTGTCATCAGATGGTGGTAACACATCAAAATTTGACACTGGAAGTGAGATTGAAGATGAAGGTAACGATAGAAAAAAGAAAAAAATGCCAAAGTTAAGTAGTATAGAAGAGATGTGGATTTGAAAAATCCTGAGTTTAGATTGGAAATGAAGTTTGCAAACAAAAAAACTATTGATATAGGCTATCAAGAAGCATGCAATTATACATGGTAGGGAAGTGAAATTGATTATAAAAATTTAAAAATAATAAATAAATAAATAACAAGAGACGAGTTCAGGCAAAATGTGTGGAAGGCTGTTCTTTCCAAGTATATGGATCAAAGATTGATACAGAGGAAGGGACATTTTCAATTAAAACTTTGAGCCTAGAACATTAGTATGGAAGAGTAGACAAGCTTCAGTATACCACATTAAACTGGTTTTGTGACAGATATGCAAACAAGCTCAAGCAAAACTTAGAGTTTGATATGAAATCATTTCAAGAAGATATGTTGGAAGATTACAAAATAAATGTCACAAAAATTCAAGTTTATAGGGCAAAGAAGCTGGCCAGAGATTTAATTGAAGATACTTACAAAGAACAATATTCTAGGTTGTGGGATTATGCAGAACAATTAAAAAATGCAAACAAGGTAGTACAGTTGCAATTAAAACTCGGATTGTGAAAGGTGAGACAGTGTTTCAGAGGATATTTATGTGTTTGGCTGCCTGTAAGAAGGGGATTTTAGAGGGTTATAAACCTATTTATGATGTTGATGGCTACCATTTGAAAGGGCCTTATCCTGGACAGATCTTGATGGTTGTTGGGGTGGATGGGAACAATGGTTATTTCCCAGTAGCTTATGTTGTGATTGATATTGAGAGTAAAGGCTCTTGGATTTGGTTTTCAATCTACTTATTGAAGATTTAGGGATTACAAATGGAAGAGCTTGGGTAGTCATTAATGACGAACAAAAAAGACTTGTACTTGCCATTGAGACAATACTTCCAACTACAAAGCACAAGATGTGTGTCAGACACCTGTACAATAACTTTAGGGCATCACATATTGGTCTTGCTCTAAAACATAGATCATGGGCTGCAGCAAGAGCTACAACTGTGCCTTGGTGGGAGGCGGAAATGGAGAAGATGAAAAATGAGGATGAGAAAGCTTGGAAGTAGTTGAAGAAGAAACCTGCAAAAAATTGGAGCAGATCTCACTTCGAGTTACATTTTAAATGTAATCTTTTGTTGAATAATCTATGTGAAAGTTTCAATGCGAGCATACTATATGCAAGGGATAAGACAATTTTGAGTTGCTTGGGGAGGATAAGGGTGTATGTGATGCTTATGATGGCTAGTAGGAGGTCTACATGTAAGAATTGGAGATACTTTGTTGGGCTTAGGATCTTCAAGATAATTGATAAGAACAAGCTAGGTTCATCACAATGCATTCCTAGATTGGCTGGTGAGAAATTGTATCAAGTGAGCCACATTTATGGTGGAGAATTCGTTGTAGACCTTAGAGCAAATAATTGCTCTTGTAAAAGGTGGAATTTATATGGAATACCATTTCCCCATGCAATCTCAGCAATATTTCAAAGATGTGAAAACCCAATTGCTTATGTAGATGATTGTTACAAGCCCGAGACTTATATGAAGGCTTAAGAACCAGTGATTCACCCCATCTCTTCAATGGACCAATGAAGTAAATGTGGCATTCCTTTAATTAAACCTTCACTTTATAGGCAACAACCGAGTAGGCCTAAAAGAGTTAGGACAAAGGAGCCTTGTGAGGTTGAAATACCAGCCCCCATCCCACCAAACCCTATACCTCCAAATTATATTGCCCCACCAGCCATGCTTAGAAGGGTTTTCATTCAAATAAGATGTCGTAGATGCGGTGAAAGAGGCCATAATAAAGCAACATGTGACAGACATAATAGTGAAAACCAACAGGTATAACTGTTAGACACCTTGTTTAGTTCTATGTTATGGCCTACTTACATTAATAATTTTCTTATGCATTTGCAGGTTAATGCATCTTCAGCCCAAATGGAGCAAGATTCTTCTTCACGACCAGTACAAGCTTCTTCACAACTAGGACCTAGCAAAGTGAGAGGGAGAGGCATAAGTGGAGGAATAGGAAATGTTGCTCAAGCTACTGCTTACCCAAATTCACAACAAAGTGTAAGCTTGGTTGCTTTTGTGGTTTTAAATTGCATAAGTCATTAGACAACTGACATCATTAATTTTTTTTAGATGGCAAGAGGTAATGGACAAGGAGGCAGAGGCATAAGTAGAGGAAGAGTTAATGTTGCTCAAGCCAGTGTTTACCCAAATTCACAACAAAGTGTAAGCTTTATTTTCTCAATCATTCAATTTTTTATTGCTTAAGTCATTATAAAACAATAAACATCATAAAATTTTTAGGTGACAAGAGTTAATGGACAAAGAGTCTTACCATCTTCACATATTGGCTTAGGAAGAGGTTTACCATCTTCAAAGCTAAGTGTACGTAATTAGAGGACGAGGCTTAGGAAGAGGCATAAGTAGAGGAAGAGGCTTACCATCTTCACAGCTAAGTGTAAGTTTTTGTCATTTGGTTCAATTCTTACTCATTTGACTAATCAACCATTTTTCAACTATTACACACCTGACATTACTACATTATTTAGGTGGCAAGAGGAAGAGGACATGGAGGAGCAGATCTGGACAACACTTCCCATGATAATAACATGGCCTGAAAATAGAGGAAATTATTGTCAAGGGTGTCATATGTTGTCTATTTTGGGATATATACTTTTCTGAGCTAGCAGATTTTGTGTAATTGGTTCTGATTCTAAGTTTGGATTGTGTAATTGGTTTTGAGTTTGAAGGGCTAAAACTATGTAATTGGTTGTCTATTTTGGGTTATGTACTTTTCTAGGTAGGAGGATTTTGTGTACTTTGTCTAATTGGTTTTGAGCTAGAAGGGCTCATACTGTGTAATTGGTTGTCTATTTTGGGTTATGTACTTTTCTAGGCAGGTGAATTTTGTATACTTTGTCTAACTGGTTTTGATTTTGAAGGGCTCAAACTCTATAATTGGAATGTTTATATGGATGTTCATTTTGTAAATAGCCCGTGTGGGCAAGAATGGAATGGCTTTTAATTTGTTTCTACTCAATGGAATATTAAGCTATGTGCTTCTCCCAGATATTCAAATAACCATTCAAGAAAATTTGAGAACACAGGTAATGGACATTCATACTACAATTGAAAAAGAAGTCTTCACCATTACATTCAAAGAAACAAACCCCATAACAATTAAAACTTCCCACTCATCACAATTGTTATAAACAAACCCCATGAAAAAAAATCAAGGAAACTCACATTATCAATTGTCTTTGCCCATGACCCCATTCCAAAACCTTTTTTTCCGAAACCATTTCTTTCAATTTCTGTTAAAGTTCTTTCCTTTTTGCTTCCACTGATCTCAGTTGTTCTTCCTTTGCTCTACCTTCCTCCTCCATTGCTTAGGTCTTCGAAGCAAACTAGGGCTACTTGTGTTCCTCTTGGACAATTTTCATTATCCACCTACTCGAAAAAATGCATACCTCTTCTGCTATTCTACAAATCAAATATTAACCAATTTTAGACCTCACCAAGCAATTATAAATGGAAAAGAATAACTTTTGCAACCCCAAAAATAACTTACCCCAATTTTTATCACAAGCATTGAACCTTTTCTCGGGTTCAAATCAGTCCACGAAGTCAAACAAAGAAGTCCGACGAATTATCTTTGTCCCACAGGCGCAGTATCGACTCGTGCCACTTGAGGTCGTTGAAATCTCCGACATCACAAAACTAGGGTTCTAATTTGGTGGTTTTGGTGGAGCTTCTAGCAGCAATGGAGGGAATGTGTTTTAGCATGTGGCTTGGTCGTTTTAGAGGAGGGTACACACCTAGAAATACAGTTTTGTCCTTCGATTTCACGAAATAATACATAGACTTTGATGGTAGGACTATCTTGATACCAAATAAAGAGTTGAAGGACGGTTCAAATGAAAATTTTAGTTGGTGGACCAAAATGATATTGGAGCAATAGTTGGGGGACTATTTCAGTTATTAATCCTTCTTTCTAAATTATAGTTTAAGTTACGCACATCAATCAGCTTGCCTCACAAGATACTTGTGTTCAAACTTCGAAGCATTTAATTTGAATTCATGAAACCAACTTATTGATTATGTTGCATTGTATGTGCTTATCACTACCAAAAAAAAAAAAAAAAAAAAAGATGTCATTTGCGACAAAGTTTTTCCGAGGGACCCCAAATATCCTTGGAAAAAGCACCATTTTTTTATGTGCATAACCTAAACTATAATTGTTAGATAAAAAGTGTAATAAAGAAATTAAATTTCATCCAACATAATCTCACTCTTATTTACAAATAAGAGTTTTTATTTTTAATTGAGTACGACCCATTCAAGATAAAAAATATCTCTTAATTACAATCTCTTCGTAAAAAGAAAACCTTTTGATTCCAATATGAAGAATGAAATAAATAATGGAATTTGATTTGATGTTACGGCTGCATCCAGGCAACCCCAGACTGCCTACATACCCCATTTTGGGGATCAAGCCTTTTGTAGTTCTCAAGAGAATTTAATTGGACTTTCAAGGAATGAATGACCCCTTGAAAGAATTTGTGGTATGAGAAATCTTTATGGAATTTGGATGAATGTGGTTGGACCAGGGATTCAATTTGATTTTGTGGTTTGAAAAGTGTTTGGAACGAATTTGGTTAAGGGGCACCAGAGATTCTGTTTGGACTTGCGGTTGTATTTGGATTGAATTTCCAAATTGCCTACATATCTTTGGCGGAATCAAACCGGTTCAGAATGATTTTTGTGGAGATTTGATTGGTGAGAATTTGGTTGCGGTAACCAGTGATTCAAATTTGGTTTTGGTTGCGTCTATTGGGATATTAGACTGCCTACATACCATTGATGGGATCAAACCGACGTAGTTCCAACAATTTGGTTGGTCTTTCAAAGAATGAATGACCCTTTAAAAGAATTTGTGTGTTTGAGAAATTTAAATTTGATCTCATTGAAATTTGCAGGGTAAATGACCCATGAGAAAATTTGGAATGGTTTTGTACCATCTTTTTATTGTTAATGTCCAAAGAAAATTAAAAGGCATTTTAATGAGCCTATTAATTTACTCACATATGGTTTTAAGGATTTAAAAATTAATCCATTAACCACATAATTTATTTGGACCACCCATAAAATATTTTGGGCTTTTGAGAGTCAATGGGTAATTTGTTTTGTCAGCCCATCAATTTGTTTATGGGCCTTGATATTTCCATTAGTTGGCTCATAAACAAAGAGTCCATGTCTGAGAGCCAGCTGCCAATAGAAACCAAAACCAATACAGAGCTTTGAGTTTGAGAAACCAAAACCGAGGTAAGTCCTTTCTTCTTTCCTCTGCTCATGTCTGTCAGACTTAGACTACATAACCAATTAAAATATAAATTGGAAGTATGGGAACTTAAAGTCAGACTTAGACCACAAAACCCATTGGAAGTATGGGAGCTTAAAGGCAACAATGTCTGTTTGTAAAAGCACAAAGGTACTTTTCCTTTTCTTTGTCCCTTTTTGGCTTTTTCTTCCTTATTTTGTTTTTTGGTTTCTTTCAGTAATACGAAACTCCCTTTTTTATTGCTTTTCTTCTTCAATCTTGGGCATGGCAGGAAGGCTTTCTTTGAGCAACATGTTTCTTCATTTTTTTGGTCTAAAGACCAAATTTTGGTTTGAAGAAAAGTTGCTGGCAGCAAGCTGTGCATCCATTTAGCTTTTACTTCTCCTTTTGCATATGGCAAGTCTTTCTTCTTCTCCTTTGAATTTTGTTTCTCTTTCAGCTTTTGGGACTTCTTCAACCTTTAGCCTTCTTTGTTTTTGGCTTATGTTGCTTTTGGGTTCTTCAACAACCACATGAGGAGGCTTGTTGTGTGGCTATTTGTCTTGGTGACTTGTGCTGCTCACTTGTGCATTTTTGGTCTGACAAGAAGGCAATTTTCTTTTTGTACAGAGACCTCTTGAATATCTCTGTCTTTCTGTTTGTTACTCAAGAGAATCTGCATTTTCATCGAGTGTGTCTATGAACACCTGCAAAGCGCTCACACCACTTAATACAAAGGGGTTCTTGCGAAAGCCCATTTGCATAATTTTCACAATAGAGAGATCCTTGCGAGAGCTCTCTTTGTGTAAAAGTTGTGCAGCCATCTCATCACCAATTTGGGAGGATTAATACAGAGGGGCTCTTATGGATGCCCATCTGTATATTTTCACAGAAAGGAGGTCCTTGCAAGAGCTCTTTCTATGCAATGTTGCAGTGACACCACTATTTTATCTCTGGGAAGGATCTAATCCTTCCGTCTGCAGTTTCTTGAGATCTCTGACAAATTGACAGCAAGGACATGGAGGAATTTCGCAACGCACATTCTCAAAGCCTTTATGGCAGATTGATATGAGAGATATTTGTTGCTTTCATAGAGAAATGTGTTTTCAAGATGTTGGCATCCACGCAGAACTCATGATCTACCATTTACAGAGGCTTGTTGGATTAAACTTTGCATCGGATGTTTTTGAGCCGCAAAGGAATAACCTATACTGAGACACCCTGAAGTTTTATAGCAAAGAATGAACTTTATACCTTGATTTTCTTCTCTGATTGCTCCTGCCCTTTTGTTTCTTCCTTGATTTTTCTGTTATTTGAAACTTTCTACAGGACCTTGGGTATCGTTTCTTCACGCTTCAATATCAATTTCTGAAGCACTTTCTTACTTCTCGGCTCCTCCCTTCTTTGCAGCCCTTGGTTCCTCTCTGCATTTTCTCTCCTGCAGCACCTCTTTTCTTTTTCTCTTCTCCTGTCCTCCTTCCTTGCCTCCTTTGGTCCCTTTTTATAGACCCAGAGGAACTGACAGAGTGGGATCAGTTAAGGCCTCACGTACTGTATGGGTGGGAGTAACTTCCCATTACAGTCACCCCCTCAACTCCACACTTCACGTACATGAAACTGTTTCTGCTTTCAATATATATTAATATTTCCTTGTAAAAATATCAATATTAATTCATTTGGGCCTAAACCAATTTACCAACAAGTCCACAAAACCATTTAGCTATGAGCCCAACTTCTTTAAACTTGGGCTAGAATTTAATTTGCTGTCAACGAATTTTTTTTATTTCAACAATAATATAGAAAGAAAATTTGACTTCATTTTGTTTAATGTCTATAAGGAAGAGAATCAAACTCATGACCTGCGGTTAACCACTACCACTTAAGCTTCTTGAGCTACAAGTAAGCGTTTTGCTTTTCATCTCTTCATCATCTCTTTAGTTTAGTTGATATATGTGTCTATAGTTTGAACTTAAAGTAGTACATATAAAGAGATAAACTTGATAAGTAGATAGAGTTTCTCCAAGGGCTAAAATGAATCGTCGCGTTTCAAGACTGCTAAGGACAATATGTTCATATTTTATGCTTCTCAATCACACAAACTTTCTTATGTGCTTATAATTAGTTTATCCAAATTAAACACCGCCAATGTCTCTCTCTAAAGATTTTCTCTTCATTTCCCTTCCTTTCTCACAAGTTGGGACTTAGGAGGAAAATATGTATCACTTGAAAAAGGTAACATTTTTTTTTCCCGAAAAGAAAAGGTTACTTTGTTCTCATGTAGCCAACAGTGTAACCAAT